AATATACGACATTTTAACCCGACAATATACGACATTTACACCCAACACCATGACATTAAAAATGTCGTAATGTCGCGTAAAAATGTCGTATTGTCGAGTTAAAATGTCGTGGTGTCGTGATGTCGTGAAGTCGGGTTGTCGTGGTGTCGTGATGTCGGGTTGTCGTGGTGTCGGGTTATCGGCCATATTCCTCTCAATACTATGATTATGTTCCGCGGGATTTTGCAGCGCGGTTTCTCCATGTCGGTAGTGCAGGAGAAAGAACAGTGTCTAGTATTGTAGATAGGACAAAAAAAAACCTTCTGTGTACACATTGGCGTGCACATAAAAGAATCCTTCACAGTTGAAATTCGATGAAGAAATTCCACGGTCCATTAGAAATTTCCGTCATATCAATAGTCCGATAGGTTCGGAAAAATAGGAAAATGAAATGAAATGAGTTTTAACGTTCAACTGTTCTGCTCCGTGAGCCACAGTGGCTAAATGAGTAAGACGCTGGCTCGCTAGCCTGGACGTCGCGGGTTCGCCCCCGATGTTGGCCGAGAAAGTTCATCAATATTTTCCGGCGTGGTTTTCCCTTGTCATGGGTGCAAGAAGGAGGGCCTGACAAGGACAGCTGTCTAGTCGTTCGGATGGTACGCAAAACCGAGGTCCCGAGTAAAGATCCCTTGGCAATTGGAATTCGATATAAGAGTAGGCCGTAGCGCCGCTGTCCGGGCAAAATGTCCCCCATAACATACTGAACGGTGTAAGTATGTCTCCATTATCCCGGTTTGAGCAGAACAGTAGTAGGATGTTAAACTCCATTTAATTTCATTTCGTTCTGCTCGGACTGGGTTAATGAAGACGGGAGTACCCTATACAGTGTACTATGAGGCAAACTTTACCCGGATAGCGGCGCTATACGGGCTACTCTTGTATTAAATTCCAACTGCCAGGGGTGCTTTTACGTGTATGCCAATATGTAAATGGGGCTTCGATTTTTCGCCCAATTCGAACGACTATGTGTTATCCCTTGCCAGGCCCCCCACCCCCACCCTGCACCACTGTCAAAGAGGAATCACTCCGGAAATGGGGTTTAATGTCCTACTTTTCTGGTAATCAAGGTGACTCATTGAGTAAGACGTTGGCTCGCTAACGTTGAGGTCTCGTGTTCGATCACTGCGTTGGCCGAGAAAGCTAATCGGGAATTTTCCGGCGTGATTTCACTTTACAGTGGTACAGGACGGAGGGTCTGGCAGGGGATAAGGTATAGTCGTTTCGATGGGACGAAAAATCGAGGTTCCGTGTACATATAAGCCAGCACGTAAAAGCCCCCCTGCCAGTTGGAATTCAACTGTACAGTACACTGTATAGCGTATGCCCGTCTTCATTAGCCCAGTCAGAGCAGAACAGTAGAACGTTAGACACAATTTCATTTCATTCAATTTTCCTACTTTTCTGTACTAATCGGGATATTGAAGATAGGCAGAGTGCTATGAAGGAAATTTTCAATGAACCGTGACATTTCTTCATCGATATTCAACTGTGAGTGTGAAGGATTCTTTTATGTGCACGATATCACGACAGCCCGACATCACAACACCACAACAACCCGACAACACGACACCACGACATTTTAACCCGACAATACGATAATTTTACGCGACATTACGACATTAAAAACGTTATTCATAAATAAATACACATTGAATATTTACAACACGCCAGCATTTGGTTGTTATTCATCAAAAACATTATTTATAAAAAAGAATACATTAGACATTTGCAACACGTGTGCATTTTGGTTGATATTCATTAAAAAAAATATTCATATATAAGATTACATTAATATGGCCTATACTGCTCTACATTATTATATCATACCATGGCGGTTCCAATCGGTACAGTGGTGTTATCAAGAGAAAGATGAAAATATAATATTAATGGTCATTTTGGTGTTAGTCAATACTATTGTCAGATAATATGTTAATATCGACAGCAGTATAACCCCGTGGTGCCATCCACTCCACAATAGATTCTTGCCTTGGGGAACACCATGTGAATATGGCTTACTGGTCATAATTTGATGTTCATCCTTGTCTTTTGTATGCTAAGAATGAAGAAACATCAAAGCCCATTCCTTCAAATTGAAAGAGCGTCTTAAATTCGAAGAGATATCAGAATATATTATTCTAACCAACAGAAAATTGGAGGATTGACATATTAAATGACCCAAAGTTATTAGGTCGATATAAAAGTCAAGTAGATTGAGAGTAAAACAATCACTTAATGACATCCATTAACTAATTACATGGATTATCAAAATTATATTTACCTTATAAGCATTCTCTCATAATGTCAGATGTCATAACGTTATGGTATATCCATAAAGGTTACTATAGCATTAAAAAAATAAATTTACTAAATGGCATTGTATTAATTGTTTAATAAGGCTACTTAATCATTTTAATCACACTTAAATGCACGTGTTAGCTTCTGAATATTTGGAAAGAGGCGTTGTGGTAACGGTAGAACTAAAGCCTGTGGATAAAGGTTGCCATAATAACGACGGGAGATTATATACTTTTTCAATTCTGGTTTTGTTTTATTAATTAAAATATAAACAATCAATTTAGGAACTATTTGGCGTGAATTAAGCTGTGATAATCACGATCAGGATCGACGACTTTAAGTAGCTATAGAAATTTATTTTCGCGGCAGCTTTAGCTGTGTTGTCCAATCGTGTTTATTTAGAATCACTTCGGTAGAGGAGATTCTATATTAGTTGTATCTTGTTACATATGATTCTGGGATCGAAACCACAACACACTGACAGACCTTGTGATCTAAAACAGTGTTTCCAAACCTTTTTTCACTCGCGTACCCCTTGGGACATTTACATATTTCCGAGCTGCATGCATATTTATAAGGGTCTTAGGACATAGAACGTATACCACCAGTTTTCATTAAATCGTTGATAAAGTCTCATATGTACCACCTTTAACAGCTTTTATTATCAAAGACATGGTATATGAACCCATAGAAAGAAAAGGTCGCTATTCCTGTAAGGGGTGGTGGTCAAATGATCTAGCGTGTGCACTTTAGGTACATAGCCCAGTGGCTTGGTTTCGATTTCAGGCTTGTAGTTGACAAGGGTTAGGCTCGCCTGTCCAAACTCCGGGTCCTGCGGTTTCCTCCAACTTTAAAGACATTATTTAAATAAAACTGACCCATAATCTGTTAGTCCCAAAATTATAAACTCTTTTTCAAAGTTAAGGCATGTATTTAAATTAAATGTTGAACGAGTTGCGTTGATTCCAGAATTAGAGTATTTGAATATAAATAACATACACGTTCGTGGCTCCGTGTCTATTAGTCGTAAAATTGTGGCCATGTGTGGTTAAGGGACAGTGCCAGATACATATCTGTGAGTTAAGCGTGTTAATTATGCAAGGAATACTCTTCGAAATCTTTATAATAATAGTCCTGTAAAACTATCGGAAGCTCAGCGGTACTACATTTTAGCAGAAATACAACTCTGCCGTATCCAGAAGTGTTTTGCGGTACGTCGTTATTACCAAGCTCCGGTTCAAATCAGCAGTGCGATTGCTTAAATGAATTACTTAACACCATTAATCAAAACCAGTAATCACTTTAGAAGGACTCGATATTTTGAGCTGAACAGACAAGCTATGTGCTTAAAGGAGCTAAATCGCTAATATTTTGGACCTAGAAATTGACACATTGGGTCGCAACACATATAATAATGTAATATGAATGTATATAAACTGATTTACATTCAATCGTTTTCGTTTTTACTCTCATTTTAAATCAATTATGTGTCGGCGAAATACGCCAGAAGTCTCAGTCGAATGGCAATCTCTAACGTCTGGTTATTCCAGTCTACACCGATAGTATTTATTGCGCTTCCTCTCCAGATAAGAATATGTCCTCACCGTTTGACATGATGACTTGTGGATTATGTCTTGTCTCGTGCTTCGAGTCCCTTTTTACAGACGGCACTGAAACGCAACATGGTACACAATTCGTCTACCAATGGTAAAATGTTTATTTTGTCTTAAACATTGAATATAAGAAACCCATCTCTTCCCGGTAAGACCCTAACATCTATGGTGATTTAAATTGACAAAATTCGTGTTTTCAATGTCGAAGGCTTTGGATGATATTGAGTTAGAGACTTAGCTCCTTTAACCACACATTTATCAACGGGTACCTTGTGAAAACATAGATTGCCCTTTAAGTTTCTATCTATTTTTCGCTGTCACAATTAAAGGTCAAAAATTCGTACTTCAGAATCAACCAATATGCTTTATCCATATCGCGTCCAGATTTCTTTATCTGTATGTTAGATTTACAAATTTAATCTGTTTTTTTTTGTATAAAATAATTTGCCTTACAGTAATATTGTCGACAGCGCTAATTGCTAATGAAATAAATATTGATCTGTAGTATTAAGGGGAGAGGTAAGTGCAGTAACACTATAGTATCAAAAGTGGATGTCGCTCCACATTTAATACATATAGATTGTTGGCCCACTCTTCATTTCAGAATTTAGCATTTAATTATTGGGTATTAGTTCTAATGTTGTGAAATAACGCATACGGGAAAACCAAAGAAACATTTTGCTTTCTTTTCAATAGTATTTCATACTTAAAAGCACCACAAGCTGCAATCTGTAATGATTACACCGAAAATGAAATGCTGTGCAACTCTATAAGTTCTTAAAATAACGAAGTGATCTAAATAAAGAGAACATCGTCTGATATTTTACTTTCTCCAAACACAACAATGCTATCTTTACGCTTACCAAAAATTTAAAGCAAGGTAATTTACTAATTTTCCACTGCAACATAACGTTGTAAATAACCGCGTAATGATACAATTAAACCATTATATTTGCTCGGCAACATATTTATTATGAAATGTGATGAGTTCATAGACATGGGTGGCGAAAATATAAAACCCTATTAAACTGTGGGCACAAAAAATATACTAACCTCCGCCATTCCTGTAACAAAGATAAGGAAACCGCCAGACATTTCCCATTCCAATACATTGTCCAACACATGACAGAACAAACTCTGTTTTTCCGCTCCATGATTCTCTCGGCGGTTCTTCGGTGACTTTTGTTTCTATGGTTTTCGGGATGCTTGCTGCATCATTAGAGTTGGGTGTGTTCTGGTGATTGTAATAATCATTTAATTCTAGCGTTTCCTTTTCACCTTTCTCCATTCTTAATTTCTAAAATTTCTTAAATCACCGTATAGATTTATTTGGATATAAAAGTTTTATACATTATTCTTTTTTTTCTTAAAAAAATTCACTGTTTTCCACGTTACCGCACTGATATTTGTAATATAAGACAGTAGTGTACATCCACGATAGAAAAAAAACACGCTCGAAAAGTTTTGAAAGTTTTAACACAGTTTTCCGATGTGCTGCTAGCGATAAGAGGGTGAAATAATAGAGAGCAAGTTTGTCCTGTGTAATTATCACCTATGATAAATGGATTGTTAACTGTGATAATGATGGTATGAGTAACATTCTCACTAGCAATTTACCAAATTAACTCTTGGTCGAACACAATGACAGCTCACAGATATATTACTTTTATAACTTGCAAAACTCAAACATGACATTTGTAAAAACTGCTCTTAATTTTCCTCCCTGGTCGAAAATCGTGTCACCGACATTTCTCAAATTTCATTTCAGATAAACATTTATATATTTTATTATAAAAAAAATAACCGAACTGTGAATAGTTTGAGTTAGTGATTAATATCCACACACCCTATGTAGTTGAGGATCAAAAGTAGATCTCATTCATTCACCCGCAATTGTAATATTAATGACCATCTTCCATTCAACAAAATCACAAATACGTTGTTAATAGTCCATTGCAAATCCTTATATGTTCCTTTTAAAAAGTAATCGCCGGGAAGAGATCCACAGTGATTAAATTCGCTCGAGCTACAGGTTATCAGGAAGAGGTTTTAAAAGTTACGAGAATGCGAGTCGAAGAACATTATCCTATAAGAACTCTAGCAACGGGGAATGGCTGAAACTCCACGCCAAGTTTTCGATTCTGTAATACTCACTTGTCTCTGGCTGGATTAATTGAATCGTCAAGTAACTTTACAACGATTTAGAATATCAACAAGCCTAGTGGTGGCTTATAATGTGGAGTAGGAATCTACACTCCTCAAGTGGGCTAATGTCTTCTCGTCTACTTTATCCAATATCAGAATCTGCGACAGGTGTTACCTTTGTACAAACAAAATAATTGACAGACTTTGTCTGAATGGCGCGATCTCTGACAGAAGTAAAAACTTCATATCTTTCGCGAAGCATAATTTACCGCATATGAAAATACAGCCAAGGTTTACAACGTTTGGAAATTAGATTTACAGAGAGAATTTTGTTTTAAAAATTCTTCTATAAGTGAAGCCTCATATCACAATCTGTGTCATTAAGACCATGGGCTGTGCAGTTCAATGTTCTCGGATCCATTTGCTCTTCAGTGGCTTTCCTGCAATTACTAACAGAACCGATAAGGGCTTTAATTTGAATTTTGTTATTTTGAATTTGAATGAATTTGGTGTATTTTATTTTAACTTTTCATATTGAATTTAGAATAAATTACTACTGCATTTACAACTATAGTGATTATTCAAAAATACCATTTGAAATGATCCAAAAACAAAACAAAAACACGTGTTGTATCATTGTTTTGCTATTTTGTTATTTCTAATATAAATTTTCGCACTGTAGTTTTTATTAAATTCTGAATTTCAACATCGTTGGCAGTTTTGTCTTTCATGCACGATTCCTAAAAATAAAGAATATAAACCCACTTAAATCTAAACCAACCCTCATCCAGTATCAAATGCTGGTTATAACAATAAATGGTTTTTTTTAAATATGAGATATGAATTGGATTTTATTTGACCCCTTGTAAAAAAACGGTAAAATATTGTTACGTTTCTAAATCTGACCAATTGTGATATGTATTTTCTTTATTGTGCACTCTCCACTTTAAAGAGCCATTTGGAAATCTCGACCGGTTAGCAAAAATAATTTTCGATTTGACGTGATTTGACTATAAAGTTACACAGTGCATATTGAGATATAAATGACTTAACTGGTACAATCTCGTTGGGTGATTTCAAAGGAGTTTAACGAACGTTGCGGCAAAACTTCGAGAAGGTATTTGTTGAGTAATAAAACCTTCTAGTAGTTTATCGAGGGCTGACCGTCCTTACCGCACGGTACAAATATTATCACCACTAGAAGCAACAAGCCAGAACTCATACCAAAATGGCCGCTTTATACAAATGAGTATTTAGGGGAATACAAACCCGAACCCTAACCCTAACCCTTTTAAGAGAAGTAAAAACTAAATTAGACCCAAGTTCAGTCTTTTAAAAAGGGTTAGGTTAGGGTTCGGGTTAGTTATCCCCAAAATTCTCATTTATATAAAGCAGCCATTTTGGACTCCGGAAGCACCCGAACCTCGATAAACTACTAGAAGGTTTTATTTGTACCGTGCGGTAAGGACGGCCAGCCCTCGATAAACTACTAGAAGGTTTTATTACTCAACAAATACCGTCTCGAAGTATGTAATAAAATCTAATAGGTTGTCCAATTTGCAAACCGTGGGACGTTAAACACAATTTCTTTTCATTTTCAATTTGCGAACCATTCTTGTCCGTTCCCAATCTGTGCGCTAGTTTTGAAGAATGGAATGCGACTGAACGTCACATATAAATATTATTAGATAACATAAGCCACAATAACAATGAATTGGTTTGAAACCTTTTATTCAATATGTTGCTATTTTGGGTAAAATATATCGAGAATTAGCCGGACCTCGTTTTTTCAGCTTAATACATTTGATAACTTCATAGATTTCTTCCTTCTTATGTTGTTGCCACTGGTATTTGTGTTCAAGTTTACTTTGAAGATCAGCCTCAGACGGGTAGGGGTAAACCTTAAACAGAAATGTTTTGTTTTTGTTTTAGTTTTATTCTAAATGTTTACATTAGCCTTAAATGTTTAGCCCAATTTTAGATGGATTCGCGGTGGTTCGGTGAGTAACGCGCTGACTCATAGTGTTGGCAGAGAAAGTTACTAGTTTAGTCTTGTCAGGGATGTATGGCGGAGGGCCTGACAAGGAACAGCATGTAGTTGTTTTGATGCGACGGAAAACCGAGGTCCCATGTACACATTGGCGTAGGCCTACACGTAAAAGACCCCTGACAGTTTGAATTAAAATAAGAGTAGGCAAACATATTACACTGTAGCCTGACTGGAGCATAACGCAGAACGTTAAACCCCTTTTCAATTTATTTCATTTCCAATTTTTAGAACATTTCACTCTTACCTTTTCTCGCAATTTTGTGAGGAAAGCATGAGACGCGTGTTGCATGTAAAACTTTTTATTGATCATAATACACTCGACACCTCGACTGACCAGTATAAATTGCGGCTGATCTTCAAAAAATAAATCCTGTATACCCTGTAAATAATAATATGAACATGTTGTTAATATACCATTTTCGTTACCCCTGTCTTGTGGGTCCACAATTCTTGTAATTTTGAGATTTTTAAAGTTAAAACTGCCCTTGATTGTTCGACTAACCTGAAAGATATACTATATTGAAATTCTGAGTTACAAAGTGTTAACATCTTGTAAAGACACTACAGAAGAGAGGAACCCAATATAGCACACCAGTACTATATGGAGATATTGTGCCTGTCAATAAAATCTTTTAAACACTTTAGAGGTTAGAGTTGTTAGAGTTTTTGAGAATTATGTATTCAGATGTGCTGGACTTGCTTGGACTTGTAATGCGAACGTGGTGGGTTTATGTCTGCTCTTTCTAAATTGTCCTATCCGTTGAAGGTCGTGACGCGAACGCCATATCATCGGGGTGTGGGCTATTCAACGTTATGTCACGCTTTATAGGCCATTGACCTTCCTGTTAAGTGGTTTCCTGAAATATCCATTTGTTTAAATACGTCCTACAAAAGAGATCGATTTTCCTTGAAATATACTTCCGCACATTTGAGAATTTTTATGTAAACATTTAATTTTTGCCTCCTACTAGATGACTACCCACACACAATTTGTAGTAGGAATCAATGGTTGATCTATTCAAACATACTTCCTATACTATCATTTTCCTTTATACACATCCTGATTTTTGCATGATTAAAAATTGGTTTGAATCTTAGTATAAAAACATGCTTACAAAAACTCCACCTTTGATAAGGTTCTGTATACTAACAAACGTTGGTACATCTGGTGGGGTTTCAACTCTCTGAACACAACAAAACCAGAACAAAATGAGATTACGTGTGATTTATCAATGAAGGGAAATTCACCCAGAACAATCTAGATAAAATACTGCATTGTTTAAACAATTTCGTATGTTTCAAGATATATTTCGTACACCATTAAAGGCTACATTGGAATTAAAAATCCAAGACCTATACTGAATCTGACAGACGTTGCTCTGCCGCTCTTTCCAGGGGACATACTGACCCCACTTCCAAAAACGACAGCTTGCAAGTAACGTGGTGGACACCAGTAATGGCCACATTGGAAATCAAAATTCAAGAGCTATAATGAACCTGGCAGATGTTACTCTGCCGCTCTTTCCACGCGTCCAGTTACTAACACCACACTTCCAAAAATGTCACCCTGCGAGCACCGTGGCGGAGATCAATCGGTCATGCGAAGGGAATATTTTTCGGAGACTCCTACCCGGACAATACCTAATACGATTTAGTCGTTGTGGAACAATTTACAGTTATTATCATTATTCATAAGAAAATGTCCCATACCTTGGAATGAGAAATACAAGAATTAGATAATTCACGACTAGGTGGTTTACTTTCACCACAATCAGATGTCTCTTGGTGTACACTATTTTTACTTTCAAAAACTAAAATATAAAAATACAACATGAATGCAAAGTGGTACCAAGTGTTCATTAAGCAGTATTTATTCAAACACCACCAGAGCCGAGTTACTAAAAATTCAGATCAAACCCCGTATGGTTTTATGCCCACTCGGCACAAACAGCTATGCCATTTCCTGACCAATATATGATTCATTTTTATTTCAATAATTCGTTTGCGGTAGGGGTCTTTAGCAGTGGGAGAAAACACACGAGGTTGAACAGGCGACTCTACTTCTTGTCACGTAAATGCTGGGAATCGAAACCACACCGCTTGACTCAATGGCAGACCCAATGATCTTAAGCGCACACTTGAGGCCATTCAGCCACCCAACTGCCCATTACCGCCCACAACAAAATGAAATAGATAAAGTTGTGACAAATAAGTGCATACACATGTCGATATCAAACTTATTTCAAGCAAACCCTAAATCAAACAGTAAAGAAAATAAAGACATTTCATCCAACTATTCGAACCCCGCAAAATGTTCGGTAATTTGCCCTATAGAGATGACCTCAACATACGATTTAACCGGTCCTAAATTTGAATGGGAAACAACTTCTACTTCCATGGTTAATTCTGCTGCCTGCATGATGTTCAAGTAGAAATTCAAATACGCCGGAAGATACCATTTATCGATGAACTGTGAGTGAGATGCAGTGATGAATAGCATTTCCAATGGAGCAAAATAGAACGTTATGCCACATTCCAAAGACAATAAGGGTATTATATATATCCAGCTTGCATCACCTTGACCCAGTGTCCGTAGCAAGGCAGATTTATACAAACCTATATACAAAACCTCAAGTACCCCTATATTCATTTAAAAAACTACAATGACATACCTGATCCCCTCACTTCAACAGTACTAGGGTGGGATGAATTAGAACTCGACATATATGGTCGCTAAAATTCAATGACATGAAATATTACATTAATATAGGTCTAAAGAGGTGCATACCTTCAGTATAATTACTCCGAATATAACGACATTACGTGTACGAAATTACACGAAATTCGAACTCAACCATCATAAGTGTATAACTGTGATATATTCACGCGAATATCGAAAGGAAACAAGATATATGCGTTATAAACATGCATTGCAAATTTCATCAAAATTGGGTCAAAATTGAAACCTCTAGAGTGTTTACAAGCTAAAACGTGATTATTCGTACAATCAGGATCCATAATCCATGAAGTTATTGTCCGATACATGCCAATATCGAAAGGACGGGATATCTTTAGGAGATAGGCTTATATTTCAAGTTTCGTCAAAATCGGATAAAAATTGTGACCTGTAGAGTGTTCACAAACAAATTGTGTACGGACGGACAGGGGCGACGACAATATACGTCCACATGAAAATGTGGGCGTATAAAACCTATTGTACAAATACATTATGCAATTCTTGTCCGCCTCATACAGCAAGACTAAATAAACATTATCAATTCCATATTAAAATGGAAGCAGAATATATTCTTCTAAAAGTATAGGTTTTTTGACTAAAATCGTCGAAATGGGACTAAAAATGACGGTCAACTAGATTCGTGACTGTTCTTACGCGGAGTTAACTGTAGGCAGACAACGTTAAGTTTCGTGTAATCTTGAAGTATAGAATGCGATTTTTTTTTGTTTCAGATCGGCGTGTTATTTTATTCATATTTTCATGTTTATAATGGTTTACCCGTTGGAGTAGCTTTTCAATATTAGATAATTTTCCACTGGCTTCTCTTGTAATAGATTTGTCTGTAAGTCGTGATGAACCCTGGGATATCAGTACTGGTCTGGAAAGAGTGGTGTCTTTTAGTTCCTGACAAAAATATGAACTTCCATCATTTAACAATATGTACAGATCGAATTATTTATAACCAACCAGTTAAAGCCCCCCCCCCCCCCACACACACACACCCTCCCTCATGCATTTGTATCTGGCAAGGGCTCACTAGCATGGACTGGTACAAATTCATATGTGGCCCTTTTCATATTCACATATATAGTCATTGAGGAAAATCTTGTGGAAAGGATTGGTCGATTTATGTACGATAAAATAAAACTCGTGCTCCTATGCCACAATTATCAGATCATGGACTCCATCATTCCGCTTAACCTTATCTTCAATATGAACTGGAGGCGTTCCCTAGATATCGGATTACTACGTAAAATACCCCAATGACAGTTGGTGTTCGAAATAAGAGTGGGCAGTAGCGCCGCTGTCAGGGCAAAATTTCGCCCGTAGCACACTGCATGGCGTATGCTCGTCTTCATTGGCTCGGATGGAGCAGAAATGTAGGACGTTAAGCCGAACTCATTTTATAATTAATTATTTCTACTATATAATTGTGATGGGTGGGGTTGCTATGGATTAGATTCACGTTTTAAAATGTCAACAGTTTGTTCAAATTATTTATATGCTTCCAAAGTGTAGCGGTGTCAATCACATTATTAAATCATTATCATAACCATAACAGAAATTGGTGGATGGAGTTGGCTTTATTAAACCAAATAACTGCGGTTGTTCACTTATCTATCATGAAGACTATACCCAACGTTTCGTGAAAGGGCAATCCAAAACTTGTAGTAAAGCTATTGGAGCGAAATTCACGATATAACTCTTAACCACATAAGTAATGTGCATCAAGTGGGCACAAAAACAAACCCAACTTTTCTATAGTAAATTTTTGCGTAAAATACGTTGTCGAGTGGTATTCTGGTAATCAGTCCGCCGTTGGGGCTAATTTCACCTTTGTTCTTTGTGACGCCGGGGGTCAAAAGGTCAAATATTCCGTTTTTACACTAACAAGATTTAAAAAGCAATAAAATTTCAGCGTAAAATATAAAAACTAAAGCGAAACCTGTTCTAATTAATAATAGGAACATTTAAAATTTATCTTTGGGTGGTCTTAGCACCGTACTTTGGAACGTCGAAAAAGATATTGCATAACAGAACCAAACACTTCGAAACCTGTTTCAAAAATACGTAAAAACTGTCAAATCGAAATCTCTCCGATTTAGTTTAACAACGATTGTTATACATAATGAAACTAGTTGTCCGAAAAAAAACAAGTGAATAGTTTAACGGTTGGACTTCAGCAAGCTTACATGTCTATTGAAAAAGTGATTACTTTCGATCACTTCGGCATGTTTTTATGATACAAGAATGGCTGCGCATTCACCTTCAGTGCAAATGACTTGGCAATGTATTCTACGCAAAATTTTACTATAGAAAAGTTGGGTTTGGTTTTGTGCCAAATTGATGGACCCCCACCCCCCTCCCGCACTGAGCCTACAGACTATTAGTTTAAAGAGTCAGAACTAAAACTAGAATTCCACTCCATAGCAACGAAGCAGGCACCTTACCTGTAACGATGTTTGTTCATTTTGTTCATCTTCTATAACAGGTAATAAAGTATTATGTATACGTTGATTAATTTGTTGTAACTGTATAATTTTATCATCAAATGCTACTCGTATTTTCTCTTCGTGACTTATACCAGTATTTTTTTCGGATTTGAATTCATCCTTTACTAAATTTGAAAAGATAGAGAATCCATGATGACCACAAAATGCATTTTATTTTAGAACAAAATTGATCCAGATAATTATTTTAGAGGTTTTTTTTATCAATATTTCAAGATCTATGCCTGGTCGAATGACGTTATTGAATAGGATAAAACCTTTTTGAGCTGTCGTGTCTAGAACACGATACATTACATAGTGTCTAGAAAGTCAATTGACGATAGCGATCTGTTACAACAACAGCAAAAACATGCTGTACAGGCATTTAGCTATAAGAAAACGTTTCTTGGCATACATCAATTTTCAGTTAATCTAATATCAAAAGTGCTAATTCTAAAGTAGGACCCGAACAAAATACTAATCCGGTCAATAACCCCTTTTCAACATCAAAACTATAGTTTTAAACACGTTATGTGTGTAGGTTTACAATTGTTTGTTTTTATTTTATTTCAGAAACACTAAGACCCTTTGCAATCCGAAAACGGATACTGTGTTGTTTTTATAAAAAAAAAACATTACATTTAATTTTCCAGTCTTTATTTTCTTGAATTTTAACAGTTTTAGTAATATCCACCGTCTTTAATTTCTTCATCACATCACAGCTACCCTTCAAAATACAACAAACAAGCTATTATTGTATAATTGATGGAAAAATAGATTAGTGCTTATTATTGCAATGCCCTAACTTACTTATCATTTTCAAGCTACATATGAAATATCCGTTCTCAGAGTTAATGGAAATGCACGGAATATAGAACTCAATTAAACAAAGTCATATCTCATAACTTGAAATAATGTAACTTGACAGCACTATCTAGACTCAGCTACCCTATTAAATGGAGTGCCTCATGCAGTTTTTACTATCGAAATCGTTTATATATTGTTTTTGACGAGTGCCTTTATATAATCGGCTTCGTAAGAATATAGAAACATGTTAGCAAGCAAAGGTGCTCAGTTGGTGCCTATGGGGATACCTGCCACTTGCTGATATATTTCCCCTTCAAATTAAACGATGATATTATCAATTAAGAATTCCAACATCTGAATCATCATGTTGGTGGTGTACTTATTTTGGAATTACACGTACTATGGTACTTAACAAAAGATGTGGAATTGTAGTTAACAATCAGATATTCATATCTAACAGTTCCTGATATCGAAGAAAGGACATTGTTAATATTAAAATACTATTTCAAGGTAGAACAGTCTAACCTTTGTATAGATAAGACTGAAGCAAGTGATCTAGAATATAAAGTAATTCTTCCGAACATTTTAAGATCCACATTTGATTGATACCAGTACGAGAGCATATTTTGTCACGGTATGTTTGAGTATCTTCTTTAACTGCCGTTAGTATAGATGACAATACTTTTGAAAGTGGTTTTGGGGAACAAACGGGGTGAACCTGCTATAAAACATTGTTTGTGGGGATTTTTATGTAGTTTAGGTATCCAATATAACAAGGGCAGGTCTGTATGGGTATCTCCACAGCGGGTGGCAAATGAAGTGAGATCAGATCTTTGATTGGATATAATTCCATATTTACTAAGAGTAGAACGTTTATAAGTAGAACTGTCGATAAGACTCGCCGAAACCTAGTTCTTTGAAGAGACTGTCATAATAATATTGTTTACATATAAACACTATATTATTATTATTGGACGCTTTGTCAGTCGGAACAATGACTTAATTGTCCTGTAAGACGTTGAGATTTCCAACAATGTTAACATTACTGAAAATAGATTTAAGCTTAGTGTCAACTGACAAACGTTGCATGTAAGTTCGTCGTTTTAGTAAACGACTGGTGGACTTAATCCAATCTGAGAGAGTATCAGAGATAACATCTTCCCTCTTGGCCCATGATCTAGCGTAGTCTTGCATCCATAATAAGTTTGCAATTTTGGTCGCATGAAAATGGCTACGGTCCCCGGTATTTGGGTCCTTTAGACAAAATTTCACGTAACTTATAATTTTGAACTATGTTCAAATCACCAGTAACTACATGTCCGAGTAGTTGGTAAAGGAATGACGAAGTAGCGCAAGAACAGGGTAGAGGGTTATCATGTAAGTATTGATGTCAGATAATGCATTTCGTTAATTAAATATTTAATTAAATATTGTCGCTCACATGTGAACTCAAACTATCGTGCATGTTCGAATGATACTTACAGATTTTATGATGAAAACCCAGTCACTTTTCAAACTGTCTTTAACTAAGACGGTTCCTCTTCTATAATTATTGAAAAATAATAAATCAAAACCATATACAATATCGATGTTATATTTCAATCTTCATGTTTTGGATAAACAAAATTCTAAATATCTATCAAATTATTCCTTATTATCCATTGAAGAATACCACTTTCAACACAAATATTATTCTAAAGTTCTGAATATGAAGGGGTTATAACTCTGTGATCGACGATCGTAAAAATTCTCAATTTTGATGACAATATTCGTCAGTAGTACTTATAATAAAAAAAATGTCTTCAGTCATTCAAAAACCAAATAACCAATCAAAATATGATGTGTTTGGGAAATGACTTACTTAAAATAACTGAACATCACATTCTTGGAGCCATCACCGTCATCACTCAAACGTTCGATTGGCCAACCTTTTAGACAGGGTATTGATCTACAAAAATATAAGACAGACTATAATCCGATATGGTAGATTTGTCAGGGATAGTCAAAAATAATCTGAAGTTAATGGAAGGTCAAATTTATTTCAAATAGATCTTGTTCAAAAAAGGTTACACAAAGGATAGTATGTGTGTTTTCAAGTCATTGGCTCTTCCAGGTTAAACAAAAGGGTATATTTTAAACATTTTATGGCTAAATAGACTCGAATATAGTCTAAGGCATATTTTAATTGGTCAGCTATTTAGTTCCCACATTTAAGACCTAGCCACTCTTGTTTCTTTGACTTTTCCGCCAACAGTTGATAATTTTCATATAATTACGATGACGCGAACAATTTACAGTTAATTATTCATTTGTCTACAGAAAAGACTCGGGTGAAATATTATAGGATTAGATTGATTCTGGACTGGGTCGAGGACTCACGGTATAGATGATATTACACATACCTTAGAAAAGGTTCATTCGGGTCTGCCATGCCTCCAACCATAAATATCTCTATAAAATCCTACAAAAACCCCCAAGAATATTCGTTGGATTGGCAACAAACTTTACAGACAAAATACTGTTATATTTCATAAATTGTTGCAGAAAGAATATCCCATCTGGTATGTTATCACCAGGACAAGATGCTATTATATTTAATAAGTTATTGAAAGGGTATCTAATCTGATATTCTATCACCAGGACTTGTTGTAGAAAGAATATCCCATCTGATATGTTATCACCAGGACAAGATACTATTATATTAAATAAATTATTGTAGAAAGGGCATTCTATCACCAGGACAAGATACAGTTATAAATTGTTGTAAAAAGAGTGTCCCATATCCATGTAGTATTCTATCACTCACGAATAATATTTTTTTTATTTTTTTTTTAGATAGAATGAGTAAAGGAATTTTCGCCGATCAAAGCAAGCAAAATATATTACCATCGTTATTAAAGTGCAGTCAAATTCAAAGTCCATATAAACTCAAATGTAGATCATTGTTCAATGTAGAACAAAATCCCACCTGGCGCCTGCTGTACACGAGGTGGGCCATTCCTAATATTTCTGTAACATTCGGCATATTCTAATCTGCGTGGTATTCTGTATTTGTGACTTACGTTATTTGAAAGGACAAGTAATTCTAATGGTTCTTTAGATATAACAGTAGCTTGTCTTCTAGATCTGTTAACAATGGCTAACTCTCCAAAACTATCACCGCGTGTTAAAACAAGGATAGTCTGTGCCATTTGTCTATCTTCATCCATTTCCGACACCAAAGCTATAATGATGAATTTGAATAATCATAATTGGTGATGATATTCCCCGAAAACATTTGCTATTCTTTGATGTAATTCGAAAAAAAACCCTCAAGGTTTCTGAATTGTCTGACTTAATTTGCATTTGCGAAAAATATAAAAAAAATTTAAGGCTTAGTCCACGCTAAAATGTACTCAGATTTATTATTAACAATTTAAAATTAAAATTAAGAAAACAAAATCAAAATACCAACGCTAGATAATCTCCCGGCTGCTTAGAATAAATCGGATTTAAAATCGACCCATCCATTTAGCTCACAGACAAATAAAGATACCGTCCGTCTTGTTACATAGGGAGCAGTTTGGATCGATTGAATGTTTAATTCGTCAGATCTATGTAAATACTGAACGGAATTAAACCTCTTTTAGACTGATATTCCCATCAAAGATTCAACTTTCGCAATATAGTAGATTGCAAGGGATTCTGTGGCGCTACAATCACACATATAAAAACTAACTAACTTGAATTACAACTAGTCGGGCATCTTTACACAAAATAAGATCATGGCAAATACATATGTCTCTCATATTTTCACAGAAAGTCAAAAATGTAACAGTACGTTCTGTAGGCCTAACCGTTAACGTAGAAAACTAAGTTACATGGCGTCTATAATCCCAATACTTACCAGATCCAGATAAGATAAAATAGAATCCCATTGGAACATGACCTTCTCGTACAATAACTCTCTTAGATTCAAATCTGTAACACATGCAAAGAAAACAATGAAATTAGGAGGCTTGCGACATCCCACAAGTTGGCCACAAGATCCCCTGGGGTCTTTCCGTCTGATAGAATCACGAATCGTCGTACTTTACAATACCCGACCAATGAATGAGACCACGAATCGTGGTGGAGTTTCCCAGAAACCCTACTTAAGCAGTGGCGAAGTCATGAGAACCAAAGGTCTTTGTAATATATTATTGGCATTTTACATGACCAGCGACTGACCCAATCTGCCGCAAATATCGCTTCAGCCATACCCGGAAATACTTGGTTCGCCATGTTTGGGAAACTTTGGTGCTTTCCTGTTAAAATATGTATAAAAGAACGAATTTTAACGTATTATGTTTCCTGGTTATTAAATTATCTAGTATACAATTGTAGTTATGCCAGGACTGGATTAGTTAATTTAGTAACAGATTATCGGACTATCTCCGCTATCCGTTACTGGCTGATCCTATACACAAGTAATAGGCTTTTCCCATCTCGGTTCTAAGGCTATTTTGGAATTCTTATTTTTCACAGTGATTCTTCTTTGTTCGCCAAAAGGAATCATTTCTTGCCACATCCGACACCAATTTATAATAATCCAATACTATTTTCATGTTGAATTTAGCGATCCAAAAACACAAACAAGATTCGTTTGAATCGACCCGCCATTAAGTATTAGCCATTAAGCATAATAAGTAAATGCTTATAGGCCCTATAATATAATGGGGGCACCGCAGAATTTCTGTTTTGTTAGATAACAACTTTAAATATTTGATTTAAAAATTAATTAAGAACTTTTGATCGTTTATGTCTCTTCTTTTTTAAAAGATACATTATGGAAGATTAGATAAAGAGCTGACAGTTCACACTACAAGAGTTAAAAACTAGATAATGTAAAGGGAATTTGCTGAAAATTTCAGTCAAATTGATCCACTCTGATCATCATTACTAAAGTCGGTACGGTAAAAATCTTAGTCTTGATTATCCATTTCATGATTAAATCATGAATGAAAGTTGAGCAGCAAATCGGATCCTAATCCAGTAAATATCACAGGCTAGCGATGACATCGAGAGTTGATTATGGTCTGGATAAGTTAATTAAACATACATTATGCAAGAGCTAAATCTGCCTATTTCAGGTCTTTCTTTAGGCCTGAAATGTTTTCTAAATTATTAATTAGACATTAGTTAACTTATCCAGGCCATAATCAACTCTCGATGGCATCGGATTTCTCCGATTTAAAAATAGATTTAAAGATACATTATTGGAGATTTTTACAGAGAATTGGCTATTCTTGCCACAACAGTTCAAAAGTAGATGATGAAAGAAGAATATTTTGAAAATTTCAGTCAAATTACTTTATTCTGAACATAGTTATCATCGTTGTAATTTTTTACTAGAAATGGTAGTGAAATGCGCCTTCACCGTGGCTGATCGTTTGATTGACAGGCGTTAACTCCACCTACATATCTCGATTATCAAGTAAAGTTTTCAATGGCATGCGGAAACGCTCTACAGCGGCCTCGCTAAGTACACTCTATCATTTAGCCTCGATCTAACTGATGTATTCTCATCAGGATGCGCCATATTTGAATTAATTGATAAGTTAAATCCTATTTAAATCCGAGCTGTAGCCGAGCCATCCGTGGGTCTACAGAGTTGATTTTGGGCTTGTTGTTTAAATAAAGATCTAATTTATAATTTCTATAACATCTGAAGCCTAAATTAAAACTTGCAATAATCAGATTTTGCTCTTGCATAATGTATGTTTAATCTAAAATTGGAGGAGCGAGACTTCGCTTCGAACAACTAGTACGGTGGTTAAATTTATTGCATACGTCTTGTCAAATATCTTCGCTCGCAATAGAGTAATTTGAATGAAAGACCTGAAATAGGCAGATTTAGCTCTTGCATAATGTATGTTTAATGTTACCTGCTTTGTCTCAATTAATAATAACAATATTTTCCAATTTACTGGAATTTTGTTATATCGAAAAATAACAATTTATTTTATGTTTTATTATTGTTTATATTTTGATTTACATATAATGGAGGCACCAAAATCTTCTAAGTGCTTAGTTCATAATGTTTAGTAAATGATAAGTAATAAACAGTACGTATCGCTATCGTAATACGATAAGTAACAAAAATATCACTTTTAAACAAAATTTTACCGTTGATATATGAAAGACAAGTGAAAAGGATGAATTCAAGTAGCTACACGAGGAAAGTTGTTGCATGGGATATGTTTCGAGTCAACCGAGAGCCACATAAAACTATGTGTGTAGTTGAAATATTGCAAAATCATTTTTAATTCGCGACATCTTTTGACAGTTAGGTATATAATTGTTGGTATGTTTATGCAGCTGTAGATAGTAAAGATTGTGTTTAAAACTTGATCTATCCTAACTTTCATCTCTCTGTCGATTAAATCTTACGTAAAGATGGTCATTTAACCTCGGGTAGTCGGTTTGTGTAAATTTAATCTTTGATTTCTTTACCATTAAAGATTCTCATGCAATCGTATAAAAAGAATTGTTTTTTTTTATTTCTTGAACATCTCCCCTTCAACCCTACAACCTAATCCCCATTACTCAACCAGTAATATTGAAATTACGGACAGAGTTGGAATACGGACGTGTTATTACTTCGCCATCTGTGTTGACTTATTCTCCAATGATTGGCAGCAACATACAAGATAATCGAATCTTGAGCCATTTCTATTGAATTTCCAGTATGGCTACTATCATACTCTAACTCTTCATATTGATTTAAGCTAAAACAAAGAATAGTGATCAGTAATTTGAAAAGCTAAAGAACTTTCGGTAGCAGCCGACAATTTAAAGGAATATTTATACAGAAAATTCCAAAGTAATAAAGTCACATGTTTTCTTTGATTTGTAGGCAGTGGTTATACGAGTTTGATCTAAACTTCTGGAATACAAATTGACTTCTATCATTAGAAAAAAAGAATTCAGAATGCATACATAAAATGGCTTAATGCAATTTTCTCAGAAGTTGACAAATATTTTTTAAAGGGTTATTAATTTTATTGAAATACAAACTATAAATAAATGTGTCATAGTTTTTGTGTATGCCAACAAAGCATTTATTTTTTCAATTTCGTTTTTAGAATTGGAATTTTCCGGTTGTCGAGTACGTGTATTCTGAGTGGAATAGTTCATGGTTCTGAAATTACTTTTTTTGTAATGACAACCCGTCAAGTAATATTTAGATATCGTAGGTCTACACCCAGACAATATCTATTCCTTTGATTCAAGAACATGGCAACTTTGGCAAGTCTACCAGATTTCGTTTATGTTCGACCGTCTTAAGGAATTTGGAGATATTTAAATGAGGTCTTGGAGTGTATCAATATTACCAGGGTACAAGCGTAACAGATGGTGGCTAAAATCAATGACGTCTGCGTATTGATCACATGGTCAATAAACTGTTAATAGCGCTAAAGTAGTTTGACGGATTTGACAAATTATAAAAAAGTGGAAAGAAATTGAATACGCTAGCTTTGAAAACTCACATATTCTGTCTTATTTTTAGTTTAAATTGAGATAAGAACTGGGTTGGTGATTTCACATTAGTCAAATTGTGTACAACATCGATAGTTAATTTCAAACTAACAAATAAATTTAGTTGGTTACTTCTTTCTGTATTCTTCTTTATATATATCGTCATTTTTTTTATTTATTTCCTGTACATTTTTTGTTGAAATTCGGATTCAGATTTGGAGAATCTACCGAAGTGACAAACCTATAATAGCTGTCCTGTGTTACGTTTTACGCATTAACCGTCTGAAAGCGAAATTAACTGAAATGCAATGGGGTTTAACTTCTGTTCTGCTCCGCCAGGGGTTCTTTTAAGTGCACGTCAAATTGCCAATGTTTACGCGGTACAATACGTTGTCTCTTGACAGGACTTCAATCCTACACCAGTGACAAGAGGTGGCCACGCCAAAAGATCCGGATGAACTTTCTCGGCCAACACCGGGATCGAAAACGGGATTCCAGTCTGAAAGCACATGAATGGAATGGAGTTCAATGTCTCTCGAAGACACCACTTGGATCCTTTCGAGACAAACATATGGTAATTTGTATTCCAACAGTTACGTGGTCGAATTCTAGTACTGTGTACAACAGCAATGTACAAAACTGGGTATAATATTTTTACTATAATAAATACAGTACAACACTTACTCTTCATACCAACCCTTTTTAGCAATCAGTTTTCTCATTCTTGAAGGATAAGTTGCTACGGATTTATAATTACCTAAAGCAACTTGAACCTGAAAAGAGAAAGTTATAAAGGCTTATAATCTTTAAGTCCTTTTTTTCATTTGGTTAACATTTTAGATTTCTTCTGAATTGAATGCTCGCGTCCACGCAGATTCAGTTAGTAAAATATTACCACAGAATGATTTAAAAGTATAATCAAGTATGTGAAATATCTAATACTTTAGAGACATAAGATCTATTTTAAGCCCATTTTGGTATACATGTCCATGTTAATGAAGACATAGAGAGTCTCACAGTATCGTTATTTCCACCCGAAAGAATGTGCCCGTTTAGCCTTAATTCTACGTACATACTCCCAAAATGCGTATCATTTTATACTGTCATGATCAATCCCATTATATGAGACGCTCACAAGAGACAGTATCCGGGTATGGTTGTGGAGAATATGAATTGTTATATAAAAGCACATGGAGAGAGAGAGAGAGAGAGATAACAGATACACGGCTGAATTTCTGCTCAGTTATATAGAGGTATGACTCGTGTTTTCCTTTGGCGTTCGTCACTTCCGATTCAGGAAACCTGTATTACTCAGCTATCTTAGCAATGATCTCTGTGTTAAAATTATATTTGGAATGTGTTTAACCATCTGTGATAATAACTGGCAGCAATATTGTCCTTTAATAAAATGAAGTTTGATTAAGTGTAATGGGTGACCTGTTAAAATCACAATACCACAGGTCATAGACATGGTTATCAAAACACAACTGAAAATGTTCGGTAAACCAAACAAAACCGGAAGTTCTTATTTCTTCGAAATATTACCGCAGTGCTTAAGATATATTTGAACGTCTCTATAAATTCGACAGTTCATTAATGCCCAGTGATGTACTTTAGAGAAATATTTCAGTATCGTGTCGAAAAAAATAAGGTTTAAAGTTTTATAAAATATCCTACATTGCTTAATTTTGATGGTCACCGATTACGAAGATTATTAATCATTAAAAATGTTCCACCTGAAAATGATTAGGTAAAGAAAGATGCCATTAAAAATAATTCTATGTGGCAAATAGATACTTTTAACAAATTGCCCATGTGATTTCTTTATGAGAACAATAATATTATGATGTTTTCGCATAAATTTTGTTGAGGATTTACAACAATCTTGCGGTGTCATCATACTATCCCATAGACAGTAGAGTATAATTTCCCAGTAACAATTGTTGTTTTAATATATAAGTTTGCTTACATAGCGTAGTTCAGCTGGGGTTCTTTCTGTTGATCGTTTTCGGAGTATCCTTTTTGCTTCTTGTGACAGACTAGCCTGCATAAATAAAAGAGAAAAATTCAGAATGAAACTAATCTAAGAGCTATAGATTTTTTGACCTCATCTATAATCTATAATTCAAATCCCATAATAGTTCCTAGTTTGATGCTCAGGGGTTATGACGGAAATCTGGGGTGTTCCCGGAATGCCGACATACTTTGATATCATATTTTGCCACTAATCGAGAGTTAATCAAAGAACGATGTTTTTCTTACTTAAAACAAGAACGATGTTTTTCTCACTTAAAATATGAAACTGAATTGGTTGTAACAAATATAGCTTTTATTAAGTAACATTAAATAATTTACGTTAGATATACAGGATATAAAATACAATAATTTACACATTATAACATTCTACAACTCAACTAAATAATTGTTTCATACTGATTAACACTTAAAGACCCTTTTAATAAGGTCAGTTCTTGAATCAAGCTGTCGATATTTCTTTATTCGAGGCCTTTTGGCTCATTAACGTTGAACAGTCTCCACTATACCAGAGTGACAAATTTTAAACAGAATGAAGATTTGTGATTAATTCAAGGATTAAGAGTCTGTCGGCATTCCGGGAACAAACCAAAAATCTTCACTTGTCTGATTTAATCTTTATCCTCACATACTAATGAGAATTCGGTTTTAATTGTTCACTACTAAATATTCCTTAAGCACGGTTTGATTCATATCAAATATGTATGTACACTTTCATATTGTTAAATCATAGAGACAGACTATTCAGAAGTTGAATTCACTACATGTAAAGTAATTCGATATCTTTATTTTTAAGTTAAAGGAGCTAAATCGCTAACATTTGGGACCTAGAAATTAACACAAAATTAATGGGTCGCAACTCATATAATACTGTAATTTGAATGTATATAAACTGATTTACATTCAATCGTTTCCGTTTTTACTCTAATTTCAAATCAGTTATGTTCCGTGAAATAAGCCAGCAGTCTCAATCGAATGCAAATTCCCAGCGTCTGGTTATTCCAGTCTACATACGCCGTTTGGTTTGGTGCAATATGTCTAGCCTCGTTCCTGGAGTCTCTTGCTAGAACTGGGGCTGAAACGCATTGTGGTACACGATTCGTGTACCAATGGCAAAATATTTATTTTGTCTTAAATATTGGATATCAGAAGCCCATCTTTTCCCGGTAAGATTACAGCATCAATGTTGTTTTAAATTGACAAATAATTCGTGTTTTCAATGTTGAAGATTTTGGATGATATTGAGTTAGAGACTTAGCTACTTTAACTACAGATGATCGGGTTTCAACCAAGGTTCTCTTTTGAGACCGTGTCTTTTCCATAAATATATTTGTGTTCAATGCAAAATATTGACAACATACAATATACAGGTTAATGATATACTCAAATTACTTACTTCTTTAGTGCCTTTGTATTCAGTGATATCGAACAGAAGATCTTGTTTAGGAGGCTTATCTGACATAAGCTGTAAGGAGTCGATATATCCTAAAACTTGGTGAACTCTAAATAAATAATAATAACTAATCTTTCAACATAATAGTGAAGTCATTAGGTTATGCGAGCTAGTATGGTTTATATAATATAATATTACCCCATACATTTTACTGTATAATTATCACAAAATATTTGATTGTGTATCTCAAGTGGGGCTTTCGGTAGGCCTTGGTGATATCTTTTTCCCATATATCGCCTGGCCAAAAGAACAATTGAAACACCTTTCTAAGCTTCTTACCCTTGGCTTAACGATGTTTCGACACTTTTAATTATCTGTGATTGTTGATTTTATTTTTATCAAAAATTAATTCATATTAAAACTTTTAAGTCAAACCTACTTTGTGGCGTGAATTTTCCAAGATCTGAAAAATACAACCAGGAATTTGGCCAACCGTCGAAATCTTTTACTGCCATTCTGAAATTTAAAATTTCAAACAAACATTCCACAATGTAACCAAACATTGACTTACGTGAAGTAGCATGCATTTGTTAATATATTGTTATAATATGCAAAATTTTCAAACACAATATTCACCTTATTAGATATAATCAAATTAGATAGAAGAGCTCTCAAACTGAAATTCTTGGGTAAAGGAAGTGTGTGATTTTTTACAAGAATATTCACCATTTGGTAAAAGAATTTGATTATTCATGTACTGATAAATATATATCATGAACTTAGATATACTTGTATATCAGTAGCCTAGCCTATTCTATACAAATATGTAAATTTGGACACCATTTATTCATGATCAACAAATATAATATAGAATTGTATATACGTAATTCTATAAAATTGCGTAATTTGAGCAGTGTTTATTTACAATCAACAAATATAAAGTGACATATTTTAATGTTTTGAATAAAATAAAACCAAGTACGAAAAATCTAAACCATAAGACAGAATTCGAACACACAAGTACAATTTATACCTGTTTCTTTTTTCGTCGACGACTGACTTTCACCGGTTCTGGAGAAATAATATCCTGAGAACGTTTACTATGTAACCAGGTTAAAGCTCTTGCCTTGGAAGCAAACTTCTTTTTTTCTGGTGGTATCGGTGGTAAAACAGATTCCGACGATGATTCATCTGCTGAGGAATCGTTATCAAAACTAGTTTTACGTTGAAACGAAACTAGTGTTCTTGCTGTAAGACTTCCCCTTCTAGAACTATTTGCTAAATATTTCAAAACTTTCTTTTCGTCACTTTGCGCAAATTCTTCTTTTGTTATTGTCTTTTTCTTGGGTAAATCGATGCCCATTTTTAATAAAGTTTGTAACATTTTCATTTTACGGAGATCATTTGGCGAGAGACACGTGTCATCCGTTCCAGATGACGTACTCATAACACTAGTGTTTCTAGAACTTCGCGTTTTCTGAAATGATCTCTGGTTATCCAAATTGGCAGCATTCAATCTTTGTGTTGTTAGAACTGGTAGAGAAGCACTGTACTGGTGTTTAAACGAAATGTTTAAAGAATTCAACCGGCGACGATTCATCAAGTCTTTTCTCAGAACAGCCATCATCCTTTTACGCTTAGTACGCGCCGATTTAACTCCTCCACGCCTGCTCTTCGGCATTTCATACACTGATCTCCTTTGTACCATCGCAATTTCAAGAATTTTATATATCACTAGAATATTAAATCCACCAAATCCCACTGTTCAATTTCTTATGTTAAACTTTATTGTCCCATGTTTTGGATTTACAACTCGGTCTGTGTTCGGTTGACAAATGATCACAGAAATCTTAAAAATTACATTAACTTCGGCTTTGTCGCTTGGGCATAATAACCTCGCCGAAGTAATTGATATGTCGTAAGTCTGGTATTATAAACTAAGTAGGGAACAATATAACTAATGAAGCGATGATTAAACAATCCCTCTGTATTATCGAGTTACTTAATCTAGTAAAACCTTTTTAATGTATAAAGATATAAATCATTGTCTACATTATCAAGTCGAAAAAGTACCTATATTATGTATGTAAAAAAATTACTTGTGGATATCCAGTAACTTTGCTACTGGGGAAAGAGGGTGAACTTCTGACCTCTCCAAAAATGTAGTGGTGTCTCATTTTACTCATGTATAACACTACTACACAGTAGTCGAGTTAAATGTGAAGAACTCTTCTAAATCATATTTACTTATGTCATTAGTTGTTTTTTCTACCAATAAGAAAAGAGGATATTATCAGAGTTAAACTAAGTGGGATATGTCAATATTTTATAATACTTAAAACTTCGTTAATCTATATTGCTGGATAAATATTGTACCTCCACTACTCTATCGAAAGATTGCTTACATATTTAGATGTCTCACACAATTCAATTTTAACGACACGTAATGGTTCTAAATTGTTTCTTCCAAGTAATGTCACTAGAAATACCTAATTAAAATGTAATGTAATGATTACTTTAAGAAAAAAATCTAGATTGCTCCACTCGGCTGGTCAAGTTAATTTTCTTTTATATCACACTGAGCTGCCAATGCATTACATGTATATACAGGGGCGTGTACAACGAAACTTCAAACCAAATTTAAAAATGGTTTTCGGAGAATACGGAGTAACTATGGAACAGAAGTTCGCGGAACGCAAAATATCGACAGGCTTCATCCTCTCATGACCCTAATGCTTCACACCAAATTTGAAAAAGACATCACGTGAAGCGTGGAAATATGCCAACACAGGGCATGTCTGTCTAAACTGCAGCTTATCTGAATGCAAAACTGTTTTCAGCACATATGTATAACTGGAACCGAAAGTCCAACATTGCTGAAAACGACCAGGATTCATCCTTTCTTACATCCAAACTTCACACCAAATTTGAAAAGCAATGGGTTAAGCATTGTCACAGTCCTATCCTAATACTTCGCACCACATTAATTGAAAAAGTCAGTTATCAAGGTTATCAGAAGAGAGCGAGGTAAGTCCGGAAAGGACTATCGTTGAGGGCGGAATATCAATATGATTCGTTACTCAGATTGTATGATTCGTCCTCTCAAAGCCCAATTGCCACACACACCAATATGGAAAACAATTATTACAAACAGTAGTTTTTTAGATAGGGGTTAACTTCAGAATGGGAGGCCCTGGGACACTACCGTGCATGAAACAAGCGCTGAAAACTGATCGAGTTCATCCTCTTATGACCCCAGTGCCTTACACCATATTTGGGAAAAAAATCCTCAAAAACTGTAGACTCCCTCGCGTTAAAGAGCCAAATGTGGGAGATTATGAGTGGGGTATATAAACGTAAAAATCCTATTTATCAAGCCCCCAACGATATATGACGTGCTGACGGCTAAACAGCAACGAAGACCTGCCCGGGAGCATACGCTGCTGAAACTTTATAAATTCAGTGGCTCTTATGTCGGCAAATGCTAGACGCACTCTTTGTTGTGTTTGGAGGCGCGCACGTGCCTTTCCAATTGATAAAGGGAGATAACCCCTATTTAATCAAATTGGACTCAGACAAGTAATTCTCTTCACATTAACTTAGTTTGGTATTCACGACGTACATTTCCTGGCTTATAGATTTTTTTTTTTAACAATTCAATGACTCTTTTATTTTTATAACCACAAAGAACCATCATGTCACAGTTATCTAATAAAAATATTGAAGTGGGTTGCATGTTTCAATTTTTTGTAAGGGTTGGCCAAAGGATCTATAGGCTGTAACTTTATTTTAGAAAGCGATTTCCCCAATTCATATCTGTTTATTTCTTAATGAATGTTCAACAAAACCTGGGGGGAACTATATTTATCACCCAATTATACATTCTACAGTAGATATTGCTTGTGTGATATATTTCATAATCTACTGTGATATCTCCTTAGGAGATATCGCTCTACATGAATTTGATTGGTCAGTTGAAAAGGAACTACTTTTTTTTATTTTCAAAGAACAGTTCATTTTTTATTAAAAGTAACTTTTTTTTTTATTAAAAATGAACTATTGTTATTCAATTGACCTTGATGGAAACACTGGGTCAATATAAAGGACTTTGCAATGGTTGAATTGCTGTCAAAAAATGATGTATCACTACGCCGTAATGTTCAGTAAAAGTGAAATCTACAGCAAAGAATTATATTTATCTATTTGTGCATGTAAGAAGGGATTGGGTGATAAATAAAATCTCCTACTCGTCTTTTTTGATATCAAAAAATATCAACACTCGTTGATAAACTAAAAAAACCTCGGTAAAGCCTCGTTTTTTGTTACTTTATCAACTTGTGTTGACATTTTTTGATATAAAAAAAGACTGGTAGGAGATTCTCTATATCTAAACGCTCTTTTTTTTTTATTCTAGACAAAACTTCAAACAAAAATTGGCAAGTCAAAGTTTGGTTAAAGGGGAGAAAAAGAGAGAATAGCTCTAAATTAATGAACAAATTTCTAGTCTTAGACCATTTAAATAAGATGTTCACATTCTTGAGACGAATTTCATTGTTTCTCCAGAACAATGCTAATATATGTAAACTATTGTATTAACAGATAGATTAAAGTCTGTTCATTTGTATTCATTTACTTTATTATACATTCGATTTTAGTTCCATAATTTAAATTTCAATATTCATAATATATACATATTTTAAGCAAAGATCAACAACAGATGAATAATAATAATAAATAGTTAACATACTATGAATAAAATAATGAAGAACCATTAAATATAGACCTTTAGACAGAATTCTGTAACAAAATCTGTACCAAGCTATGAACTGATGTAATAAGATAAAGAGAACTGTTTATACAGTAAATGAAACTATTAATATAGATAGTTACCAGTATCCAAATAAACAATACCAATACCTAAAATTACTTAACAAAGAGGAGATCAAATAAAGGTTAAAATATCACTAATTATGAAAAAATACATTAATATATTTGTTGGATCCACACTGGGTTGACAAATCACACTCAAAACATTGTCTTCAATCTGACGGAAAGGTCTCCAAATTAATTTTAACAAAAACTATTTTACAAGATAATGGCAGAACATTGTCTAAATTATTAATTAGACATTAATTAATCTATCCAGACCATAATCAACTCTAGATGGCATCGCTAGCCTGCGATCTTTAGTGGATTATGAGCCAATTTACTGCATAACTTTCCTTCACGATTTAACGATTAAATGGATAATTGAGACTATGCTGTTTATTCTACTGACTTTAATAATGATGATCAAGGCTAGGCGGAAATTTCAATGGCTTAGTTCTCGGTTCATCGTGGATCAATTTGAATGAAATTTTCAGCAAATTGCCTTTACATTATCTATTATAGTGAGAACTGCCAACTCGTTATCGAATCTCCCATAATGTATCTTTAAATACTACTACTAATTATATTAATACATATAACTATCGATATTTTCAATTCTATCACAGAATATATTATATATACAAATCTAAAATATCATGGACGAAGCAAAATAACTTGACATCAGTAAAAGATATAATTCCATAAAGCTATCAAAAACATCTGGGAAAAGGTCAAGATTTTAGTTTTCATATGTCCATGAATGCAAACAAATACATATTAGTTTGTCTAACACTAATTATATCACAAAATCAATATGAAAGCAAATCTCAGTACTTCGTATGTTTAGGCACTTAACTACACAAAATACTCCAAAATATTAAATAATGGAATTAAAAGGAAAATAAATGCCTGAGAATCATTGTCAATTAAGAAAGAAGAGTATTATTACTGCTATACAAATATGTGCATTATCCTATTCATTTGGAGGGGTTGGATGGCCGAATGGTTAGCATGTGCGCGCTGTATCATAAGGCCTGTCATTGAGTCAACTGGCGTGGTTTCGAATCCCCCATTTTACGTGTAGGTTCGCCTGTCCAACCTAGTGGGTTTTCTCCGGTTTGCTCCCACTGCTAAAGACCCCTACGTGCATGCAAATTATTAAAATAAAATTAAACCATATGTTAGTCCCGAAATGACCTAGTTTGTGTCGAGTAGATGTTAAACCCCATTTCGCTTCCTCCCTCCCTATTTATTTGATAGACTAGGAACTTTATACAATTTACTTTCTTTAATGTTACAGTCTTCATGTATATTTTGACGATGTTGTTTAAAACATAAAGCAACATATACCTGTAACTTGTATTTTATCTTGTCGTATTAATTTCTTGTTGGATTCTATTACATACAGACTCAAACAATGATTTATATCAGGTTGAATTAATGTCTTGCTCCAATTTTTTTCAAACAGCTCTGAGCTCCCATTTGCAATATGATCCATATTGTTGTACCAAGTACAAAATTTGACAGCTTCTTAATTGTAAATTTTAGTGTGAGGTACATGTACAGTATCTGTCAATGTATATTAAATAGGCCTGTAACGCATGTCCGTTGAAACATTTATTTTGACAATTCAAACAGTAACGCTAATGAAAATCATTCCACATACTTTACAGTATATATTGATTAGAGAGATGCATGATATAGCGCCTTTAAATAATCTGAAATGTATAATTTCTAACAAATTAGGCTAGGAAAGAGCTACATGTATATGTAAATGATATTAACAACGAAGACAAAACTCAATTTCATTTAGATGAGAAGCTATTCATATTTTGGGCAATCACTCGGTGTTGACTATCAGTTTTAATGTATGTCAATTACAATCAGAATGTTACAGAATTTAATATAAATAATCTATCTTCCTCTCTCTTAATCCATCGTAGTAATTTATTCACAGCATGTATAGCAGACGTCTTGGTAACCAAAGGACCAAAAACTGCATAAAGTTCGAAACCTTGGGTTACCTGAAGAAAATGATGTCATAAATGAAGACATTTATAGATATAGATGAAGACAATATACTGAAAGTTTTAATAATTCCTTACATATAAAAGTAAAATAATGAAAGTCACAATTTTTTTTATCCCAGTTTTACAATGTTCACTCTTCTAGTGGCTTTAGGTCTCAAAGATATCTTAGCCCAAGTTATCTATAAATAGTGATGGGTGTTGTGCTCCAGGCAGGGTATTTGTAATCATTTCTATCACATAGCTAACAAATGTATGGGGTATGTTTGCATTTATCTCCCATGTCATTGAGAATTTTGAGACATCCAGATACAAAGTATTTCTAAAGATTAATAACTTACCCAGCCAAGGAGTGTTTCATAAGGTCCTACATGAAATAAAATTTTCAGTGGGCGTCCAGAAGTATGAATACGGTGATGTAGATATTTATATAAACCAAATAAGCGATCTTTTTCTTTTTGAGTTACATAAGGTGCTTCGAGTTCTGGACTCGTGTATTGGGCTGTACTCTTTGACTTGTAGAGAAAATGGCGCAAGTCATTGATACCACATTGTTGTATGCCATAAGCTGTCTTTTGTAGGGAGTCAGATATTGCTCTTAAAGCATTATACTTTAATAACCTCTGAAATACATATTATATAAATTATAACACAAAGTTAAAACATTATTTTTTTCAAGAAAATAAAATAATTATGTCTTAAGTATAAAGATATTAAATCTTGACATCTATTTTAATTACCATTAGTCATGTATTATATGCTTTATTATATTAGATTATAATATATTTTATTAGATATGTTAGTTGTAAGTTCAACCACCAACAAGTATTATATATTTTTTGTGCTAATGTATGACAATTTAAATTCAAAGATTTTGGTTTTAGCTATAAATCAAAGAGGGCTCGATTCTGACAGAACGGTATACACAACTGTTTTGTTCAGTTCACATAATAATATAGTGAAATAAAGTAGTTTTTAAGAATCTTTATATTTATTCTTTTCAAAGGATTATCATACTTGTACTATGACAAGGATTATCATACTTGTACTATGACAATAGGGAGGGCTGGTGACCCTGATGGTGGGCCCTGTACTGATATTACCTTCTGCCAATTTTTAAGTATCTTTGGTTTCTTAAATTCAGTCTAAGCTTTCGCTCCAGTTATAAGTAATAGGATCTGTTGTAGTGTATTCCTACTCATTCTTTAATTCACTTGAGGAGTTCAAGTGGTTATCAATTTATGTTTGGTGTTTGCACATCCATGCTATTCTTACCTCTTTTATTTTGGATTTACAATCGGAGAGAGTAAAGAATGATTCTCTATCAACAGTTAATAATAAGAGACATGTATTACAGGAATCATCTAGGTATGATATATGTGCTTGTAAAAACCCACTGAAAATAAAACATTTAATACGTTATAATCCTATTAATTAACATGATTGAAGTAATCTCTACAAATTAAAAGCAAACCAATAAAACATGTTACAATAACGAGTTCAATAATGTGAGTTATCAATATTTTCCTTTGTTGCATCGATGATTTGTTTTATGAATTCTTACCTTGAATCAAATTTCGGTAGACATAGTGGCGTCCATGATTCAGCAGTTTTGAAAGACTCGGAAGCATTGACAAGGTTCATTATAAGGTGAAGATCCATCGGATGAAGATAATATTTCTTTATTCTAACAAGAGCAATTAATTGATTATTGGTGATAATTAACCCAAATACTAAATCCTGAAATATCATATTAAAAAGTACTTATTAACAATTAAATTGTCCATTCCCGATCATGTCTTTTTTGGACAACATCTCTTCTCTGATGGTTTATAATCTGTGTTAAAATTTAAGCAAATTATTTATTCAACATTTAATTAAGAAAACAAAAATATAATATCAATGACATATAACCTCAAGGCTTAGATTAATTTGGATTAAAAATAGGCCTGGCAAAAGACCTATAGGTGATATGGTGATATAGGCTTTTCAATATTATCTACAGGGGATGATGAATGTTGTGAAATTTTCATTTTATCACACCGTTTTAAATACTAAATGGAATTGAACCATTTATTTCCTTTAGAGATTCATCTTTTATGGTATTGTAATTTGCAAGTGATTTAAAATAATCATAAATCTATTTGTTCGGTTAATATCGCTACCAGTTCTGCTCTCGCTACCATCAAACTGGTCTTATATTCTGTTGGGAGATTGAATTAATAAAGTGTACTGTTAAACAAAAACTAAGTGCCCCATGAAATTATCATGTCAGCTGAAGTGTATCATTAAACAAACTACGAAATTATCATGGAATACAATGAGTTCAAAGTTTAAGCATCTAGATTGTCTTACCAGTACAAAAATAAACAAATTTCATACAATTTTCACATTATGATCATTTAATTAAAGCTATTAATTAGGCTATACTTACTTTAATTTTTGCATGTTGAACTATACTTTGAGCAATGATTTCTCTGACTGAACCATCTAAAGGCAAACATCGAACAGCGCCTAACAGCAACCCAGGTTCACTATCCATTAAATTAATTAAATTATCGAAAAACTTCTCAGCACCACTCAACATTCGCCGTAAATCATAATTACGTCTTTGTTTGAATATTTTACATAATGTACTTTGAGTTAAAACACTAATAACTTGATTATATACATATGTAAGTTGCAACAAGATTTGATGAGTAGAATCCATACCACTTGATACACCCACTAATAAAAGATGATCGCGCACCAAAAATACAAACTTATGATCTCCTGCAATCATGCACCGTAAACTGTCCTTAGAGTCTCCAACAAAAGAAACTAATGCTTGCATAACACCCATAATAGTTACTAATTTATCTTCACTCCCATGTCTGTAACAAACAATACAGATTTACATGTTCATCTTAATAATATAATGTTGGAGTAAATATAAATGAAGAGAGTAGAATGTCTCATCCACTTTAGAAGTCTGTTTCATCCTCCCATTTCGGAATATATGAATGAGTAGGGGTTTAATATCTCATCAACATAATACTTTGTTCATTTTGAGAATGTGCAAAACTAGGGAGAAGAATTTTGCTTGAACAGTGTCATTTTTGTACCTATTTTTCACTGAATTCCTACCGTCATGGGTTCTTTTACAAACATGCCAATGTCTACATGGGTGGTCCTCAGTTTTTTGTGCCATCCAAATGACGAAGCAACACTTTATTTGTCAGCTTTGCAGTCCCTACCCCTGACAAGCAGGAGTCGGACATGAAAAATCATGAAGCTCTTTGCAGTCCACGCTAGGATTTGATTCTGGCTAGTGGATATTTCATTCCTTTAATGTTCAACTAGCACCAACCACCCACACCTTTTCCGTCTCAAAATAGTGTATGACTTTAAAACAAATTCACGAAAATGTTTATCATCTTAAAATGATATAAATGACATTTTTAGAATGATAATTGACGATTGAATGAATTGATACTAATGATGTGTACATATCCATGTTGGTTGTGAAAGATGAAAATTGTTGATTTGGGAGGGTTTGATAATGGACCAGAAATTCCTGCATGTAAGAATTGTAAGAATTGGGTGTTAAATTGATATTTACATGATATTCATTTCTCATTTTATTGTTTAAAAAAGTTGGAGACGAAATTGTCTTAAAATGAGAATGAGATAATTATATCAGCCTATCGTGTAATATTCTGTACATTAGAGTCACTAACAATAATTTAACAGAAAGGGAATGGAATTTAACATTTTGTCATCACATCTTGAGACTATGACTGGACACAGTATGCTTATCAGATGTAAGTCCAGCACATATTACACCTGACAAGTGTGAACATCCCAGATCCTCGACAGGATTTAAACCAGGGACTATCTTTCTCTAGCTACCCTTATGGCCCTGGCCATGAAAATCTAAACACTGAAGATGACAAGTACTAATGGAAGAGGTGTGCATCAAGTAATAAAGATAAAGATCAGCATGATTGACTATTCTATACATGTACTGTAGATCTACCTGGAATATATTGGTTTCCCAGCTTCACTCAGAATAAATATGTGTTTTGACTGCGATCGCCAATGTTCACTATTTACATCATCATGATCCTCTTCAGCTGGTACCATTTCTTTTTTCTTTTTGGCAACATCATTTGCTGTCTACAAAAACATAGATCAATGATATACAATGTACGCAAGCCATCTACTACTACGCAAAATGGTTATTTATTCAATTTCAAAAATACATAAGCCCTAGATTTAAGCCTACTGATTGAAGCAGTCAAGGTATACCAATCAAAATACAAATTTACCCTACCTGAAACAAGTGCAAACCACCTCGTATTAATGGAAGCGGGGAAAGTTGCCACAGATCTATTCACTTAATCTGATATGTACGTTTGTTTGTGATTTCTGCATATTGTGTCTTGTCCGTAGATTTGTTTTGTGAAATTGTCAATGACAAGTCAATTCAAGTACACAAGCCAGAGAGACAAAGAGAGATGATTTAACTTCCATTCAACACAAACTATTTTATTTCAGGACTAACATATGGTGTTTATTTCAATACTTCGATGTGGGAGGAAGTGGGATTACACAAGTGGAAAACACTGTCAGATAATAATAATTAACTTATGAATCTGCAATTGTACTGCCACTGGGCTTACTTTATAATTAGTCTGTTAATTAGTCATATTACAAATTACAATTATTTGAATTATGTTAGTTTTAAGTAGATAATAAAGATACCTAAACGCTCGAGCCTGTGTTTCATCAGTGACAGGGGGACGGGCATGCATAAACATGTCATGTCTAATATTTCATATCTAATTAGTTTTTGGAAGCCAGAATCTGAGATTCTCATTATGGTTTTAGATTGTCCAACAATTATTTATACTAAGCCATGCACTCTGTGTTTAAAGCTATGAAGTAGTGATGTTAGTGGTGGGCAGATTCTAGTATCTAGCCCCCTATTGGTATGATAAATGAACTAAGAAATGCTGTATGGGGATACCTCTGTTTGTTCTTCATTATTGGATTCCTCTCCAGTCGAAGTTTCATTGGATTCAACGTTGTTCGGTGTTTGACGTTGAACCGTAGAAGTACCGTCAAGAATTTCATAATTAAGATTTTCATAAGAATCACTGGCAATCAGCATGGGGTTTTCACTCTCTCCAGGTGCATTTTCCTCCAAAAATTCGCCTTGATCAGATGATTCTGATGTATTCTGGTGTTCCGCCTCTTTCGGGTCCGACATTTTGGACCACCAAACATGTTCGTTCTGCACGAAAGAGCTGCAGCCTTGACATTATAACAAGATAATCAATCACTCAAATTTGTGTTTAACTCTACAATGAACTTTGATTTTTTTATCTTTATATGTCGAGTGAAAAAAAAGGGAGATGGATAATTAATTGACCGTTTTTATTTTTTCAATAAAGAACTATTAGCTTATAATTAGCTTACTACTTCCTATGTCGATAAATAAATTGACAAATCGGATCCTGCTATAAGGGAGGCTACTCCATTTAACCGATAAATGGAGTTTTCTCCCTTTAATAACATTATTCAATAGCCATAATTATTAATATCGATACTCATCTTATTGTAGCGCCCAGAGGACTGTTCATAGGCGCAAATAACAACGTCATTAAAATATAAATGGCGAGTTCAAAAGTTCTGTTTTGAATTCCCTTTTTATCTTTTATGGCCAGCATCTAGTTACAGTGAATCCCGATTTTAACAGTCTCAGAAATAAAAGTCTGTGTACGTATGAAAATTAAACCCCAAAATATATAGGAAAAGTGTATTTACCTTCTCTAAGTATTTCAGCTCCAAATATTGAGTCGTTTGGACGTGAACGTCAACCCCGCTTATCTGGACACGTAACCCTTTAAGAAATCGGGTCAATTTTTTCATTGGGTGACGTGCTGTCCTTGGATAACGACAGGTAAATTTCACCTACACGTTATTTTTTATAATTATAGAATAAAAGTCTGAATTTATCCAGACATGGTACCCCGGTCTCGTCTCCATTTCGCAGTTATTTTATTCTCCAAAATATAATCGAGATTGGCCCTTTAACAATTAAGTTGAACCAGCGGCTGCCAGGCAGGATGCGCCCACATTTTCGAGAGATGGATAGAAAACAAGCTAAAACGAAAGTGATTTTTCCTACAATCAAGGGCCATAATTCAGGAAATTACAATTCGATATGCGCAAATATCGAAAGGAACTAAGATCTTTGAGTTATAAACATACATTTCAAGTTTCAACAAAATCGGATAAAAATTGTGACCTCTATAGGATCCACAACCTTGACATACCATATTTTTACGCTATTTGAGAACGAAGGGCGGCCATTTTGTCTGTCAGTTTTGGGCTGATTTTCACGAAATTCAAACTCAGCAGCCGTCCTTAGGGTGTAACGGTTATATATTAACACAGTTTTTTAAATCGGATAAAAATTATGACCTCTATAGGGTCCACAAGCCAAAAAACGCGTTTTTGCGTACAATCAGGGGCCATAATTCAGGAAGTTACGGTCCGATATGCGCGAATATCGAAAGGAACCGAGATCTTTGGGTTATAAACTTGCATTTCAAGTTTCAACAAAATCGGATAAAAATTGTGATTAGATAGGGTCTACAACCTTGATATACCATATTTGTACGCTATTTGAGAACGAACGGCGCCCATTTTGTCTGTCAGTTTTGGGCCGATTTTCACGAAATTCGAACTCAACCGTCCTTAGGGTTTAACGGTGATATAATAATACGTTTTTTTTAAATCGGATAAAAATTATGACCTCTATAGGGTCCACAAGCCAAAAAACGTGTTTTTGCGTACAATCAGGGGCCATAATTCAGGAAGTCACGGTCCGATATGCGCGAATATCGAAAGGAACCGAGATCTTTGGGTTATAAACTTACATTTCAAGTTTCAACAAAATCGGATAAAAATTGTGACCTCTACAGTGTTCACAAGCCAAAAACGTGATTTTTCGTACAATCAGGGGCCATAATCCATGAAGTTATGGTCCGATAGATGCCAATATCGAAAGGAACCGAGATCTTAGGGTGATAAACCTATATTCCAAGTTTCATTGAAATCGGATAAAAATTGTGACCTGTAGATTGTTCACAAACAATTGTGGACGGACGGACAGGGGCGACGACAACATACGTCCACATGAAAATGTGGGCGTATAAAAATTCCTCTAATGAAAGAGCTCATTTAGATATAACTATTATTTCTATCAAAATGAATAATATTCTTATACTATTTTGTAAGCTTCTTATGGCATATTGGTACCATAATTTCATGGTTAAGTTCCATACCATTTGTACAGTTGCTAATATCAATTTTATAGGTATCCCTGGTTAGCCCAAACAGAAAATGGTCATCTTCGAACTCCATCAAGGCATTCACCTAATAAACACCTAAACTAAGTTTGAACATACAATGTGTCATTTTAACAGTTATCACATAAAATAGCCATCCCAAAAAATTAAATTAAATGGTCTAAAAAGAAGAACAAGCAGGCCCCTAACTGGGGGGTGGGGGGGGCGTGAAGCTCCCCTTGCAAAAAAGTTTGGCCCCCGCTGTGAAAAAATTTTCGACCATAAAAAAAAATAGATATACATTGTCCGTCAATTTTACAGCACCCCTGAGAACACTTCCCGCCCCCCTTGTTGCGCAGAGCTAGTTACGACCCCGAGAACAAGACAAATGAAGGGATAATAAAGGAGATTCTACTCCCTTTATTCAACCTTCCTGGAATAACCGTATTAAAACAATGGACAAATCAATTTTGTTTCAGATAAATTTATTTTAAACTAAAACAATATTCATGTCCTGCTCAAAGGTTATGTATTTGATTTTATGTACAGTATATATAAACTATTAAAATGTTAGCTACTATTCAAGCCTTTTAAAGTCAACTACCAGGTACAGGTAACAACACTTTCAACAGATCCATTTGTATGCTACGATCTGTGACACTGTCAGTAGACTATCCAATTTCTTAACTAACTTATAAGCCAAGCCAGAACAGCTGCAGAAATAAAATGTGTTCTATTTTGAATGTCTTGAAAACATAAATAACTTAAGCAGACAATTGGACTGGATTGGTTATGATCTGATGAAAGTCACAAGGTCTAGTATCACAAATACATTATTCTGAACATTGTCAGCTATCAACTGATCTTATCTCATTAAAGGCTACAAAAGTTATAAAACCCCATCAGTCTTATACCAAGATGGAGTAGGGAGCCTATGTTTACTTGATTGATACTGTATTATCAAAGAAATCAGTAGGAATGTAAGCTACTCTAAAACAACTTACAATCATTTCTAATACAAAATTGAACTCATTTCTAATACAAAATTGAACTCATTTCTAATACAAAATTGAACTCATTTCTAATACAAAATTGAACTCATTTCTAATAAAAAAAATTGAACTCTACCCAGTCATATTTGTGTCAAGTTTGCAAGTAAGTTAACTTTTTCAACTTTCTGATAAAAAGTTCACAGTGTAAACCCAGCATAATACAACTAAATATACATAGGTACATGTCTTATTACAGAAACAGTTTTTCAGATACATATAGAGAATCTCCTACCAGTCTTTTTTTATATCAAAAAAAAGGCGAGTAGGAGATTTTATTTATCACCCAATCCCTTCTTACATGCACAAATAGATAAGTATAATTCTTTGCTGTAGATTTCACTTTTACTGAACATTACGGCGTAGTGATACATCATTTTTTGACAGCAATTCAACCATTGCAAAGTCCTTTATATTGACCCAGTGTTTCCATCAAGGTCAATTGAATAACAATAAATCATTTTTAATTTAAAAAAAGTTACTGTTAATAAGAAATGAACTGTTCTTTGAAAATAAAAAAAAGTAGTTCCTTTTCAACTGACCAATCAAATTCATGTAAAGCGAATCGCAGTAGATTATGAAATATATCACACAAGCAATATCTACTGTAGAATGTATTATTGGGTGATAAATGAAGTTATTTAACAATTTATTTCCAAAGTCATCATATATAATAATAGCTTAGGCTATATTTTATAAAATAACAACTTTGCTAAGTAAATTTCAAAGAAGTGAAATAATATTGTGCCAAGTCAGAAACCAGTTTTAAACCATATAATACACACATATAAAAGATATTTTCAATAAAATTTTTTATATTAGCCTACCGAACAAATTATGCCACAGATGTGATATTGATAAGCAACTAGCACCTATGTCATCCACACTAACCATGAAAAGGGTGAATTATGCTGTGATTAAGTGGAAGAAGTAAGAGGTTTACCGTTCAAGACAGATCCTTAAAATAGGATAAAATGAAAACATTATTGTTTTTAAAAAATGTGTACTACTACTACTACTATGATAGATCTATTCAAACAACCTCTACATGTACGAAAATATATATTCTTTTAAAACACTGACATGGATCATGTCTACAAGTTTTGAATGAAAAGTGAATCTGAACATGGTTTTGACAACACAGGGTTTAACATGGCAACTCAGAATTCCCATATTCTTCTTATAAAATAACTAAACAAATTTCTAAAACACTGACCAATAAAGTATCTACAGTCAATGTGGGCAGACAAATGGATAGGAGTGACAATATTCTCTAAAATAGAATATGTGAACATCTTAAAATTGAATGGTTTCCAGTCAAACAAATCCAGTGGTTCCAATAAATTACAGTAAATACACCATACACACACTTATTATGGAGATATGTTCATAGTTTAGTTGATATGAACCAATCAGATGGCAGTATGAGTGTACTTATTATATACATGTGGGAGACTGTTACAATCATATTCAACAAAGGATTATTTTAAGTTTTATCAAAATCACTGTGTCAACTTACAGTCATATCAGTTAAGGTATCAAACAATCAGGTTGCAGTAAGTTAATTCACTTTTTTGACTTCAAAGAAATTTCAGCAGGCTAACTTTGGTGAGTGACTGTGACCATGAATGTATAATCAAATATATTCTAAGTTCTAGCAAAGTTCTTTCATTAGAAACACCAGCACTGCAGAATGCATAGAATTGTGCATGTGGGAACTGTTTATCAACCAATCAGATTTCAGTAGGCTAATTAAATAAATAAGTATGAACTGACTATGATAATGAAGTTTATCAAAATCTGTTCACAAGACATATTTATTGTGTTTCAAAGATCGTGATGGATGGACGGAAGGAAACAATTAAATAAACAAGCAGGTCTAACACTAGTAAAAATGTAAGAATGCAGGCCTATGAAAAACATATCCAATAAACATGAAAGGCAAATAATAGAAACTATTCTCAATTTACATATTGAATTTACATTACATTGTCTAAGCTAATTAATTTGAGAATCAAAATTTGACACATGCTTCTTCGGTATCAAAACTATACCAAAAGATCTAGAGATTGCCTTATTCACCTCCTATAGGATGTAACAAATGTTCTTGCGTATATTTGGGCTTGTTTTTCCCCTAATGTGCCTACCAGGTACCAGTCTGCTTTAGCACTAAATTCATTATCAACAAATCCTGCAGAGCAAGTTTAACATTAATATATATATAATGTCTGTAAAATCACAAATGGTATCTGGTATCAGGAATCACTTATCCAAATCCAGTTGATACAGTAAGAAAATGGCTCTTTACAATCTTTATTTAACAATAAATTTTGATTTTGTAATATGTTCTGTATTTTCACTCCAATTAAAGTGAGCATGTTTGGTCATACAGCAAACCATTACCAATGTACAGAGGTTTTTAATTCAAATATGCACTCATACTGGAACATTGAGTATTTTCAATTAAAAAAAAGAGTCTCTACGGTTATTACTAGTAAATGATATAATAGTGAAAGCAATCAATTTCGTGATTAATGTGATAATGTCTATTTAGAATGTCATGTATTATTCATAATTACCGTTAAATAGTAACATTCCCTCCAGTGGCACCTGAACTATATTTTGAGTCAGTTCACAGACCTTAAATTCTAAATGGGGTAAGAGGTGACTCTACCCTTGTCCTTGGGAATTTGCTGAATCCTAGAGTAATTTTCTAGTACACATGCAGGATTATACATACTACCGGTAACTAGAGATATCTACATGTACTCCTGCTGGTTGTATATACATGGCTGTACATGTGGTATGGGTTCATTGCCCGAGACTATTCTATTTTGAAGAATGGATGGGATGAGTACACCCATCAAACAGGTCTCTTGAGAAATGTGGGTTGACAAAATATACTCTTTGCCGACAACTTGTAAAAATTGGTTGGCAAACATCAACCAAGTTCCTGTGCACTGACTACCTGTTCCCAAGTCTAAGGGGCATCCCCTCTAAGTCATAACTTTGCAAAAAGAGGCAGACAGTCATTTACAGTGGGTGTGATCCAAAAGTAGAGAAAAGACACAATTTTAAACAATAAAACAAGGCCATGATAAAATAAACTATTATCAGCAATAAATGTTTCTTTTCCCATAATACTGGTGTGTATTTAAAATAAATACAAATGTGTATTAGCTTACTAGTCTTATAACAAGATGATCTAACAGTGAAAATCTAATTCAATTAACATGAGAGATAATAATAACAATTATATGAAATGAATAGTTAAAAAACATGACAAACAACAAGTAAAGGTTACTGACCAACATGGAGGACTTCAAGAAGATTGAACACTTAAGACCTGAGATACATAGCTGTCGGTTTGCTCAATAAACAAACTTTGATGTTCGAATGACTTGAATCACATCATCAGGTCAGTAACCTATATGTACTTACACATCTGGCTCCAAAGATTTACAAGTCACAAGTTTTATATCACATCGGCATTCCAAAAATCATGTATTACGTTACTATCAAAAATAAAGGCAAGGATGTTTATAGAATGTTAATAATAAAAAATATGTAATATAAATTGTGTCATTTTCTGACATGTTAAATTTCAAGCCAAGTAGACAATGCATTATTTAAGATTCAAACAGAAGTAAACCGATTATAAAACATGACTGATAACCATTCTAATTAAAAGCTGAATACTTTAACAAACTTATCGTTAATAATAGCACCTTATGTTACATATGTACAAAGTTTATCATCTCAGTTACACTTGTGGCCATATTCAATCACATAATTTATAGATTGGTGTAAAACGCCCTTTTCCCATCATCACCTTCAGAAAAAAGAAACTAGATAATTGAAAGTTAAGGCTATGGACAAATTCATATCTGTAAGTTCATTTTCATAAGGAGTGATCTAAATTGAGATGGCTAACAATTGGGAAGTTGAAGAGCATGGTCCCTTTTTTATAATCCGGTAATGAAACTTGTTTGGTATATCTATTTTTTCTTTTTTTTTAATGAATATTTGAATTGCTCATTCAAGAAAGTTTCATGGGGTCATTAGTGCACAGTCTAAAGCACAACATTTTACACTCACATATATTTATTATGTGAATATGATGAGAATTGTCAGATGTTTGAAACATTACCTAATTGGTAAATATACGTCTTTAAAAATAAAATTTTAAAAGAATTTTACAAACTTGATATCTTGATTATTAGGAATGTATTGTTTATTTTATAAATTTATTGACACTATACTTTTTTTATCACTCTAAACTAGAATCGCGCTCTCCGCCACAATTTTTTGTAAAACACACAAAGAAGTACTGCAAAACTACACACAGTCATAAGAGCAATAATAAGACCAGCTTCTTTATACAACATACCCTTTCGATGAAAATTAGGTCTATAAGATCTAAAGTACATATATTTTTCATCATGTTTCTTGTATTCAAGATTAGGTTCGGGCGGTAATGGGGCTCTTGGAGGTTTTTGTTTAAAAGTAAGGTATTCTTTTGGATCACCAAAGCGTCTTGGATGGTGTTGAATTATCCATACAAGATCAAGTTTCTTATTATTTTGAGCAGCAAAAACTCTCCATTTTAAATGAGTTGCATTGATAACATCTAAGGTTCCGTAATTTTCAATGCCATCTGAAATTCTCTTGGCAGACCAAACACCATTCGGTTTATTTATTTTTTCATTTAGATATATGGAGCCTAATGTACCAACAGTAATATAGACTGGTGCTTTAGGATTCTTATAATGGCTGAAGATGACCTTCTGTTTATACACTGGCCACGATCGTTCATAATTATGATAATGTCCACCAATATACAAATCAACACCATTTCGAAAGAACAAATCCTCAAGTTCCTTTTGCATTGTAGCTGTTTCATTTAAACAGTCTTTTCTGTTATCACAAGAACTGTACAGTGGTCTGTGTCCTAGAACAATTACCCATGGTCGATTATTACGTTTACTATTTACAGTTTGTAGGTCTTTTTTCAGCCATTCCAGCTGGGGATTCTTTCTTTTCTTGTGAGAAAAGAAGACTTCAGTATTTAATGAGATGAAATGTGCTGCTCCTACATCGAAACTATACCACAATTTGTCAGCCTTCATTGGCCATCCTAAATTAGGCATAGAAAACCTTGTACAATATTCCTGAAAGTCTGACCCTAATTCATGATCTCCAGGGGATACCATGTAAGGTATTTTAGATGCCATTGGTTGAATACTGTTTAGATATTTATCCCCGACCAAACCTTTTTCGTGTTGTAGATCGTAAGCAATGTCACCAATATGAAAGACAGCTGTATACCGCTTATTTATAGCTTCTTGAACAATGAAAGGTAGATTGATTGTCCGAGTTCCCATATCAGCTAAAACCATATAAGAATGAACAACATTGACTTTAGTTGGAGGAACTGTAAAATAAGAAACCTCACTAATAGCACCATTCTGTTTACTGAATATTCTATAAAAATACTTTTCTCCTGGTTTCAAATTTGTTATGTATGCTCTGTGCCAAAATTTTGCACTTTTTACACCAGCATTTGCAAACTCAATTTGTTCACCAACAACACTAATGTACTTCATGCGTGGATCTGCATTATACTGAACTTCCATTTTTGGTTCCTTAATTCGTGTAGCCCATAAAATAACAATATCCGCTGGACTCTTGCCATAGGAAATATGTATTTGTTGGGGTGAAAATGCATTGATGATGGCTGATTTACCATTTGATTTAAACATGTTCAATTTCTTTGCTTCAAGATGTGCTCTACGGAACTTACGCCTATACAGACTTATGTGTTCTACTGTCATTAAGAAGACAATAAGCTGGAGTAGAGGTGAAATTCTCATTTTTTCATCTGACTGGTAGAATTCAAATATAAAAAGTTAAAATGTTAATAAACAGGTAATTAAAAACATGTACATATATATATATATATCCTATAGTATCAACATGTATGTACATGTAGGTCAGGTCTACTACACACACTCGTCTTAATATATTACAGGATCTGATGTTGATACATGTACATGTAGTATTCAGTACTGTACATAATAACGACTCTCAACAGTATTTTACACTCCTGGTAATACTAGCTCATATTGGTATTGCACCTGTAATGAATAAGACAATTAAAGTTAGATTTTTACCCACAATTAAAAAACATTATAGTTGTTTAGCAAAATGACCTTTCAAACGACTGGTATTGCAGAAGTTTATAAGAATAACAAGCCAACAGTGAGGCTGATGTCCCCCGCCGAAATAGGAAAATAATTAGAGGACACATATAAATTTATCACAAATAAGCGGAACGGACAGACAGACAAACAGACAGACGGACGAACCCATTTTAATAGTTCCCTGCTTTCTTCGAAAGGCGGGGGACAATCAAAGTAGGAGAGTTATTGTTTTCCAAAGTCTCGACCAATCAAATTGCGTATCGCTCTGCTTACCCTGAGCAGAAAATGCTCATTATCAAACTTAGTCAAGGTATTACTGTAATGAAACTATACACCAAGTTTCATCAATCTCACTTAATTAGAACTAAAGTTATCGTGTCCCAAAGCATCAACCAATCAAATTGCTTATCTCTGCTTACCCTAAGCGGAAAATGCTCATCTTCGAACTCCATCAAGGCATTGACCTAATCAACACATACACCAAGTTTGAACATTCTAGCTCAATTAGGAAGAGAGTTATCGTGCCCCAAAGTATCAACCAATCAAATTGCTTATCTCTGCTTACCCTAAGCGGAAAATGCTCATCTTCGAACTCCATTAAGGCATTGACCTAATAAACACATACACCAAGTTTGAACATTCTAGCTCAATTAAAAGTTATCGTGTCCCAAAGCATCAACCAATCAAATTGCTTATCTCTGCTTACCCTAAGCGGAAAATGCTCATCTTCGAACTCCATCAAGGCATTGACCTTATCAACACATACACCAAGTTTGAACATTCTAGCCCAATTAGGAAGAGAGTTATCGTGTCCCAAAGCATCAACCAATCAAATTGCTTATCTCTGCTTACCCTAAGCGGAAAATGCTCATCTTCGAACTCCATCAAGGCATTGACCTAATAAACACATACACCAAGTTTGAACATTCTAGCTCAATTAGGAAGAGAGTTATTGTGTCCCAAAAAGTGTGACGGACAGACAGACAGACGGACAGACAGACAGACAGACAGACAGACGGACGAACCCATTTTAATAGTCCCCTGCTTTCTTCGAAAGGCGGGGGACAATAAGTATTGAAGACAGATGCTGTTAATACTTGAGGCTGTGTGCATTTTAATTCATGTAACCCCATATATGTCAATATTAAATGTTATCAAAAATGTTGACAAAAAATGTTTACTCTCCTTTGGCCATCAACACAGAGATGGGCTCTCATACAAGTTGAACCTATTTGAGTATGTACGCAACCTCAAATGACAATTTCTAAACTGATTATGAGACAGATGCTGTACGTTTATTATCAGTAGAACTAAGCTTATAGTATTCACTTATAAATAGCCATCATATATATGCAGGGCCAGATTAGGCCTGTTTGGGGCCCCTGGCTGAAAAATGTCACTGGGGCTGTTGCATCAAAAGTGAAAAGGGGAATATTCTAGTTATTACTCATCACACTAACACAAATTGGATTTTAAATAACACAAACACAGATTTATGGATAACAATCAATAGCAACTTTAATAGTGCAACATTTCAACAAGTAACTGAAGTATCCTCTTGTCGCTATCAAGCACAAGGTAAATGATAATATGATAGAAATACCTAGCATTCAATTTGTATGTCAGTATGCTAGATAGATAAAAGACTATTTGTTGTTAGCAAGGCTTATCATACAGTAGGGATAATCTCCACATAGGCTAGTGAAAGTGTCAGCGGCTTTGGTCTTGGAATCTACGCCATACTTAGTTTCTTTAGGAACGGTCTCTCATCAGATCCTGTCCGTACCTAAATAGCTGCAATATCAAAATAACGCTTTCACCCACCTCTGTTTTAAGGCTATTTTGGAATCTTTACCGACTATTTTTCATCGATTCTTCTTTGTTCGCCAAAAGGAATTATTTCTTGTTACATCTGACACAAATTTATGATAATTCAACACTATTTTCAAGTAGAATTTTGTGATTAAAGATATACACAAAATACTTTTGAACTCATCAACAATTACGACTACAAGACTTGAACATGCGCAGACCACATGTTTTTTTTAATCGCAAAATTCTACTTGAAAATACTAAAATAGTGTTGAATTATTAGGTATATGTTTGTGTCAAATATGGCAAGAAATTATTCCTTTTGGCAAAAATAAAGAAGCACGGTGAAAAATAGAAGGTAAGGATTCCAAAATAGAGAGAGAGAAATGGGGTTTAATGTCCACTCGACACAAGCTAGGACTAGGTCATTTCAGGACTAACATATGGTTCAATTTTATTTCAATAATTTGCTTGCGCGTATGGTTCTTTAGCAGTGGGAGGAAACAGGAGGACCCGAAGAAAACCCATGAGAATGGACAGGCAACCCTACTCCTTGTCAGGTTACAACCGGGGAATTGAAACCAGGCCAGATGAATATTAGAATAGAACAGAGCTGGGGAAGAGCGGTATTTCCATATTGCAGCTATTAGGGCGGATAGGAACGGTCTGTGGACAGGGTCCGATCAGAGACCGTTCCCTAAAGGCAATGAAGCATACGGAGTGGTCAGTGGAAGTGGAATGGTTCTAAACTTCTAGCTAAAGTAATGGCAGACGAAGAATGAATACAGAATAGATCGTGGGATCGAAAATGTCACGCTAGAGTGACGACAAACTACGCGTACAATTTATTTTGACCACTTTTGCATGACATATGAGTATATTTAGAATAAAGAACAAAGTGTTACAAATTATATACTTGCAAAACCGGTTCCTAGATCTACTGATTAATTTCAATAGGCCTATTAAAAATCATAACTTGTCGAAAAAAAAATTTGACAACTCAGGCGAAGCCATGTTTTACATTCGCACTAAATATATCCTTTTGGTTTTCCCTCCTAGACACATCCCCAAAAAGCAAAATATGTATATCTGTAGAATAGTATTTTTTCAACATACCAATCCGATGGCAAATTTGCTTTTACTTATTTCTTATTTGTTGAAATACCAATATTTTATTTACCGCGGGACGAATATTTACACCGGAAGTAATTATTCTAGGATGGAAATAAAGATCATAAATAATATTTTGGTAATTGTCAGCTGACATTGTGATGTCAAATATCGTTTTTAAGTTTGTAGATCAACTGGAGTTAGTTTTGGACAAATTAAATTCTTACATTCCGTCTGTTTGCTGGGAAACCTTAGAGTATATGAAAGTGGCGGTGGTTAATGCTGACATCCAGCTTCAGATTTTGATTATTTTAGGTTTATGGTTGACTATCAATATTTGTCTGATTACATTGACCTGGAAGAAATACGAAAATAATCTCGACGACAACGTTATAATTGCAGGTAATCAATAAGTGGTGTACTTTGGTACATTGCTGTATACTGTATACACAAATGTACAGGATTCAATGGTAGAAAAGCCGTCTTGTTGGTAGTATACATGTTAATGTTGAGCGCAGATTTCACCTTACGGACAGATTACCCCAGTGTAAATATCTAATTTCCATTTACTAGTCTGCACATGCAGAGTTAAGTCTGCCCAGTATTCACCATGCTTGCAATAATATATTTTAGTGTCACAGCCCTACAGCCCTTTGAAAAAATTGGGCCCACACATACACATACAGTTAACTTCGCATAAGTCGGATCTAAATGGACTGACCAATTTTATCCGAGTTACTCGAAGATCTGAGTTAGCCGAAAGCCTACTTCCGCTCTGAACGTACATGTAGTCTCATTATCGCCCTGTACGTTCAGGGACTGTCCTATTGAATCTTTGTCAACTAAAATCGGTTCTCAGTCAATTTACTGGGCAAATTTTAACGATATGTGTCAGTCTCTGTGAACGCCTGAACAATGTAAAGGAACATTTTAGTGAGAAAATAAGACCCTGCTCACCTCGCTAGAGTCAGTATGTTAAACATTGAGGTCTAGATGTGGGGTGGCGTACAGATTTACGTGGCTTGGCTATATAAGACGAAACGAAATTTAGGTAAGCTGGGGTGGGGAAAAATTAGAATTGTTGAAAAGCTGAGGAACTTCAGTCAATTACTGCTTTGCCTAGCCCAATTACAATCAAATTTTTTCAAAAATTCCAATTTCGTTTCGTCTTATATGGCCGAGTTGTGCAAATTTGCGCGCTGCCCTGTATTTGGAAGGAAAAAAGCCGGAATTAGAACAAATGGGCTGAACATTTTGATCCGAGTTGAGCAAAGATCCGACTTAGGAAATCCGACTTACGCGCAGAAATTTAATGAGAAAAACATGCAGGATCAAAGGTTCCAAACGATTTTATCCGAGTTGAGCAAAGATCCGACTTATACGAATCCGACTTATGCAAGGTTTACTGTATACTATACTGATACACATATCTGAGGATTTATGTCCACTTCAGTCTTCAGAAACACGTAGGCCTACATTGCACTTTGATAGAATATTTAAAAATCTGTCAACTGTTGGTTATTAATGTATTTATTTCAACTATACATAACATTGAAGTCTACGATATTACAGCAAATATTTTTTGGACATTCAGTCACATGACCAGTTGACGTATATAATAGTGAAGATTATGAGATGCTATGGATTCGAATTTAAATCTTATTCTTAGCACACACGCTAATTATGCAGTGATTTTGGAAATAATTTGAACAATCATTACAGTACAAATTTGATAGAGGACAGACCCTACATGGGGCGTCTGACACCTTACTTTCTTCTTTAAAAACACCGAGAAGTAATCAGTGCAAAGTTGACAATCTGTGCACATGTTTGATATGTGCAGATAACAATCGGCGCACAGGGTCCAACCTGCGTAGAGAAAGGCCTCTGCGGAACACAGCCACGCAGATCGCAGTCTGTCCGAGGGGTCAAAAATGCGCCCAACATACACAATGAACAGCACATGTAAACAGTGGTAAAATATTTCCACAGAGTTACTCATTGGCCATGCATAATTTCCGTAGAGTTGTATGGTGACAATACGCATCAGTTTAATCATATAATATACTTTCTCCAAACAAGCACAGTAATGTATATCTCTGGCATTGCAGGAATTGTTTCATGGACGTCATATTATATAGGGCATACACGTACAGTACATGTAGCTGAATTTGGTGAGGTCTTGTGAGATTTTACTGTTAATTTCAGACACTACAGAAGAATAAGAAACATTTACATCTCCTTAATCTGTAAATTGTGTTTCAAAATATTAGATCTTTCTCAGGCTTTGTAGGGCACAATCTCTCTGGTGTCATTCATTTTGTAAGAAACAGATTTGTTTTATGTCATCATTTTCATGGATAATTCACGTCTGCACCAAGTTAAAAATATGTGGTAATAGAAAAGTCCAGGGATTAAATTTGTCGAATGCAAACCTGGTGTTTATTTACTTCCGAGATGTAACAGAAAATGCATGATACCACTCACTGAGAATGCTGATAAAAGGGCTGACTCCAAGGGTTTAGTTGAGGGAGTTTAATTTTATATAATTTAATTACATTATATTTTATTTTCAGACTTGAGTAGACAGTCTTCTCTGTACGAAAGTGTAAATGGTGGCAGCAGTAAAACCAGTAAACATTTGAAGAAAGATTAAATTTTTAATATCTGATAGAATATCATTTATATATAATGGCAGCTATCAAAAGATTTTTTGAAAAGAGAAAGCTTGATGTCAAATTCAAAAAGGCTGGAGGGGGTCACCGTTTAGCTGAAGATTCATCTCAAAGAAAGGTGCCATCTGATGCCTCCTCTCGTCCATCACCCCCAAAAAGACAAGGCCCACCTGAAACTGGTCAAAGAGCTGCTGAAGCTGCATTAGCTAGAATTCAATCGGCACAGCATGGTCATCCAGGTATGTATAGTTAAATAACTTACATGTGTGTACAGGCATATCATTGTTCATTTCAAAAGCCTTTGTAAAATGATAGGACAAAATTAATGTTCCCTTTCTACTCTTTATTTGTCAGTATGCAAAAAAAATGTGATGGTATGCAAATTTTATTCCTCAACAAAAGTGAGTCAGGGGCGGATCCAGGAATTTTTGCAGGAGGGGGCTTGCCAGGTTCCTGAGAAAATGTATCTGCCCCCCCCCCCCTCGACTTGAAATTTTTTCAGAAATACTCGGTCTCTATTGTCATTTTGGCATATATACATACACATTGATCTTTTTAAATAGAGAAATCCAACATCCTGTTTGACGTCAATTTTTATAATGAATTAATACAGTGACATTGTGATTCAATGTTATTGATGCAAAGCATTAATTATATCACACATGTCTATATCATTATCTCACACTTTAAGTGCCCATCCTGTCACACCATCTGACGATAAAGGATAAAGCACAATTATGACACTTTTCTCATAAAACAAGCCAACAGTGAGGCTGATGTCCCCCGCCGAAATTGCAAAATAAATAGATGACACATATTAATTAATCGCACATTTATTTTTTTCACTAAGTTTCATCACTCTCTATCAGATAGAATCAAGATTATCTTGTCCCAAACCATCGACAAATGAAATCGATTAGCTCTGCTTAGCTTCAGCTCGAAATGTTAATTATTGAACTCAGTCAAGACATTCACCTAATGAACATCTACATATACATCAAGTTTAAACATTCACCTAATAGACACCTATGCCAAGTTTGAACATTCTACCTCAATTAGAAGGAGAGTTATTGTGTTCCAAAGTTTCTACCAATCAAATTGCTTATCACTCTGCTTACCCTCAGCAAAAAATGTTCATTATCGAACTTAGTTAAGGTATTCATATAATAAATCTATACACCAAGTTTCATCAATCTCACTTAATTAGAACTAAAGTTATCGTGTCCCAAAGCATCAACCAATCAAATTGCTTATCTCTGCTTACCCTAAGCAGAAAATGCTCATCTTCGAACTCCATCAAGGCATTGACCGAATCAACACATACACCAAGTTTGAACATTCTAGCTCAATTAGGAAGAGAGTTATCGTGCCCCAAAGTATCAACCAATCAAATTGCTTATCTCTGCTTACCCTAAGCGGAAAATGCTCATCTTCGAACTCCATCAAGGCATTGACCTAATAAACACATACACCAAGTTTGAACATTCTAGCTCAATTAAAAGTTATCGTGTCCCAAAGCATCAACCAATCAAATTGCTTATCTCTGCTTACCCTAAGCGGAAAATGCTCATCTTCGAACTCCATCAAGGCATTGACCTAATCAACACATACACCAAGTTTGAACATTCTAGCCCAATTAGGAAGAGAGTTATCGTGTCCCAAAGCATCAACCAATCAAATTGCTTATCTCTGCTTACCCTAAGCGGAAAATGCTCATCTTCGAACTCCATCAAGGCATTGACCTAATAAACACATACACCAAGTTTGAACATTCTAGCTCAATTAGGAAGAGAGTTATTGTGTCCCAAAAAGTGTGACGGACAGACAGACGGACGGACAGACAGACGGACAGACAGACGGACAGACGGACAGACGGACAGACAGACAGACAGACAGACGGACGAACCCATTTTAATAGTCCCCTGCTTTCTTCGAAAGGCGGGGGACAATAAGGTTGTTTTACAAAAAAATTTATGTAGCTGAGCAGCGGGGGACCCCCCCCCCCCCCACCTGGATCCTCGCCTGTATGTGCACAAGACATTTATGTAAATATAAATTTGAAATTGTTTGTAAATAATTTTGGCACAGTCTATCTCTCATGCCTGATAAAACAGTATTGACAAATAGAAAGGCCATACAGACCTTTTTAATGATGCAGCAGCATCTGAGAACCAGAATATCTTATAAAGGACAATATCGGTGTCAGCCATTATCACATGATAATGATAGAACTGTGTATCTGTTATCGCTCGTTACTTCAGTCAGTTATATAGAACGATAACTCTTGTTTTCCATTTTTTGCGTCACTTCTGTTTCTTCAGATGTGCGTTAAACTGACACCAATATTGTTCTTTAAATGTGGCCTAAAATATGTATGCACATTATTTCCTTTTGTGCACTCATTGCAAAATGTGAAATCAACTTCAGGATTATTAGGTCAATCAAGGCAACATAGATTGTTAAAAAAAACCCAAATATTAATAAAATCAATTAAACACAATCAAAATTTTATTTCCAGTATATATATTATTATTTTTTTATGTATTTTAGGAGGAAGTACAGCAGCTATAAGGGCAAGGATAAAAAGAGAAATGGAAGAAGAAAAGAAATCGCTCGAAAAAGCAGAGGCAGAAGGGGCTGCTTCCAGATCAGTTCAATCTGAGATTGTACAAGATAGTGCCCCAATTCTATCTGTCATATTTTATAAATGCCCGGAAATTGGAGAAGCGATCTTACCTAAGTCAGAAATGGAGGCGTACATTCATGAATTTCTCCTGAATGGTTTGGCTGAAGAGCCTGAGATGAGTTCTGCACTCATGATTCAAACTTTGAATAAAGATCGTGAGAAAGTGAAAGTGTGTATAGAAACATTAGCTAAATACATAGATAATGTGATAAATCATCCAGATGAGGAGAAATACAGAAGAATAAGAGTGAATAACAAAGCTTTTCAAGAACGAGTTATCAGCTTAAGTGGCACAGAAGAATTTCTACAAGCTGTAAGGTTTCAGTTAAAAACACTACCTCACGAAGACCATGAAGAAGATTTTTATGTTTTGGAAGATGAGGCAGCATCTGATATTGATCGATTGAAGGGCATCAAGGAAGTGTTAGCCATGGCCGAACCTATCAAACCTCAGCTAGATCGATCTATTAAAGTTTTTCATCCTTCTAGTTCTACTACAGCTTCTAAATTCAACATTCCAAACGAATTTTACGCCATTTCTCCTGAAGAAATTAAGAAAGAACAACTACGTCGTAATGAAGCTGTAGAAAAGTTAGGTATGTTAAGAACTAAAGCTATGAGGGAAAGAGATGAACAACGCGAACTGAGGAAATACAGATTCACATTATTACGAGTTCGTTTACCTGATGGTATCATCTTACAAGGAACATTTCGAGCGCTGGAAAAACTGTCAGCTTTGTTAGGATTTGTAAGGGAAAACTTGGTGAATGACTGGATGCCGTTTCTGTTAAGCTCATCAACTGGAGAAAAGTTAATAGAAGAAGATTTAACTTTAGCAGAACTTGGTCTTGTTCCTGCTGCTGTTGTGAATTTTGCATGGGATCCAACTGTTATGGCTGAGGTTACAGCTCAGCAGGGTGCATCTGCATCCAGTAATATCCTTAAGCCCGAAGTTGCTGCCTTGATTCAACAATTTTAAAAACATGTATTATTAAATTTTAATTTGTGTATTGAAGTATGTAAATGGCTAGAAGCAAGTATAGTATTTGCTTCCTGGTCTAATTTTCCCAGTATGATATAGTGACAGATGATATATTGAAATTAATGTTATCTGTCAAAAAAATTACAAGTTTTTTGGTAGAAATGATGGCTTATTATGCTAATAATTTGTTGAATAAATCATCAATGTAAAATATTGGATGACAGTGGATGAACAGTGTATAAAATATATATACAGTAATAATAGCAGATGACAAGATTAATATATTTTTAAAATATCTATGCCACCACATGCAGATGTAGCTACATGTACTTCCTTATGATTGTGGTTGGTTAAAACTATTATTGCCCAAGATAAAACATCTCTCCACTGTAAAGATGTCAGGTTAAGTTACCGGTATGTCATTTGAAGACAATATTATTATGATGTCTATTAATGTAAATATGAACTATATAAAAACTAAAAAGAAATGAAAGTTCAGTGTTGTTTAATAAAGACTGTAGCAGATGAATAGCAAGGTTGTTGTCTCATGGAAGTTTACACAACTATATATACATGTATATATATATTATATGTGTAACAGTTTGGAGTTCTTGTATGGTTTCCAGATTAAAATTTGTTACTCTGTGCACTATTTTTCTTGTGGTGCTCTATGTTGACTACTGAAATGTGTTTGTACACCTTTTGGAACACAATAACACTACTTTTAATTTAAGTCGCATATTCAAACTTGGTGTAGATGTTCATTAGGTGAATGCCTTGATTGAGTTCAATGATGAAAATTTTTAGCTCAGTCTAAGAAGAGATGAGCAATTTAAATTGTCAATGGTTTGGAACACAATAACTTGGGATGAGAGTGATGAAACATAGCGTATAGTTGTTTCATTACATCAGTACCTTAATTTTTGGTAATATGAGCATATTCTACTCGCGTTGAGCAGAGTGATAAACAGTTTACTTGCCTGATGAGTTTCATTTATTTATTTTGAGATTAGGGCAGGGGACATCAGCCTTACTTTTGGCTTGTTTCTTTATTTATTTTTGTAAAGATCCTTGCAGTAAACTGTTTAATTTAATTATAGAAGTTACTTTGTACCTTTATCCTACATACTAACATTGATTTGATGTACTTTAATATTATCATGTACATGTGGCTTTTATTGTAATTCATGTACATGTATTGTTAAAAAAAATATAATAGGCCAGGGACAAATATTAAATTTGATATAGGAAATGATTCTGTCAGTCAATTTATGTATTGGGATAGTTAATTATATTATTAAGCCTGCGTTTCTTTCTAATTTCTCACTTGACCATTTTGACCTCTTTTGGAATGGTTTGTTTTACTGTCCATATTTGGTTTAAATTGTATGTATGTGAAAAAAATAAAGGAACCACTTTCCTGTTGCAAGCCATTGATAATGACGATATGCCGATAGTCTCTTTTCACTAGCTTGAAACAATAGACCCAACCGCCATACTGCTGAAGAACTGATTTCTGCTCCTTCATTCCAGAATCCAGTCATTAGAAAAAGAAAAAGTACATTGTCATAAGATAACTACTGTGGTATTATCCATAGACTGGAGGCTAGGTGAATGTATAAGTCAATAGAAAAGCCTTGTCTATGACAAATTTACTTTTACTAATCCATATCTACAGACCTTTATTAAAAGTACTTCCATGATTGATTTTTTCTTTTTCATAAAGATTGCATGATTATAAAAATTGGAGATTTAAGAAAGAAGTTTTTGAAGTGATTTTTTATGACCATACCTGTCACAAAATATTAAAAGTACTTCCATGATTGATTTTTTCTTTTTCATAAAGATTGCATGATTATAAAAATTGGAGATTTAAGAAAGAAGTTTTTGAAGTGATTTTTTATGACCATACCTGTCACAAAATATTGAGAATGACAAACATACAGTGTATTGTTGTTTTATGTACATGTTTAGACGAAGTATTCAAAATGACCATGTTTGCACATCAATACTCTTTGGCAATCAAGTTTTTTTTGTTTTACCATTTTTATATGCCCACATGGAAATGTGGTCTTATATTGCCGTCACCCCCCGTGCATTTATAATTTGATTGTTTTGAAATTGATATATGTTGTTTACATTACTGAGATGAAGAATCCTATTTGATTTCAATACTTTCCGTTAATTTTTTCTGGAGTTATGGCCCTTGTTTCACTTTATTGTATGAAATTTATATGCATCTTTTAAATTTGTAAAATGAAGAAGCCTATTGAATTTCAGCAATTTCCATTAATTTTGTCTAGAGTTATGCCCCTTGTTTCAGCTCAAGCGACAATAGTTATCATCCAATCTATATAAAATTTAGGCCTATATGCATCATTTAAATTAGTAAAACGGAGAAGCCTATTGTATTTTAGCAATTACTGTTGATTACGTATAGAGTTATGTCCCTTGTTTCACTTTGTCGAACCCTGTGAACGCTCTTACGACAAAAGTTATCATCTGATCTTTATGAAATTTATATGCATCCTTTAAATTGGTGAAACGAAGAAGCAGCCTGATGAATAGCATCAATTTCCGTTAATTGTTCTACGGTTATGGCCCTTGTTTCACTTTGTCAAACCATGTGAACATTCGAACAACAAAACTGATCATCTCATCTGTATGAAATTTATACGCATCATTTCAGAAATTTCTGTTGATTGCTTCTAGAGTTAATGGCCCATGTTTCACCTTGTTGAATCATGTGAATGCTCTAACAACAAAAGTTATCATCCGATCTGTTTTAAATTTATATGCATCATTTAAATTAGTAAGACGAAATATCCTGTCAAATTTTAAGAATTTCTGTAAATTACTTCCAGAGTTATAAAAGGCCCCTGTTTCAGTTTGTAGAACCTTTTGAACACTCAAACAACGGAAATTATAATCTGATCTGTATTAAATTACCTAGAAATGAATAAATATGCAACAACACTTGTCCACCACTTGGACGATTTAGCTGCTGTGGGTATATGTTTCGTTGCCTGGCAAACTATCTTCTGTGTTTACCTGGCTGTTATATTTATTATAATGGTTGGTGATTACTGTACATTTATTAAATTATTTATTAAGTTTATATTGCTATAATAATAGAGGATCTCACGGTACTTGGTAATAGGAATGATTGGTATTAAATATCTTTGGTTCATTTTTTGTTTGTTGCTTTATTTACATTAATGTAGGATATTACGGTTAGGTATTATCAGTTTAATTCGCTATACAGTTTGGATTAATACCTTAGCCTTGAAGTTTTGCAAAAAAATTGTATTCATACATAATGTACTCAACTGGCCCAGGTCAACCTCCTGAAACTAAGGAAATTAGTACCATTAAGTTAGGGAACTGTGGTGGCTCAGTGTTTAATATGTTGGCTTGCTAACTGGAGGTCTCGGGTTCGTTTCCAGTGTTTGCAAGAAATTTTCAGCAGGGTTTCCCCATGTCAGGTTCGGATGGTACATGGTTTGCACGTAAAAGAACCCTTGCCAGTTGGAATTTTGTATTGGCAAAATTTCCCTCATAGCACACTGTCTGGTATATGTCCACCTTCATTAGCCCAGTTGGTGCAGACAAGTACAACTTTAAACCCATTTCATTTCAAAATGAAGTGAACACTTATAATACGCAATTGGGGTTGTCATAAAATTGTATCTGGATGAGTATCAACCAGAAGACAGTTCTCACAGGAGAAAGATTATGAAGTAAGTTCATGCTACCACCCTGTAAGTACTTTTAACAGAAGTTATACTACAACTTTTATATGGAAAAATAATAACATATAGTTTGCTTGATAAAGATAAGGGTACCATCATAGAAACACAGCATGTTAATAAATTGTAATTGTATTATATTTCTATAAGTTTCAGTGTGGTGGTTGATGTGTCATTAACAACATTAAAATTGAACTTTTTCTTAATTTATTAAACAAATTATTAAAATATTGGAATAGTTAATAATTACAATAGATGGTATCGTAAAATATACATGTTACAAAAATAAGTTGGAAAAATATAAGCATAATAAATAGATTAAAAAGTAGATTACCAAGAACACAAAATACACCCACCATGACTTATATTTGTTCTTTACATTTGCACTACAGTGTAGTCTAATAAAATCTTTAAATAGTTTGTGGGTGCCCAGTGAGCAAGGCAATGACTCACTAACCAGGAGATCCCACTCCCAGTGTTGGTGAAGAAAGTCAATACCATTTTTAGGCACAGTTTCTCCATGTCAGTTTTGCAGGATTAAGAGCCTGGAAAAGAACAATGCCTATTGTCCAGTTGTGTCGAAATTTGACAATCTGATTAAAACACAAATCCTATTTCGTTTGGTTTTTTATAGTTTAAAATTTTGTTTTATTTGTCAGTACTACACTAGGATCTGGAAGAGTTGTTCTATAACATGCGTTCTGGATGGCGGGAGGTATTAGCCAATGAAACCATCTGTCATGCGACTTCTTGACATGCCATGCACGGCACAATGGGTAAACACTAGAAATGTCAATGCTGATTGATTAATGAATGTCTGACATCATAGGGTAAAAAGCTGCTCGTACAACCCCTGATGCGACTTTTCAGTAAAACTGGTCAGACCTTCATGTAGATAGGCCATCGAGAGTATATTAAAAAAAACAAAAAAACGAAATATAGATCTGTATTTTAATCAGATTGGAAATTTGATGAAGTGTCGATGAGACAGCATTTGTCAGATAGGTTCATCTTCACTTGTTTGGAGCAGAAAGTATGACATTAAACCTTCATTTAGGTAATGAAAAGATACTTTTTCTTCTGCAATAATGTTGAAATCCTTTAGAAATATCTATATGATATAATTTCTTATGTTAATAATTGATTGACAGGGCTTTAAAAGTGGGAGTGTTCATAGAAAAGCCATAAGATTAAGATAGAATCCATAAATAATAGCGCAAACCCATTCAGCTACTCATCTACCTACAGACTGACCTGCAGAAAATATACACATTTGAAATTAAAAGTAACATGCCATAACAGTGAAATCTCTTTCTAATTCATTACTTAACTATCTTTATATATATTTATATAATAAAACAAGGGAAAATAAAATCATATAACAATAATTACGCAGTATAAACTTATTTTAATATTGCAAAAGATAATCTAAATAACAATTTAATAAACATAGCAAACATGTCTTATTGCATTAATAAACATGTCTTATTGCATTTATCACCATACAATAGTTAAATACTAATCATTAGTAAATTAATTTATATTTAGTAAAAGAAAATCAAAATTAATTATAAATATAACTGTGGTTACTGGTTAATATTCCCAATTATTCCCACCAATATTAAATAATAAGTTTCATATATTTTTGATTAAATCACAGTATACCTGTATACTGTTGTTGCCCAGCAAAGCAGAATAATATTTTGAATTGGCAGCTTTGTTAAAGCCAGAATATCACAGTACATCAGGAAAATGTTGGTCTTATGAGCATTTTCAAGGTTTCAATGGCAGCGAAAAATTGATGTGTGACAAAATTTTGATACTGTTCTTCCTTTTTACCAGTGCCCTAATGCATGAATAAGGATTAAACCAGTTTGGGACCCAAATATAGCTGATTTTGTGTACCACTGTTGGCATAGTAAGCCAAAAATGAAAGTAAAATTAATAACAAAAATAACTGACTTCAGTTTAATCTTTCAAAACAAAAATCTTTCATTAACCAAAATAACACACCACAGATCAACCCAATTCAATACTTCATTTTGCCCTACATCAATGAGGTTTATCTACAACATTTATAAAAGTATTTCTTCATAACAACAGACATGATGTAAGTGCAGTAACTGGTGTAATCATACATTGGTCTCTGACTGGTAATTCTCTTCCTCATTGACTTCAGTGTTAAATCCATACCATTTCTGGTGCCTGTATAATTGTTTTGAACATTTCAAAGAGCCAAACAATTCACATTGATCTGATAAAAATACTGAAAGGTTTTAAATTGTCTCATTTTATATGCCAGATCAATGGAATCTAAAGACTATAATAATTCATACCCGTTTACATCCCTATCCTTATGCCGCAAGATCCTGAATATTCAGCAAAACATGGTAGGAAATGTAAATTCAAACACTCTTTCTCGATTTAGACCGAAATTGTCATGCGAAAGGGAAAAAGAGAGAATTTCTATCAATAGACAAACTACATTCATCGATTTTGAAATCTGGGAAATAATTACGAATCTTAGTCCAGTGGTTCTAAAATATTTACCTTATTCATTAGTAATAAAAGTATAGCTAGTTGAACAATGGCGTGTTCTTATTAATGTGGGCTTCAGAAAAATAACCCCAAGCTTTCAATCAACATTCAGCTATATTACAATAAAAACATGTCTTCATTTCATTGGTGAATTGATAGATAGAACTCAATGACCATTGTACCATTGTGTTACTCTAAGAGGGCATGAGAAGAAGAGCCGTCACCTGAAGGTATGGAAGCTATCAAGCTACCATACTAAGACTGGACGGTTGTTTCAAGCAGACAGTGTCTACTAGAGATTGGCCATGGTCTTCTTGGATTTCTTAAACTAAAACCATGTGTCAGTTCTCGAATGGCTAGTGTAGCTACTAGAGGTCAACACACACACACTTCTGATTGCTATCACTTCCGGTCAATTCAGTGGTGTGTTTTCAATGTAGTTATTGATTGTTTAACTGGTTGTAATTCACCAACAATATTTGTAAATCCATAACATTAGTTCCTGTAAAGCCCGTTTCAACAAGAGCATTTGTAAACATTGAAAATAATGTATTAGAATCGTTATTATCCAGATACTCTTGCAAATCTAAATCTTTATCTTGAACTTGTTTTATAAACTCGGCTGAAATTACTGCACCTGCTGCTTCAGTTGGACCATCTTGTCCATCTGTACCTGCACTAAGAAAATGTACATTAAAATGTTCCAGGTTTCTATTACTACTGAGTGATTTACCATAACCTATAGCAGATGATAAAACCATTTCCTGATTTCTGCCCCCTTTTCCAGAACCCTTGATTTCTACAGTAGTTTCTCCTCCAGATATTACACATAACCCTTTCCCTGAATTTCTAGACATTTCTATTGCTGTGATTAATTCATTAATACTGGATTTCTCTATTCCTTTTTTGATTATCTCAAATTCTAATTGCACCAGAGCAGGAATTCTTTCACCATAGTGTTTACTCTTGTATACCAAGCAGATGTACTCTGTCAATTGTACGAAAAGGGAACCAATTTCTTTAGCTTCTCCGTCAAGAGTTGTGGACAATATATAACAAATATAACCTAAGGCAGTGGCTTCTTTAGCAGCTCTCAGAGCAGCTTTTGTGTTACTGCCCACGATCACATTCTGAACATGTGACCAATCATGTTGCTCTGATGCTTGTTGCTCTCGACTATTTACTTGAGCCTGAAGATGTTCTATAATAGAAGATGGAACATCATCCAGTACTTTAAGTTCTTCAAAAAGATCAATACATTGTTTGGGTGTGGAGGGATCAGGAACTGTTGGACCACTAGCAATAGTATCTAATGGATCACCAATAACATCTGATAAAATCAATGAAATAACCTGAAAAATAATTAAAGGCCATAATAATATTTGCTGTAATTACCATACACATTAAGCTACAGTAAGAATTATGCAACAAACACCATTCATATTACAAAAATGAAATGGAATGGGGCCATTCATATTACCCTTTAACACAGAATTAATGTGGGTTGCAGATCTTAGGAGTGTCATCAATATTCAAGTAGTAGGGTTGTCTGTACAATAATATAGGTTTTGTCTGGTTCATTCCCACTTTGCTTTCCTCCTCTGAGTATCAAAGCAAACAAAATTCTTCGAATTATATACACCTTCTACTTTTAGGGAGAGGGGTTTTACATAGGCTAAGCATGTTCTCCAATCCATTTAAGATATTCTGAAAAAAACAGTTGCTAAATATACATTACACATATAAATCTCGACAAAGTGACATATATTTCTCTTCCCCTCAATGCCAGGTACTAAAACCATTTAAAAAATTCTATCTACCTTCGCTGGATGAGCTTCAATGGCTAATCCACCACCTTTCAGGACTTCTATATTTTTACGAACCAGGTTGAGTTGTTGAATTGTGACTGCCCGTCTAGATAATATTTGTGTTAGTTTCATTTCATCCTCAAGACTGATTGGAGAAGAAGGAGATGGGAGGAGTGCAGAACCACCACCTAATAAATAAAAGATTAATGCTAACTTCACATTTGAATCAAATTTTAAGATCTTTCAAAATTTTACAAACAAAATGATAAAATCGCGTATTCCAATGTACTGGCATTCATAGCAAGAACTACGGTATATCAGGATATCTTGATATAAATAACCTATTTTATTGCCATCTTTGGTAGCTTATAATTTTTAGTTTCAAACTGGCCACAAGTCATGTGGAATTTAAAAAAGAAAAGTTAGGTTGAGACAAAAGCTTATATGAATAAACCAACAGTATTTAAGTCATCTAAGCAGTTCACAAAGGATGTCTCATATTAATTCTTTAAAAGTTAAAGTAGCTAAGTCTCTAATTCAATATCATCCAAAACCTTCGACAATGAAAACACAAATTATTTGTCAATTTTAATCAACATTGGTGTTGTGATCTTACCGGGAAAAGATGGGCTTCTGATATCCAATATTTAAGACAAAATAAACATTTTATGATTGGTACACGAATCGTGTACCATAATGCGTTTCAGCGCAATTTGTAACAGGCGACTTGAAGAACGAGGTTAGACATATTCCACAAGTCATGTCAACCGGTGACCCCATATTCTTATCTGGAGAGCATGCGCAATAAATACTATCGGTGTAGACTGGAATAACCAGACGCTAGAGATTGCCATTGGATTAAGACTTCTGGCGTATTTCGCCGAACATAACTGCTTTGAAATTAGAGTAAAAACGGAACGATTAAATGTAAATCAGTTTATTTACATTCCTTTTAGGTTATTATATGCATTGCGACCCATTTGTGTCAATTTTTAGGTCCCAAATATTAGCGATTTAGCTCCTTTACTGGGAACATTTACAAGACACTAAAGTCTGATCAAGGGAAACAACCTGTGAACAAATTATCATCTTAATGAGGTAACTTTAGCTGTTCCAGGTTAATAGAAATTGTTGAAAATAGGCTGCTTCGTCTCATGAACATAAACAATTAGATAAAACTGATCATGATGGACTATGACTCTGAAGTAATCATTGCCTTCTTCATCTCGTGAAGATAAACACTGTGTTTAAATTTAAATGCGTTCAAAAGGTAACTTTAGCATCTTGGGAATCCACAAGTTTTTCCATTAATTTTCAAAGTGATCAAGAGCAATATAATATTGGAAATCATTGAAAATTATAAAGCTGAATACTCTGTCGAAATTGAAAATCGTGTATAAACATTGTGTATAAATGACCTTAGCCACCAGACCATCTACTAGATTTTTCAAATAGGTCAAATGCCATTACTCCAATGAAGCTGCCTGTTATGGGGTAATGGAAATCTTTGACCACATTTCAATGTGGGCTTATAAAAATAACATCTTGGTGGACTACGTAATGGTACATGATCCAAATCTTTATGGGATCAGGGTGTTGGGAAGACGAGTGGTCTAACATGTTGGCTGTAGATCATAAGATTTGTGTATGAAAAGAAGTAGGGTTGCCAAGAAAAACAAAAATATAATGTATACTGTGTGATGCAATGGTGGGACATCTATTCAGAACTTTACCTGATATTAAGACAAGTAATATATCTTTGGCTGTTAAAGACGATACTAACTGGTGGATAGCTTTAGCAGATTGATGCGAATTATCATCTGGCAGATTGTTTTTAGCACCTTCTAATACATTTATCTTTGTATCGTTGGTTAATATCATCTCACTGAAAATATATCGATCATATTATTAATTGATTACTCACTTTGTCTTTAACACTACTTGTCTAATTTCAAGCAACAACGGATTAAAAATCCATATATGAAGTCCAGCATAAATATCAAAGATAGGTTGCCAGGCAACAAACCACAAGCCCACAGCAGCTAAATCGTCTGGGCAGTCAACAAGAGTTGTCGCATATTTTTACTTTTTTGGTAATATTACCTGATTAACAGTAACAACTGTAATTATCAAAAAATCATTAGAATTTGTTTGTCTTTTATAAAGTTCTGCCCCATGCTAAACATTTAATATCATGGATTTAGTTGTTCAAGTTATCAAAATTCATTGAAAATCAATATACTTGTTCATCTCAAGACCTTAAACTCTGTGTATCAATCTAAAGTCAATCGGATGATAACTTTAGCCTCTAGAGCGTCACAAGATTTTTTAAAGTGATCAAGGGCCATAACTTTGGCAGTAATTATCGGTCTCATGACCTCAAACATTGCATATAAATTAGTCAATCGGATATTAACTTTAGCCTCTAGAGCGTCCACAAGATTTTTCAAAGTGATCAAGGGCCATAACTCTGGCAGTAATTATCGGAAATTGTTGAAAATCAATAGGAATATTTGTCTCATGACCTTAAACACTGTGTATAAATCAATCGGATATTCACTTTTGCCTCTAGAGCGTCCACAAGATTTTTTGAAGTGATCAAGGGCCATAACTCTGGCAGTAATTATCGGAAATCGCTGAAAATCAACAGGCTTCTACGTCTGATGACCTTAAACACTGTGCATAAATTTAAAGTCAATCGGATATTAACTTTGGCCTCTAGAGCATCCACAAGGTTTTTTGAAGTGATTAAGGGCCATAACTCATGGAGTAATTATTAGAAATTGCTGAAAAACAATAGGCTTCCTTGTCTCATGACCTTAAAATTGATGCAATTTGAGCATATGACAAAATCTGTGGGATTTATACATAATATAGGCAACAGAATTACCTTTTCCCAGCTTTCTTAAAAGATGCCACGCTTCCGACAGGAACACTGATGATACCAGCCTGAATATGATTTCTTAAAATATTGTCAACAGCTCTAGCCATACCACACACAGCCTTACCAAAACCAACAACATAAACATTTTTATTAACTTTATATTCTCTGTCATCTACTGTTAAAATATTGTTGTCTGCTTCAAACTGTACATGTTCTGATATCATATGTTGGGGTAAAACAGCCGACACAGCAGATTCAAATATTTGTGTCGCATGCATATGTGTCGCTGTATTGGTTTGTTTATTGGCCATATTCAGTTTTGTCCATTTAAATGCTGAAGTGCAAATTTGTCTATTCGTTACTGTCAAAATTGATTTTGAGATTAGCCACTTCGAAATATGCTGTAAATCACGCAGATGAAGTCGGTTACAATATGTAAACCTGAAAAAAACAATACGAAATTATGATAGGGAAATGGATTGAGAGCATTAAACCCATTGCCCAATAATTTAACAACAAGAAGAAATTGTACCAGATACATTTCTTTTTCATATAAATTATCAGATCATTCACAGAGCAGCCCTATAGTTTTCACTGTTGCTTCAAAAGTTACGACACAAATGCTAATCTGGCCTGTTTACAATACATTTTAAAAAAAACAAGTACCAATTTAGTAACAGACCTACTGCAAGCCTTAGATTATCATATATTTCGGAACATTTTTATAAATGTTTGTCGCCCAAACTTTGATTGACATTGGTTTTCCAAAAACTCAACCATTGTTTCAAACCTCTTTTTTAATTGAAATATAACTACATGTGATACGATTCTTAGGCTTATAATATAAGTGTTTTGAAGTTTAAAGTTTTATCACATTTCTTGGAATTAGCCTATTCCTCATCATTCCCGACATCGTAGGAAATCACTGATCAAATCTGTCTCTACACTTTTTTCGGCAAAGTCACCTGTAAGACTTAAGAAAAACATAGGTACCCTACATTTCGTTAATATATATATATATAGTGAATCTTTTTGCTAATCTGTACATGTAGGTCAAAATTTAAATATTATCTATGTAGGCCATACATACAGTACATGTAGTTACTGACTGAACATTTAAAGATATATTACCACAAAAGTATTTATGTATAGGGCAGTTATTTCCAATAAAAGTATGGCATATATCTATATAGAAAGTAGAGACACTCAATCTTATTAGGAAAATACCGAATTCCCTGAAAAACATCCATGGGGGCTCCCACAGGACAAAAATGAAAGCTTGAGTGACATACATGTATGTAAGGAGCGCTTCCTATGTGTTAATCTATTAGGTAACGGTTGTCCGAACATTTGGAGACTTAAACATCCAGTAGACTCTGCGATTAAATGAAACAATAAATAAAAGCTGAAAATGGATTTTCCCTCACTCAAGTCATGTGACAAACAAGGAGGCTTAAAACAGATTCTAGTCGCATGGTGTAGTTTTCTTGAAAGTAAAATGCTTTGAGGGGGATTTGAATTTTTAATCAAATCATCCAGTTATTGTACGTGGGGAGGCCTCCTTTAATTTCATATCAGTTAATGATGCAGTTGTTTAAATGGTTGACACATATTCTTTCTTTGGTTTGGTAGCAGCTCACTAATGCAATGATATGTGTAGTCTAAAACAATTAAACTGTCCCATTTTTGTCCTTGGTTGTTTAATGGATAACTGGGGTAATTCTTGACAAGAAGGGAAACAGCATTTATTCTCCACAAGCTACCGTCGAAAGTAGCAACAGGGTGAACTGACAAGTGTTGAAATCCAAATGTTTCTAGTAGGATTAAATGTCCCTACTTTGAAAATAACTACCATACCCTACAAATACTTTAGTGGGAATGTATCTTTAAGTACAAGTCATTATCAGAAAAAACTAAGATTTGATTAAATCGTCTTCTAGTATTTGTTGATGCTAACATTTATTATACAAAACATAAAAGCATACCGGTAATACAGTCATATGAGTTATGAGATATCGGAAATCATCGAAAATCAATAAGCTTCTTCATATAAACACTGTGTATCAATTTCAAATCAATCAAAAAATAAATTTAACCACACGATTTTTCAAAAGTGATCTTGGGCAACAACATTGAAAGTAATTCTAGACTTCTTCATCTTGTGTACATAACAGTGTGTACAAATACAAAGGTACTCAAAAGATAACTTGAGCATCTATAAGTTTTTTTTAAAAAAACAAGGGCAAGAACTCTGTTAACAATTACTAGAAATTGTTGAAAATAAAAACTGAATAAATTCCTTGTCAGTAGAATAATAACCACAAGCTCTTGGCGCTATAATTATCTGAAAACCCTGAAAATCAATCGGATTCTTTCTTTAAGTCTACTAAAATTGCAACAAGATCGTCCACAATATTTTTCAAAGGGATCAAGGGTTGTACTAAAAAGAAACCTAGTCTCTTAACAATGGTAATTGGTAGTTCTTTCTGACAGATGCTGATGTGAATTGTGTCTGAATTCAGTAAGCAAAACTGTCAGGTTTTTTTTCAAAACAACTATGACTACCGGTATTGTTTATTTATTGATTATTGATTGATTATTGTAATAGTTTACTCTATGGAATCCCACAAGCACTTCTAGCCAAGATCCAGAATGTTCTTAATACTGCAGCCCGAATAGTAACAAGGACAAATAAGTTTGATCACATCCAGAATGTGCTAGCTTCTTTACACTGGTTACCTGCTGAGACTCGAGTCAAATACAAAATACTAACATTAGTGTATAAATGTTGCAATAATGCAGCTCCTTAATACTGATCTGAACTTTTATATGACTACAACCCTATTAGATCACTGCGCTCTCAAAATAAACAGTCACTAGTTGTTCCAAGATATAATTTAAAGTCATATGGGTATAGGTCTTTCAGTTCAGCTGGTCCTAGATTATGGAACGAACTTCCACAACAGATCAAGAATCAACAAACTTTTAATCAATTTAAATCTGCGCTGAAGACTTTCCTGTTTCAACAGTTTTACCAGTAAAGCAATTACTAAAAGCGTTTTGAGCATGTGTCAACATGGAGAAGACGCTATATAAAACCTCATTATTATTATTATTATTGCATTTCTGCCACACCCAACTAAAATCAAGCATATACGTAATTCTACCTTAAGCAAATTATTTCTTTTAGTTCGAAACGCTATAAATTGAAGATGCTCCGCATTATAATATAAACACTATTTTCTTTTAAGTAGAATTTTGCGATTCAAAAAGATAAACAAAAGACCGAAAGCTGTGTTTGTCTCGTAATGGCAGACAAATTCAAATGTGTTTTGTTTATGTTTTTGAAATAACAAGTGTTGGATTATTATAAATTTGTGTAAGATGTGGCGAGAAATGATTCCTTCTGGCAAACAAATGAAATGGGGTTTAACGTCCTACTGTTCTGCTCCTAAACTGGGCTAATTAAGACGGGCATATGCAATACAGTGTGCTATGAGGGAAATTTTCGACTGCCAAGGGATCTTTTATGTGCACGCCAATATGTACACAGGACCTTGGTTTTTCATCCCATCCGAACAACTAGACAGCTGTCCTTGTCAGGCCCTCCGTCCTGCATCACTGACAAGGGGAAACCGCGCCGGAAAATCTGGATGGACTTTCTCGGTCAATGCAGGGATCGAACACCCGACCTCCAGACTAGCAAGCCAGCGTCTTACCCACTTAGCCAAGTGATCCCCTTCTGGCAAACAAAGAATTACGATAAAAATAGAAGGTAAGGAAGTCAAAACAGACTTAAACAGAGATGGGTGTAGAACGTTATTTTCATCATTTTCATACTGCAGCTTAAAGCGGTATTAGGTAAGATTAAATAAAGAGTTGACGGCTATAATAGTTAAAAAGTGATAATGTAAAGGGAATATGCTGAAAATTTCAGTCAAATTACTTGACTCTGAGCCAAGCTATCAGCGACAGATTTTCATTACTTGATTATCCATTTAAAGGGACTATCCCAATTTGAACAGAGTCCCAAAAATAAAAGTCTGAGTATGTATCAAATTTATGCACCAAAATATAGAGGAATGGTGTATTTTCCTTGTCTAAAAATTTCAGCTCAAGATATTGAGTCTATCGTTGGGACATGAACGTCAAAAATGCTTATCCGGACACGTAAGACTTTTAAGATTTTGGGTCAATGTTTTTGTTGGGTGACCTGATAATCGATTCCCGTTCCTTTAGAGGTCTATACAGTGAATGACCCATGTGCTGTACTTGATAACGAAAGGTAAATTTCACCTACACATTATTTTTATATATAAAAAAGTCTGGTTTTATCCAGACACCGTATAATACAGCTTGGGACACCGGTCTCCATTTCCAGATGAAGACTGACGGGTTTAAGTTGTTTGAAAACGTATCACAAATATTGAGTAGTTGCTCGGACCTTAGGCAGAGGATTTTAAGGGATTTTAACACAAAATTAAGCAGTTTTATTCTCCAACATATGATCAGGATTGGCCCTTTAAAAGGTTATTTCATCAACCACAAAATGTATTCAAATCTACTAAATATCAGAGTCATCCGATGGCATCAATAGTTGATTATGGTCTTGGTAAGTTAATTAATGTCTAATTAATAATTTATATAACATTTCAGGCCTAAAGAAAGACCTGTAATAGGCAGATTTAGCTCTTGAATAATGCATGTTTAATAAGGACGGACAGTTATGATCAGAGGACTGCGTTCGCTCCGAAAAGCAACTACAGGACAGGTACCAGCAAGATAAGGAAAGAAATTGGTGGTCTGCATCCAAACAGTAGCCTTACTCCTAGTGTTATCTCCCTTTAGTAGTGTTAACGCTCAATGCCGAGACCCCTGGGCCTTTACAATTAGTTAAAAGGAAACTTCTTAATCTTATAATGCAACGCCTTTCTCATTATACCTCATCTTCTTGGGTATTAGAACAGCTATGTCATATCCATTGACATACTGCAATTATCAAGCGAAATATCGTGTTTCAGATGATAGATAGCCCTCCTTTTTTGCATTCTTGCCACCTACCGGTGACACCATTTAAATTGTCTCGATCATACCAGTTAAAAGTATCTCCATGGAGTCATGAAGGGCCTAATGAAAACGTTGGGTTTTTAGGTCTATTTGGTAAGGCCAGCTTCAAGTTTGGTCAAAGGTCACGAGATGTAATGCGCTAATCTAAACCCTGACCCTGGCCTAACCCTGACGGCTAAATCTACTTGTTAATGCCAGCTCAATTTTTGTCAAGGTCCTTGAGATTTAGAGCACGTGATTGTTGTAGGTTAACCATAGGTTTAGGGTAGGCTTTGGGGCTAGGTCCAGGGTTAGGGTCGGGATTCGAGCTGACCCTGTTTATATCTCGTGACATGTGACGAATTATAACTGAGCTGGCCTTACCCACTGATAGATCGATCAGTGTGACCTGACCATGGCTAAATCTTTTTGTTAAGGCCAGCTCAATTTTTGTCAAGGTCGTCGAGATGTAAATAAGCTTAGGGCACGTGATTGTTGGTGTGATTGTGGGTTAGGGGTTAAGGTAAGCACTGGGGCTAGATTTAGGGATAGGATTAGGGTTGGGATTAACGCGAGACCTGCTCTCGTGACCTATGACGAAAAATTGACCTGGCCTTATCATTTAGCACTAACCACCTGACCATGACCTACGGAGATGAATCACTCAGCAACAAAACAGCATAATTCATAAAAAGAATAATAAATTTTCATTATTGTAAAAAAAACCCTTATAATTAATAAAGGAAAATAATCAGGTAGAATTTGGTATTGATTATCTAATTCTCTATTAATTTACCAATACATAAACAATTAAAGCTCCGCAGCCATGTCAATTTCTCCCGCCATGCTTGTTTAGTGTGCAAGTATGAGACTCACTGACAATGTTGTGCGAAATCTTCGCGTTGCAAAGATCTTTCGAGAAAATACGGATCGTGTAAATAGCATTGACTTCTCTGCGAACGGTGAAACACTAATTTCTAGCAGTGATGACGATTCTATTGTAATTTATGACTGTTTGAATGGAACGTAAGTGAGACGAAGACAAAAAAATGTCGAATTGGAATTTCTTCATATTTTACACCGTACCGACAAACCAATTAAATCTATACCAGTTTAAACAAATACATTTTCAGGTTCCTCAATTAATTAAATACATCGTAAACATGTAAAGGCCCATTTCTTTAGCAGATTTGAATGCACATTAATAATAAAATAGCCAAAACCATTTATTTATATGGCGGTGGTGGCACCAGTCCGTAAGTAAGACAGGGTTTTTCCAGGGTGGTCACCCCCTCAGTGATGTAGGAGAGAGTCTGGTAAGGGACAACGTATCAACGAAAAACTGAGGTCTGTTAGTGTTGTACCTACAGATTGGTGTGCACATAAAAGAACCCTAATTGATGGGTGGGATTTGATATAAAAGTTGGCTGTAACTCTGCTGTCTGGGCGAAATTCCCCTCACGACTGGTACTGTATGAGTATGCCTGTTTTCATTAGCTCAGTCTGAGCAGAAAAGTAGGATGTTAAACTCCCATTTCATATATAACCTTTACCGTGCAGGACGATTTGCCCAATCTAACCGAATAGTAATTCTAACCAATTACTATACCTACCTCATTATTGTGAAAAACCTACAGAATACTTTGAATTATTTTTTATATCAATAAAAATGAGTTTAATTTGAGGAAAACTTGCAAAAAATGTTATGGTCAAAATCTTCCTATTCCAGTTGTCTCCCTTGACCACAAAATCCAAATGAAATAGGGTTTATGTTGTACTGTTCTGCAAGGTTCGCACACTCCTTGAAAATCCTGGAAAAATGAAAATGTGATTTCCAGTACTGGAAAAACAAGATTACTCCTGGAAAATTAACATTTGTGGTTTCTCCATATATTTTAAGATATAGAACTGAACGTAGTTTACAAATGTTTCTTCAAAAGTTCACAAGTTCATCGCCATAAATGGTCTTCATGCGTGAAAAACATACATTATGATGTAGAATTCTATACAGTGACTCCTGGAATCTGGTAAATAACTCCTGGAATTTTAAGTAATCTGAGGTTTGCACACCCCGGTTCTGCACCAACGAAGACATGCAGTGTATTATGAGGGAAATTTCAAACAAAACTATTTCTGTAACATGATGAGGCAATGCCATTAAAAGATGTTAACAGTATGCCAGCATAAGAGGTTAACAGTACTGTTGTGTTAGTGTTTAGAAAATAAATTTATTAGTGCAATGTTTTGCTCTTCAATAAACACAATTTTTCATTGAGACTAAATAGATATATTACCGTTAAACTTGTGCAAGTTTTCGGAGAGATATTGAAATATTTGAAGAATCTTGTTATTTTTGGATAATAATGTATTTGTTTGTATTTTGTAGTCCTTATTGGGTTAGAATTGGGAGGTATTTGATATAATTGGGTTAGTATTTCAAATGTTTGATCTACTGATACTATAATTAGACATTCCAGTTTACCTACAATATTTGCCAATCCTGGGATTTAGCTCATTAATATTGCAATAATTTATTTGTTCTGTCTTGGTATTTGGTAGTACATATCGTCCTGCCATTTAAATCGAATATCCTTTCAACAACAACGATATTGGCATAATTTATGTAGCCTGGTATATGAAATAGATGTTTGGCTTACTGTTTGCCGTAAATGAATTGAAATGGGGTTTAACGACCTACTTTCCTGCTCCGACTGGGCTAATGAAGACTGGCATACGTCATACAGTGTGCTATGAGGGAAATTTTGCCTGGACAGTGACACTACGGCATACTCTTATATTGAATTCCAACTGCCAAGGGATCTTAAACTTTAATAATGTGCACATGGGACCTTGGTTTTCCGTCCCATCTAAATGACTATACGTTGTCCCTTGCCAGACCTTCGGCCCTGCACCTCTGACAAGGCGGAACCACTCCAGAAAATCCTGATGAACTCTCTCGGCCAACACAGGTATCAAACACGGTACCTCCAGGTTAGTGAGCCAACGTCCTACCCACCAAGCTTGCCATAAACTTGATCTTCTAGAAGTATATAGTTGTGTGCACTTGTTGAGTATTTTTCAAATTATTGTCAATAAAGTCTGCAACTTTATACTGGCCTTGTATGTAGGTTTTTGGCCTAGGAATTTTTAATCGGAATTTTCTGATATATGGAATTATGGAATACAGTATTGTTGCCAGTTAAGGTCAATCATCTATCCCACAATATCTGGCCAACTCTTTCTATAGCCTTTTTTGCAGTATATTCAGTTTGAGCAGGAAACTAAAAGTGACCAACAAAAAGATTTCCAAAGAAATAATAATAAAATTTCTTTTCAGACCAAAGAGAACATTGAATAGTAAAAAGTATGGAGTTGATTTGATTCGTTATACCCATGCAGTAAATGCTGCATTACATTCATCTACCAAAGTAGATGGTGAGTTCACATATTTTCAAGGAAAATGCAAAAGAAAATATAACCACAAAATGTTCCCCTGAGGAATTTTCCCCTCACTGCTTTTTGTTTGTTCAGACTAAATGTAGTGTTGACGTGTAATATTTTGATTAGTTTATTACAATTGTCTTTGCTATTTGAAACCCATTCGTCTTCATTCATTGCACATATTTGGCAAGGAGGAGTAAGAGACCTAATCTAAGGGCTCATGTAAATGTTATTTATTTACCATGTTATAATAATAGTTGAATGAATATTCTTTGTTTCTGCTACTTCATCTTACTGTTTCTTTAGTTTCATAAGAAAGTTAGTTGCTAATGATCTATGGTGTTATTATTGAGGTATATTTTCTCATCTGAATTTTTATTTCAGACACAATACGATACCTTTCTTTACATGACAATAAATACATCCGATATTTTCCAGGCCATACCAAAAAGTAAGTAATCCAATGTAATCACATAAATTTGTGATACTAGAGTAACAAATAGTAATAGTAATAGGCGTGAACATTGCAATGTGTAAACTTCAAAGTGTCATAATTTATATTGATGCCACATTTTTTTTGATTAGTGTGTTTTTCCTAGAAGAGCCAGGGCTCAAAATTTGGTGGTTGTATCTAAAATCTTGTAGCCATTTTTTGAAAATTGTCTTAGACAGCAAAACCTCTCTAAGCACATTTTGTTCAACACCAAGGCCATTTTTGTCCCTAACCTTTCGAAGAAATCGCAGTGCAATTGGCGATACATATTTTGTCCGTTGCTAATCATTAATATGCCTGTCATTTTGGATATTCACAAAGATTTATCCACATTTCTCAACACTTTAAACGTGTATAAAATATCAAAAAAATTTTATAAACAAAACTGAATTCTCAGTGTGAGATTTTCTTCTCGAACTACCGAGACTCAATTCATTATACTATATGATACAGGGACATAACTCGATGAATTGGGACTATTAAACTGGAAATAGGGAATCAAGTAGTACCACTCATGTTGCAAGACATGTCAATTTCGAGTAATTATATCAGTATTCAATTTGAAAAAAATAAATTCAGTGTATCCCCCACGTATTGTAAATAAGAATTCCCGTAAAATATTATTGTTTATATCGCTTGTGTCTAGTTAATCGAGATTATTCGTAAAATACAGTGTGCGTCCAATTGAACAAAAATAGTTACACAAAAATAGCAGACAAAATTGTTTTTTTAACAAAGAAATAAGAATTGTTTTCAGACATAAGGCCTAACCAAAAATCTACATTCAGAAATGTTCACAGCTACCTGTAGCAGTGCTAAAATTCTAAAAAATCTTAAGAATGAAATCTAATCATTTGTTATAAATAATCTTGTTATTTAGGTATTTTATATTGAATCTGAAAAATTTGCTAATCAAATTTGGCAAAATTGGACTTTTGATTAGCAGTGCTTCTAATCATCTATGAAAATTTACCGACAGCCCTGAATACGATGTATTCCCAAAACGATTTAATACTGTTCAGTATCCCCAAAAAGACAGATAAATTGTAAATTTGCCAACACTCGGCATCTTCTCTGCAGTTGATATAAATGGGATGTGGTCTAAAGTCATTACCCCATATATTTTTTGCTACAATATTTTGATGAGCCTATTTTTAATCTGCTTGAATCCAAGACAGGAGATTATCTACTTACATTTTGATTTTCTTTTCTAAACTAAATGTTACCTAATCAGTGCATTTTTGAATGGGTAAAACCATGGTAAATTTATTTTCCAAAAAATGTAAATGACGTACAAAGACTTTAAATTTTAGATTTACTTTTATCTCTCTGTTGTCAGTATCTTCATAACAGTTTTCTTTTTTGACTTTTCAGAGTTGTTACATTATGTATGTCTCCTATAGATGACAGTTTTCTGTCTGGTTCCTTAGATAAAACAATACGATTATGGGATCTTCGATCACAAAACTGCCAGGTAAATATTACTGAAGTTAAAGAAGTTATTTCCCTTATAGGACACTGCATGCATAAAATGCCTGTCCTTAATAACCTTGTTGGTGCAGAAAAGTAGGACACAAACCTTATTTCATTTCAAAGAAGAAAAATTTTTGACGCATGAATTATTGTAGATCAGGACTTTCATTATTAAATTTTTCAGGGTTTAATGCATTTGTCGGGTAGACCTGTGGCATCGTTTGATCCTGAAGGATTAATTTTTGCAGCTGGAATTAACTCGGAAACAGTAAAGCTTTATGATTTACGGTCTTTTGATAGAGTAAGTACATGTAACGTTATATAAGGAAGTTTTTACATTTTTATCAGATTGCCTTTTTAGTCAAAAATGTCTTGAGATACATTTATTTGATTCTAGAAATTTATTTAAATGACATTTATTTGATTCTATCAATTTATTTAGATGACCTCTTTAGGTAGTTATTTAGATGACCCTTTTAGGTAGTTGTTGCTTTTCTTGGCAGTAAGATTTATTTCCTTCCATTGTATCACAGAAGACCTGTTACTTTCACACATATACCATAGTTATGATGAGTTGCAATAGATCAATGCTTTGAATAGGTTCAAATTGTATTTCAGGGACCATTTGCAGCATTTAAATTACCTCAGGATAAAGAATGTGATTGGACAGGTATTAAGTTTAGCCCAGATGGTAAACTTATTTTGATATCAACTAATGGACCTGTCCTTAGACTTATTGATGCATTTCAGGGAACACCTTTGCAGAATTTCACTGTAAGTATATTGATTGTTGTTATAATGCAATTATCTTATTAATGATTTTCTCCAATTGTATATTAGATTAAATTTTCTCCACTAACAATAACAAATGCTGACAAACATAATTACCATACAAATATATGGGGTACAGAATCCACATTTATGTAACGTAAACCTATTGGCCAATACTTGCAGTGGAGTTGATAAAAAGTCAGTGATTGATAGTCTTGATCCTAAGCAACTTTTTAGTATCTTAAACCTAGATTTAAAACTATTAATTTTTGTGTTAAATTGTTTGCTAGTAATAAATATTGATATTAATTCTAGGGTTTCGCAAATAATCGAGGACTACCCTTAGAAGCATCCTTCAGTCCAGATTCACAGTTTGTGTTTTGTGGTAAGTAAAATTTTATAAAGGTAACAGCAGTTATATGTAATGTTACCATTGACAAAGCCGGTTTTGTTTGCTATAATAGGTTAAATTAGATGATGATAAATGAATATATTAACAATTTGAGTCAAATTACTTGATTCTGAGTGAAGTTATGAATGTTTGAAGTTTTGACAAGAAATAGCCTAAATAGTCCTGATTGTCAAGTACCATTACTATGATGATAGACCTGAACTTCAGCCCTTAGTGGCATCCATATTAAAGTTTAACGACAACATGGCTTTCATTATCTAATCCCCTCAATATCTTAGTTATCCGATGGTCTGGAAAGTTGATTATGTGCTTTTTATGTAAATAAATGTCCAAATAACATTTGAAGCCACAAACAGACCAGCTTTAGGCAGGTTTCACTTTTACATAATGGGGGTTTGAATGGCTGAATGATTAGCGTGTGCGCACTGTATTATGAGGTCTGTCATTGAGTCAACTGGTGTGCTTTTGATTCCCCGGTTGTATGTGACATGGAGTAGGGCCGACTGTCCGACCTTGTAGGTTTTCTCTGGGTCCTCCGGTTTCCTCCCACTGCTAAAGAACCCTACGTGCAAGCAAATTATTGGAATAAAATTGAACCATGTTATTCCCGAAATGACCTAGTTTGTGTCAAGTGGACATTAAAGCCCGTTTCTCTCTTTTACATAATGCATCTTTAAATCATGACAGGACTTTCTGTTGCATTGAGGCTTTCAGATATTATTTTTTTTTGGTATGAACTCTATATTTCAAGTCAGGTTTTTATAAATATACATCTTTTTCTCCCCCAAATTAGGTTCTACAGATGGTAAGGTTCACAGTTGGAGTACTGAAACTGGTACCAAACTAGCTATTCTACAAGCTGATCATCCTGGTCCTATACAAAATCTTCTCTTTAATCCTAAATATATGATGATGGCATCAGCTTGTACAAACATGGTGAGTGTCCAAACAGCGTGTTGTATATATTTCTTAAAGTTACAATTTCATATTTTTAAGTTATATTTTTAAAATGTATTAAAATAAAGCCCTAAAATAGATGGTATCTATAAACAGTCCTACCTTGTTAAAGAATAATCCTATTAATCCTATAATTTACTATTACCAGTTGAGAAATTTGCAAAAATATCATTTTTAACTTCAAATTCAAACGTTTGAAGATAGCTATTCCATGGTGGGGAATAGGAAAACAAGGGAGGTAATTGTGTTATTTCCGGTGTGCAGGGATGTGCCCAGAAAAATATTCATGCCGGGCGGTAATCTTCGGCAGAAAATTATCAGGTTTTTTTCGATCGAAAATGCGCAATTTCATGAGTCCAGGGGTCAAAATTCACGACAGCACCGCACTGTAGTATTTAGTGAAATTACCGTAGAAAATAAATAAGAACTACGGGTGGCATCTTTAGCCGTGGTAATTTATTTAAGAATATGTCGACGGCAATTTGCCAATGTTGACACTGAAACCACCGTTGTATACCTGTGTAATCCACAGCATAATGGAAAATAGGAATTTATTAATTATTGTTTTGTTTCTTTCCTGAGTTCTTGTGACTGTATTTTTCTATCGAAAACACAAGTCAGCATTCATTCAGTCGTACCATGGAACGTATACGGTCCATTGTCGTACGCCTACTCAGATGGTTGGAAGTCAGGTTGCACTAGCAGCCAATTTTATAACAATTATGAATTCCACACTGACCATCTACACATGTTTTCACCTGTTTGTCACTAGTTTATAGCATTATGAAGTATTTATATCTAAATAAATAAAACACGTATTCCCCCAAGTCATCTGACCTAATTCTACAGTAACGTCACATGCAGGTGAATGGAATGGAGATGCACACGGCTCGTTGACTGGTTTATTTAATCATTTAAAAGGTTCAAAACAATTTCCAGAAATAAAGGCTATGAATATAATTTACTGGAAAATATGATCAAATCAAATAATAAGGTCGGGAAGAAAGGAATTCCAGGGGGCGTTACATGTCCGCCGCATGAAGTTCATGTAATATAATGACATGCACATGTGTGAAATCGTCTTTTGATAATCAAATTACAGTATTACGGATATTTTATAATCGGAATTCAACACCTCAACGGCGCAGTATTAATTTAAAAGTTTGGTACCATGATACTTATATTTGGTGGAATTTACGTGGATACGGATTATAGAATTGCACGAATCTATAAAAATAGTTTAAATAGCAAAAATAGTCGTCTGCTAGTGCTATTTTAAACAATAACGGTGCAGTAGGCTAGTTTAACCAGTCATGCTAGTTACATCGCACTGATGTGACCAGTTAAAAGAGTCTAAATATCAGATAACTCTGCGCATCAAATAATTTCGTCCAAAACGAACGTTATATTTAGATGTCTATGATACGAGGCCAGTTTGACGCGAGTCAAAATAATTTATTCAATTTATGAGATTAAAAGCAACAAATAAAAACGCTTTTACCAATTTAGATTATCTTTATTTACAAGAAAATGGAGGTGGGCGGAAATCTGCTTCAAGATATTTTTGCCGGGCGGACAATATTGGTGCTGGGCGGTGCCGCCCGGTAATTGTAATAGTAGGCACATCCCTGGGTGTGAAGATTTTTAAGTGTGAGAAAGATAACCTATGATCGTATAATAGTGAGTTGACAACCTATTGAGCAAAAGACATAGAAATAATTATGTTTTGACTTTCTTAGAAAATATGAAATTGTAACTTTAAATAAAGTTTGTGACATTATTAATGTAGAAATTGAAGACTTTGTCCGCCACTGAACTACAGTTGCCCCTCGGAGTGAAGCAATTATGACATCAGAAATATTTTAATGCCATCTTCGTGCTTACCATGCTGTTCATTTTCATGTGGACATAATATGCCGTGGCCTCTGTCCATTCGTGTGTCTGTGTTCATATTTTGTTTGTTGACACAATTTTCATCCGATTTTGATGAAATTTGAAATATAGGTTATATCCAAAAGATCTTAGTTCCTTTCGATATTGGCATGTATCGGTCTGTAATTTCACAGACAATCTTGTATTTATGTTGTGGACACTCTAAAATCACAATCTTTATTTGATTTTAAATACTGTTCAAATAGATCACCGTTATATTAATTACAGTTGAGTTTGAATTTCGTGAAAGTCTGATCAACACTGGTCAGTCCCCTTCACGCAAATAGTGTAATAAGCATGTAATACCAAGGTTGTGAACCCTCTAGAGGTCACAATTTTGATGAAATTTAAAATATATGTTTATATCCAAAATACCGGGCCACATCCCTGCTATTCATTACATAACATAAATACAAAAGCAAAAGACAATGACCTGCCATAAACATGTCAAAGTTAGAAGTAAACAGTAAAACAAAGACGCAACAAATATTTTATTTTATTATGTAGTATTCTATAAAGTACTGTAAGTCATACAAATTTGATTCAAAACACCCTGACTGACATTCAATAGTCGGACTCAACAACTCTCCAAGTTTGGTTGTTTTTTTTTTTGAGTTTTTTTTTACAAAAATTTTATGTGAATCCTTTAGATAAGCAGCGTAAGCTCTTGCGAGAATCCTTGTGCGAATTAGATTCAAACCGTAACATTCAGGAATATTGCCCCAAATTGTGCAAAAAGTCAGGTTTTTTTTTTAGCTTGTTCACTGTCCATCTCTTGCAAAATTTGGGTGCATCTTGCATGGTAACCACTTGTTTTACTTTCCACGCTCTCATCAATTGGATTTATCTCACAAATATGCATATAAGACAGAAATAAAAGTTTTATTTGGAAAGCGTAGGTGGAGGTTACTGTGTTGACAATGGAACACAAAGTTGTTATTTCTCAATATTGGAAGACAGATTAACACTTAAAATCCCATGCAATAGACAATTATGTTTTTGACCAAAATCAAAGAGATTGTGCTGTTCTAACAAAACTGCAGAATATCTTATGATTTGAACAAATAATTATTAAAAGATGGATGTGTGAAACATCTAATTCATCAGAAACTTTGTTAGGTTTTAAAATATGAAAAATATTATTTTATGTTTCAGGCATTTTGGTTACCATTAGTGGATGAATGAAGATATGTTGAAATATGTATGAAATATAGAGATGCAAAAGAGAATGTATGCAAAATAAGTTGTCCACACACAACAGAGTCAATCCATGCATAACAGAGGCAGCAATACATTCAATTGTATATATTATACAAAACATCTATGCTGTCTATTAAAGACCCTAAGTCCTAGTGAGTGTCCTTAGATGTAAGCAAGATGGTGGAAATAAAATTTTGTGGAAGATTTGTCAAGTGACAAGAAATAGTTGTTGACTGTGTAAATAATGATATAAAAGTTGATGAATGATAGACTATATGTGTGTTGTAACCTCCGGTATTATTATCAGAGGACAAATTTGTGTTAGAAGTCTGAAAAATAGAACTATATCTTCCGTTTTGTAATTATTTCTATGAAAAGTAGCAGATTAAAAGGAATGTGAAGTTTTAGTTGAGAAATAATGTTTTGTGTTTGAAATAAGAAACAAAAAAACATTATTTTTAATCAATTTCTGGTGCCGTTCTACTACTCAATTGAAATTGTTCATAATTTTCTGCAGGAATTTTTATCTTTGTTACTAGGGCTATACTGCCATTTGCTAATTTTTATATTGTATTTGTATTAAACAAAGGTTTCCAATTCTATCATCTGTAAATTACCATTATTCAAAGCCAATATAGCAACCCACTTCATACTAAGGCTTATTGACTACCGGTACCATATAAAAAAGATATTCAGTAGACTTAAATAAAAGCAGTCATAAATGACAATACTCCGCAAATCCTCAAGAAAATATGTTCTTTTATTTTCAGAAAAGCTATTCATTTCAGGAAAAGTCATAGGGGTACTCCAAAGAACATTCTGAAATTGAAATCTCTAAATCCCTTGATTGAGAGTTGTCAATCAAGTCAATCAAGTAAAATGCACTATCTGAATATAGTACGTTTGCAACCATACATCCATTCATCGTGCTGTAATGTAGAATTATGCAACAATTCTGCACAAACCACATCTGTTTTCGGGACCAGCAGAATTCAATTCTGTGTCCTTCAATGTCATTTTGAAATATTCCCGACTGTCGATTAAGTACCCCTCTTAGATATTCTGTTTGTTTTGTGGTTTCTTCACCATGTTCATTACATCATGGTTTCTTGTGTTACATTAGTGCATTATTAGTTGTTTAGTGATTTTTTACAATTTAATAGTAATGGAAAATGTTATTCTGGTAAATTATTTTATTCATTCTTCTGTCACCTCTCCCATTTAACTAGTAAATTTGTCTGTTTATTCAATCCTATCATTTTTTCATCTCATCTTTATTATTATTTCATAGAATTACATATTCATTTTTATTTTCATTTATCATCATTTGTTTTTGTACAAAGTGTACATATATAATATATACATGTATATAGATAAATAAACAAAATGTTGTAAACTAATGTTTTGTTTGTTTTATAATGGATTGCTTTTTCTTACAATGGTAATTCTGTCTGGTTATGGAGAAAGCAACATAATGTTCCAAATTTCAGAGTAGTGTATGCTTATAAAAAAATGCATGACATTGGAAGGTGTTTAATTCATGAAATTTTACTATTTCTTGTCTACTTCATAGAATGTAGATAAATTATGATTTATTTATGTAAACTATATTGGTATTAATCATATTTTGAAAGCCAACGAACTTCCAGTGTCCTGCCATATATATAATACAGACCTCCTTAGAGCTCATTGAATTATTGATTATTAATAGTTCAATTAGCCCTAGAAAGGTCTGGAATGTATTGTATATTTTTTTTTACAGCAAAGTCCTAAATATAGATACATTATTTGAAAGTCACTTTATTTTGTTATTTATTGTGTTTGTCTCCACCTCCCCCCCTCCATTTGGAAATCTGGCATACATTTTACAAACACCATACCAGCTTATGAGGGCATAGATGTCGTGTATAAAGTGGTGGAAAAGAAAAGATCCTGCCTGTAGTATGTCGGGCATCCTTGACTGGTGAAAATGTCAACTGGTAATCTCGCAATAGACTCTATTTGTATGTATGTGCATGTATGGTTAATATTCCTTATTAAACAGGCATTATGCAAGAGCTAAATCTGTCTATTGCAGGTCTTTCTTTAGGGCTGAATTAACACTTGATGCCATCGGATGGCTGCGATGTAAGTAAATTTAAATACGTTTTTTTGTAACCGTAAAAATGACTTTATCATAACAAAGGTAGTAATGACAATTTTCAGCATATTCTCTTTTCATTATCTATTTTTTTAACTATTATAGCTAGTATTGCCAGCTCTTACCTAATGCTGCTATAATAATGTCTACATTATTACATATAAAGTTATATTTATAGCACAGTTGAAGCGTGCTATAAATGACTTGTAACACTGACTCCTGCTCAATTTGTTTGTTGTTATTGCACAGAAAACCCACCCCCACTTCTCTATATGATTTCTACTAAAACTAGTGTAAACCAGCAAAAGAGTGCAATAACATTGAACATGTCTAGTTATTGCACGGTTAAGCTCCACCCAATCTACAAGAGGGAAAACAATCTGCTTATTCAACGAAAAGAACAAAGGAAGATTTCTCGTCCATTCAATTAAAATTAAAGATGCACTATTATATATCTCATCAATTATTTATTTGCATGTAGTTCAAGTCAGTGCAAATAATGGTCTGTTTTTAATGTGCTATTTTATTTCATTACCGCAGTGATTCTCAACCTTTTTTTGCCAACGGCACACCATGGAACACATACACATAAAAAAAAAAATAGCGACACACCTGGCTATAATATATACTGTAAAAAAATAAAAACATGGCAAGTCAGACGGCATACGACCGTAGACAGAGACTAGTCATAGACAACTAAATAAACAAAATCACAGCTATGAACTTATCAGTAGACACCAGTGAATAGATGATGTGGTTTTTCACATTTTCTTAGTGTGCCGTTCAAAATTCCGCGGCACACTAGTTGAGAATCGCTGCATTTTAAAAAATAAATCTAAATAGGACCTTTAATTATTTAAGGCGTGTCAACCGAAGCTACTTTTCTACTTTTGCTTTGTTTAGAGCTTCCGGTTTGATTTGACAGTTCAAGAAGACACATATCTGGTATGAGTTCATGATCTTATTGCAGAGATGATATTATGTTATTTTTTAATTCGTCATAATCATCAGTTAAAATGCCGGCAATAAAAGTTGGAATTTTGAGACAATATAGTAGCCTACAGGCTAGTAGGCTACCGCTAAGTTCTGCTAGACTGTAGACGTAGTGTGGCGAAACCATGGAGGTGTATGTACACCTCGGCTCTATGGACTAAAATTACTGAGACCGTATAGGCCTAGGTGCTTGGGTCGGTACCGTTGTTCTGTGGTTAAAGGAATTAGACCTTGCGTCTTATCCCTAGCCGAATTTTAAAAAATGTTGAAATATTTTTGTTTAAAGTAGTTAAGTCTCCAACTCAATATCATCCAAAATCTTCAAGTTCAACATTGAAAACACGATTTATTTGTCAAATTAAATCAACATTCATGTTATGATCTTACCGGGAAAAGATGGGCTTTTGATATCCAATATTTAAGACAAAATAAACATTTTACCATTGGTACACGATTCGTGTACCATAATGGTTCAACGTACCCCACTGACAGTGGTTCAATTCAATCTGCCACATCACAGTTTTATGATCAAAATTTTAAAAAATTCAAAATGGATCAAGCCCTTATTTATCTGGATTGTAGATATGAACTGATTGTAAGTACAAGAATTTCCTAGGCTGAACAAATTATCAAATGATATAGTCTATAATGCACTGGGGTACATTGAACCATGGTTCAAAGTACCCCATTGACAGTGGTTCAATCTGCCCCATCACAGTTTCATGATCAAAATTTTAAAAAAATTCAATGTGCCCTCTATGGATAAAGCCCCTGTTTATCTGGATTGTAGATTAGACATATATGAACTGATTTTAAGTACAAGAATTCTCTAGACTAAACAGTTAACAAGTATGGAAAATGATAAGTGGAAGTAGTGCATTTTCACTTTTAAGAGCTCTTTTGAAAAACTCATTGCCTAAAAAATAATTGACAGCATGTTGCTACTGCTTATTGACGGGGAAATAGATCTAAGAAGTTATCTCACTTCTGTGTAGTCTTGGGTTGCCTAGTATTATTTATAAAGGATATATCCACGGTGGTTCAATGTACCCATATGTTCAATGTGCCCCGGTCTCCCCTATCAAGAGACTCGAGGGAAGAGGCTAGACACATTGCACCAAATCAAACGGCGTATGTAGACTGGAATAACCAGACGCTAGAAATTTGCACTCGCTTGAGACTGCTGGCTTATTTCGCCGAACATAACTGATTTGAAATTGGAGTAAAAACGGAAACCATTGAATGTAAATCAGTTTATGTACATTCATATTACAGTATTATATGCGTTGCGACCCACTTTTGTCAATTTCTAGGTCCCAAATGTTAGCGATTTAGCTCCTTTAATGTTTATTTCCATGAATATGCAAATGGCGGTAATATTGCTGATATTTTGATTAAATGTTGATACCTGCATGTTTATGTATTATATGCTAAAAGTAAAGATTAAGTGCAGTCCATGTTGGACAAATAGTTGTTGGGGTCAAATATTTTCAGCATGGACGTCACTTTTACTGGGGAAAAAACGACCTCGCGTACTGGCATGACCATAGTTATGAAAACTTTTTAAATCCGTTGGTCTATCTGATGTGTTACCTTTTAATACTAATACTAATAGCTGCTATTGGAGTTCTTGAAAATGACAGTGGCACAATTTATAGGGGTCCAAATGTTCTGTGTTCCTGCCCGACCCCCCACCATGAGCTCTTTGCACTCAGCACTCGCTAATATGGAGATCTTATAAGAAAATCTAGACGTCCTCTTGCTGAAAATCCTGGATCCACCTCAGAAAACATTGCCAGAGTCTCAATTAATGTTACTGTCTCTGCATAAGATAAGAACCCTTGCTGAATGGAATTCAATGAAAAATAAGTAGGTTAACCAGCGAGAAGTTTCAAATCCTGTAGACGAGACATTAATGCATTTCCTTTCTTTTCCTTCTTTAAACCCTGTACAATTACAATTGTTTTTAGAATGATTTCTTTGTTTTTTCTAGTTTAAGAGCATATTACTATGAGGACAGTTTGTAGTTGCTGAACTTTTGGAAGAGAACACAAGTAGTTATTTTCCAATAATGGCTGCTGAAAGACAGATATTTACAGACAGTCATGCCAAATCTATTCTTACTACTATGAACAGTTTAAGAAAAATAAATACTCTGTGTGATGTGACTCTTAAAGTTGAAGGTCACAGTTTTCCAGCACATAGAATAGTTTTAGCGGCATGTAGTGATTATTTTTGTGCAATGTTTACTAATGAGGTAATATAATGAAAGAGCTTCATGAATTAGCCTGTTTGTTCTAGTTTAGCCTACTCTCTATAGGTTTTTATGTGATTCAACCAACATCTGATTCACAGTCACACAGTCCATATAGTTGAAGATGTTGCCCTGATATTTCACCAATGGTCATCAGTCATATATCTAACCAAACAGGAAGCACTTGCCGCTTGGCTCCCAGAAGAGGAATTTCAAATCTGAGGGGAGGAATTTTAGTTGTGGGGAAGAACCTAAAACTTGGAAACAATATAGTGGGAAAGAAAATCAAATGAATACTGATCTATCCAAATATAAGGGCGATCATGAATTAACAGTTCATAAAAAAAACCTGATACTTCAGGCTTAATCCTGCGTGGGACTATTCATTGATCGAGGTCAGAAAAGCTTGCTCATGTTAATTTGATGTTTGGGTGGCATTTGATAGCTGTGAAAGTGATCACATTTCTTTCAGGGATATGTTATTTGATTGCAATTAATAAAGCAGTTTTATATTCATATATTTGGTGGCTTTGATTTGCCAAAAAATATAAAAGGCAAATGTTAAAAAATATGACTTGATGATCGTAATTTGATCATTTCCCAACTATTTTGTATTCTGCTCTAAAGATAAGAACTACCAGACATTTCATGAAGTGAATGTATCATTGCAAGGAAATCCTACCAGTATGTGATAAAATAATTTTAGTGCTAATTTTTAGAGCAAATTACAAAGTAAACAAGAAACGAATGAATTTTAATCATGTAGTCTCTTGTTCTCTCTTCTTCACAAATTTCGGTGGATCAACGACACCGATAGCAAAGCAAAAATTGCAATATTACAATTGAAATCTGGGGATGAATTTAGGGAATCTTGGATCAGAAGGCGATGAATTTGACCTGGGTCTCTAGGGATCAATGTTTGGACTAGAAATAGGCATCAATTTTGTCTTCACCGGCTATGAGAATTGGCGATCGTTTTATTGACAAACAATAACCCCACCCACATATTCTCGATTATCAAGTAACATGCTCAATGGCTATGGTAGTCTCGCTTGGCAGGCTTTTCATCACCAGTTTTCAGTTGTGACATCAACGAGTAATGGTAATCGGTAGCTTGGTCCGCCATTTATTTATTTAATTTCAAATGGACGAGGCTGTTTAAATCCAAACTGTATCCAAACCATCCTTGGGTCTACAGAGTTGATTTTAAGCTTGTCGTGTAAATAAAGGTCTAATTAATAATTTCTATAACATCTGAAGCCTAAATAAAGACTTGCAATAGGCAGATTTAGCTCTTGCATAATGCATGTTTAGTATATAATTACAATAATTCATATTGACAGCCTACCAATTGGTCTTTTTATCCAAATTGACTTTATAGAAAAATCTGCAACCAGAGGTTTGGTTATCCCCAGGGCCAGCTCCTTAATTGTATGCTCCCAAGCCTCAAGTATAGGTCCTAGTACTCAGAAATATGAGAAAGGCAGACATCTTGAATAAATATCAAAACAGATTAAATGAATAAATCAAGGACAGCTTAAATTTTACAACAAAGTTAACAGCGATGTCCAGGAGTATCGCCCCCTCCTCTCAGCATGCCACTGTTGGAAATAATCCAGATTTCATTGTCCCCTGCTGTTCGAAGAAAGCAGGGGACTATTAAATAGGTCTGTTTGTCTGTCTATCCATCACACTTTTTGGGACACAATAATTCTCTTTCCAATTGAGCTAGAATGTTCAGACTTGGTGTAGGTGTTTATTGGGTCAGTTGCTTGATGGAGTTCGAAGATGAGTATTTTCTGCTTAGGGTAAGCAGAGATAAGCAATTTTATTGGTTGGTGCTTTGGGACATGATAACTTAAATTCTAATTAAGTGAGAGTGATCAAACTTGGTGTATAGTTTCATGACATCAATACCTTGACTAAGTTCGATAATGAACATTTTCTGCTCAGAGCGATAAGCAATTTGATCGGTCGAGTCTTTGTAGCTCGGCAACTTTGATTCTAATTTAGCGATAGTGGTGAAACTTTGTGTATAGTTTCTTTACATCAATAACTTAAGTTTGATGCTTAGCATTTTCTGCTTAGGCAAAGTGGAGACTTCAATCTGATTGGTCATGACGTAGATGTTCATTAGGTGAATGTCTTGACTGAGTTCAATAATGATTAACATTTCCCGCCAAAGCTAAGCAGAGACGAGCAGTTTCATTAGTCGATGCTTTGGGACAAGATGACTTTGATTCTAACCGATGGAGAGTGATGAAACTTAGTGTATAGTTGATAATCAATTTGATTGCTTGATACTTTTGAAAAAGGTAAATGTGCATTTAATTAATATGTGTCATCTATTTTGGGATTTCGATGGGGGACATCAGACTTATTGTTGGCTTGTTAATCATTATCAAGGACGCATCTAGTGGGGGTGGGCACCCGGCACTTGCCCGCCCATCTAGATCCATGGGGCGCACAGACTCAATTATGTATGAGTCACAGATCGTAATGTACCATGACAGCATCAATTTCAACCAGTAGTTCTTGTTGCTCCCCAGGACAGTGTGCCTCCTCTATCCAAGGTTTCTGGATCCGCCCCATAATTATTATGTTGTAGTTATTGTTGTGAAAAGTCCTTCAAAATTACTTGAATTTGTGACTTGACTAAATTGTAGTATAAACTCTTGATTTGCAGATGTCAGAAAAGGATAAATTTATGATTGAATTACATGAAATATCAGCATCAGTAATGGAAGTATTGTTAGATTTTGTTTATACAGAAACTGTTGATGTTAGTGTTGAAAATGTACAAGAACTTTTACCGGCAGCCTGTTTATTACAGCTAACAGGTACCAGTTTAATGCATTGATTATATATTGGATTTGGTTATGGACACCTCGTAAATTATTTATGTGATGTAAGGGTACTGGGAAAGTTATCAAAATTGTATGCAGAGTACTGTATATATAAATATCAGCTTTGATCAATTCCATTCTCTGTTGTCTTGGACTGAAATGATTATTATGATTGGTACAAAAGTGCATGGGAGTTGGATGGCTGATTGGTCTAATGCAGGGTGTCAAGCATGCGACCCGCGAGTCAGATCTGGCCCGCCAATGGTTTAAATGTGGCCCGTGGAAGAAATTTCAACAAATTGACGTATATCGATAATTCTTAGAAACTAGGAGTGGAAATCATTTATTATTGTTTTCCGGTTTTAGTAAAACTGTGACTTCTGTACTGTACATGTATGTCATAGATATCTAAGTTGAAGATATCTAAGTTGACTAATTTGGTCCATTTCAAAGTATTATATTCCATTATAATATGTAACAATTTTAGTCATATAAATCAATCAAATTTTCTTGATCTTGATATTTTTGTATATCTCTGGCCCACTTGATGTAAAATTTTAGTTCATGTGCCCCCTGAATCAAAATGAGCATGATACCCCCTGGTCTAATGCATGTGCTTTAGACCATAATGTCTTTCATTGAGTCAGATGGCCTGGTTTATAGCACACACTTGTACACATGCAGAAAATGGGGTCGCCTGTCCATGCGCATGGGAATTCTCCTGGTCCTCCGGTTTCCTCCCACAGCTAAAGACCCATATATGCAAGCAAATATTATTGAAATAAAATTGAACCATATGTTAATCTCAAAAAGATCTACTTTGTGTCTAGAAGATGTTTAACCCATTTCCCTCTCTCTGTGTCTGTCTGCCTTGAGGCCACATGTGCACATTGGAGTTCACGTAAAAGAATAGTTGTCAGTTAGAATTCAATGCCTCTCCGGGCAGAATTTCACTCATGGCACATCGCTTACCAGTTTTCATTAGTCCAGTTGGTACACAAAAGCAGGAGGTTAAACCCCTTTCATTTTTGTTTGGTCATTTGACAATTGATATTGTTTAATTAAATATAAATATTTTATTCTTCAGGTGTTAAACAAGCATGTTGTTCATTTTTAGAAAAACAATTAGATTCCAGTAACTGTTTAGGTATTAAAATATTCTCAGAAAGTCATTCCTGTAACTCTCTATGGCAGGCAGCAGAGTATTACAGTTTACGCCACTTTCAAGACGTGATATCACAAGATGAGTTTAAAACACTACCCTTGGAAGAATTGAAACGACTTGTTAGCAGTGATGAATTACAGGTTAGTTTTTATCAGCCTACAATGGTGCAGTAACCACTGTCTATTCATCATTCGATCATTCACATTTACCCTTATCATCCGAAATTGATCACATTGCAAAATTTTTGAATTATCTTGAAGTCAGAAGTTATTATCCGATATTTATACAATACATAGCCTAGTGGTGATGATCATGAAAGAAGATTTCTTTAATTTCACTTTGACAAATCCTGCTGATACTCTGGAGGTTAATGTTAACATTGTTTATTTTAGCAAGAAAAAGCATCCTATTAATGTAAAGCGATTCTGAGTAATTGCCTTTGTCAATTTGATATATCTTGTAGATGTTCTAGAGGCATGAGTAAGCATCTGATTTGTTCAAAATTTATATGTTTTATTGAAATGTGCGGAAGAAGTCTTTCGAATTATAGTGATTTTGATAACTACTTACTTTTAGTGTGTTGTGCAATAGATAGGATATACTTATTGTTTCAAAAATAAATGATATTGATCCATTTTCTCATATAGTTTGGAATTTACTTTGCTAACATTAACAATGCTTGGTGTACTTTATTACCTAACAGACCTAACATGTACTGGTAGTCAGTTAAAATTTGAATGCCCTATATTTTTATACGCCCACATTTTCGTGTGGACATATTATGCCGTCGCCTCTGTCCATCCGTCCATCCGCCCACCCTCCCACAATTTGTTTGTGGACACTCTACAGGTCACAATTTTTATCCAACTTTGACGAAACTTGTAATATAGGTCTATCTCCCAAGGATCTGGGTTCCTTTCGATACTGGCATGTATCGGGCCATAACTTCATGGATTATGGTCCTTGATTGTATGGAAAATCACATTTTTAGCTTGTGGACACTCTAGAGGTCACAATTTTCATCTGATTTTGATGAAACTGAAAAATGCATGTTTATAACCCAAGGATCATGGTTCCTTTTCATATTCTCACATATCGGATCGTAACTTCCTGAATTATGGCCCCTGATTGTACAAAAAATCACGTATTTAGCTTGTGGTCCCTCTAGAGGTCACAAATATACGTTTGAATATATCCCCATTACACCATAATGCTGGTTGACCAAAACTGTCAGACAAAATGGCCGCCCCTGGTATGCAAATAGTGTAAACAGATGGTATATCAAGGTTGTGGACCCGCTATAGGTCACAATTTTGATCTGATTTTGATGAAACTTTACATTTATGTTTATATCAAAAAGATCTTGGTTCGTTTCATTAATCGTGCATATCCGAACATAACTTCCAAGATTATGGCCCCTGATTTTGCGAAAATTCACATTTTTTAGCTTGTGGAAGTGTTAGAAGTTACAATTTGTATTCAATTCTAAAAACCGTTAAATTATATCACCGTGACACATCAATGAAGGTTGACTTTGAATTTCGTAAAAATCTGACCGAAACTGGCAGACAAAATGGCCACTCCTTGTATGCAAATAGTGTAAAAATATGTAATACCAAGGTTGTGGACACACTAGAAGTCACAATTTTTATCCGATTTTGATGAAACTTTAAATATATGTTTATAATCCAAAGACTGTGGTTCCTGTTGATATTTGTGCATATTAGACTGTTACTTCCTGGATTATGGCCCCTGATTGTACGAAAAATCACTTTTTTAGCTTGTGGAACCTCTAGAGATCACAATTTTCATCCAGTTTTAAAAAAACGTTTAAATTTATCACCATTACACCCTAATGATAACAACTAATTAACCCATGAATGCCTTTTGTTTCTCATCAGTACTCTTGTTGTATGTAACATGATTTTAATGACTCTAGTTGATGTCTGTCTTATTCTGTTATTTTAGGTAAATAGTGAAGAACCTGTATTTGAAGCTGTTTTAAATTGGGTTAAATACGAATTGGTGGAACGTCAACAACATCTTGCTCAATTATTACAATATGTTCGTCTTCCATTGTTATCAGCTCGTTATATCACAGATGTCATAGATTACGAGGTTAGTTTTTGTCATCCTAAACGTTTTTTATTAGTGCTGATATCAAGTATCGATGGATTGCCGATGCATGCATTCGACTGACGCCGATGCTTTCTCAACCCTTTTTTTGTATTATCGAGGCATCGGCAAAAGATACTGATAATTACCTTTTTGTGTCCGAGGAGTTCACAAGTTTGTCCACTAGAATAAATAACGTTTTTCTGTGGTTTTTTTATAATTCAAAATAAAACAATATACATATAACGGAACAAGTGTCAATTGAAGTGAATCAGACGATAATAATGTCATAATAAGAATATTGTGGAAATATATTTATTCAAATAAATCGACATTTCTATAATAATGATAATGTTAGGGAAATCTATGATTCTATCAGAAATACTAATGTTATTTCTGTGATTTTTGAATAACAAAATGGCAGCAAAAGATTCCCAAAGCATCGATGCGAGTATCGAAGTTTGCGTCCGATGCATCGATACGTAAACTTTTACTTGATATCAGCACTAGTTTTTATACACCCACATTTTCATGCAGACGTATATTGTTGCCGCCCCAGACCGTCCGTCCATCCACAATTTGTTTGTGGACACTCTACAGGTCACAATTTTTAGCCGATTTTGACGAAACTTGAAATATGGGTTTATCACTTTATCTCTTAAAGATCTCGGTTCATTTTGGTATTGGCATGTATCGGATCGTAACTTTATGGATTATGGACCCTAGTTGTATGAAAAATCATGTTTTCGATGAAACTTTAAATATATGTTATAACCCAAAGATCTTGGTTCCTTTCGATATTTGCGCATATCGCATTGTAACTTCCTGGATTATGGCCCCTGATTGAACGAAAAATTGCTTTTTTAGCATGTAGTCCCTCTAGATGTCACAATTTTTATCCGATTTTAAAAGAAAAAACGTTCCAATATATCACTGTTACACCATAATGGTAGTTGATTTCGAATTTTGTTAAAATCAGACTGAAACTGCCAGACAAAATGGCCCCTCCCTGTACTCAAATAGTGTTAAAGTATGTAATATCAAGCTAGTGGACCCTCTAGAGGTCATGATTTTTATCCGATTTTGATGAAAACTGCCCCAACAAAATGGCCGTTCTTTGATGGCAGTTGTGTAAAAGTATATAATACGGAGGTTGTGGACCCTCTAGAGGTCACAATTTTTGTCCAATTTTGATGAGACTTTAAATATATCTTTATATCCCAAAGATCTCAGTCCCTTTCGATATTCATGCATTTTGGACCATAACTTCTGGGATTATGGCCCCTGATTGTAAGAAAAATTGCGTTTTTTTTTTAGCTTGTACTCTATCCATCTCTTGCAAAATGTGGGCAAGACATTGTGGACATGGACGGTTTTCATAATCACAATTCCAGAGACTGCATTTATCATCTGATTGTTCAAATTTATAATCGTGTAGAAAGTTATGAACTGATCTGCATTTATATGCATTGTTCAGATTAGTAGAAGAAACCAACTTAATTTTAAAAACGGCAAAATGTTGTATATTATTTGCACCTAAGACAAAATTGGTGTTGTTGCCCTTGTCATATAAACCTTGTCATCACTATCTGGGTCAATGATTTTTATATTTTTATTGTGAACCTCATTAAAAGTAAGAGTTGCCCATCAATTATTGTTAGATTAGAGTTACTGCCAAAATCATTTCAGTATATTTTTTTAAAGTTTGCTGGGTTTCTGGACAACTTTCTTAAACAGCTTGAAAGACTTAAGAAGCTGCTTATGGGTCTTTGTTTTGTTGTCTGGTTACTCATCTGTATGTTTTTTGAATGTTCTTCCAATTCAGCCTCTAGTTAAAAGTAGTCATAAATGTCGTGATCTTCTGGATGAAGCCAAGAAATTTCACCTTCGGCCAGATTTGCGTGGACAGATGAATGGACCAAGAATGAAAACAAGAATAGGTGAGCTTAATCTTCTCAACATACTTTACTGAATTTTACTATTTCAAAACTTTCTGAAATCAGATATGTCATTTATGACCAATAAAAGTAATCACAAAGGTTAGTTTTCAGTTCCCTAACATTGAAAGTTTATTAAATTCTGCTATCCATAATTAGTTTAGATTAGCTTGTGAGGTATTTGATTGAAAGTGGACACACTGCAGTATTAGCCTATTATTTTAAATGCATTCATTGTAAAATTTGTAGGAGCTGGTAGGGGTCATGTATTGCTTCAGCACTACTCTCAGATTGTGTGTTTATCCATGTATTAACATTTCTAAAACAAGTCATAGAAATCCCTTTACCCACATTCTACTTTTACAGACTTATGATTAATTTACTTGATTCATTCACACACCTAAAATATAGCAACAATCACTAACATATACACAAATCTACTGTTTCTATTGATGATGCAAACATGTTAACAGGATTAAGACCACCTCCTCATTTAATTCATATATTGAAAGGAAAACATGAAAGAAGAAAGAGTATTCTCATATCAATCATCAATGTTATATCGAAATAAATTATAAATTCAAACCACTTAAACCAAAGCTACAATTGATGGTTTGAAGAGCTTGATTTTGATTATCAAATAATTTTGTCAATCTAGAATAAATATACCTTCGGGTGAAGTCTCTGAGATAAAATCAGGTTGACTGACGTAGGCCTGCTTACTCTATAGACTGAATATTAAATATATCTAGATTTTTCATTCTAATCATCTGTTCGTAGATGAACTGGAATGGGGTTTAATGTCCTACTTTCGGCACCAACAGGTCTATGAAAGACGGGTAGTGTGCTATGAGGGAAATTTTGTTTAATTGGACAACTGCCTCTGTCGTCTACTCTTCACTGAATTCAAATGTCAGGGTTCTTTGATGTGCACAACCATCAACCATATGTACACGTGTGGACATTTGTTGTTTTGCCTATGTGAATAACTGCATGCATTTTCCTTGGCAGGCCCACAGTTAAGGGGGAAACCAGGCTAGAAAATCATGAGCGATTTTTCGGCTTCAATCGGGATCTAACCTGAGTAAGCACCATACTCACTGAGCCAGTGTCATGTTGGTGAGTAAACGCCATACTCACTGAGCCAGGGCCAGGTTAGTGAGTAAGCACCATACTCACTGAGCCAATGCCATGTTAGTGAGTAAGTGCCATACTCACTGAGCCAATGTAGACTATCATGACAGAAGATCCTGAGTAGTATTACAATTTGTAAAAAATATGTTATGTTATGAGAACTAATGATTGTCTTTTAAGGAACTGATGATCTATTAGTTGTACTTGGTGGTTTTGGCTCTCATCAGAATTTAGTAGATGTAGTAGAAAAATATAATCCTAAAACGCGAAGTTGGAATAGATTACCGGTAAATATTATCATATTTTTGCATGATATTTACAAACTAAATTGTTTTTCCATTTCATAAATATGCCAATATTGATACCATTACAAAGCCCAGACATCCTTTTGGTTCGGATATCAGTAGAAATCGCATTTAAGATGGATGAGTAATAAGCTACTCATGAATGCAGATTCCGAAACTGCATCAAAATTACAGAACATGTACTGTCAGACATGTTTTTTTTGTTTTTTTCAAGTCGGTGTTAACTGTGCATATCATTTCTATCAATTATATGGTGTATATTATAATATTTCCACCAATTACATGGCAAGATTACATCATTTCTACCAATTACATTATATTATTTCTACTAATTACATGGTAATATTATACTATTTGACTGTATACAAAGAGAAAAAACTTGATTGTGTTTATGTAATTCTGTTTATGTAATTCTGTTTATAAATAAGGGTTTAACTAAGAGACGACGTTATGTATCAGCAGCATCTGTAAATGGTTGTGTTTATGTAATTGGTGGATATGATGGACAATCTAGATTAAATAGTGTAGAATGTTTAGATATGACTGATAATGAGTTGAATTGGGTGACTGTATCCAGTATGCATCATAGACGAGGTTTAGCTGGTGTTTGTGTTTATAAAGGTAATATTTCTTAATAAGATACAATATATAAATATATATATATATATATATAGTCACACCCAAAAATAACTAAGAGATAAAGCACTTTCATGCGGAATTATATTTGGCTTGATCCATAAAATAGTCTGTAATCCCTGAGAAGTGAAATTGTTTACTGTTATCAAACATATCTTTCTCTATCTAACGATGGTATGGGGTTGGGTGGCTGAATGGTAAACGCGTGCACATTGGATCAGAGAGCCTGTCTTTGAGTCAAGCGGCATGGTATCGATTCCCCGCTTGTACATGACAAGGAGTATGCTTGCCTATCCAAACTCGTGGGATTCTCTGGTTCCCCGGTTCAGACCGATCAACCACTCACAGCTGAGTAGGGTAGTGCAAAAAATGCAGTAGAAACCATGATTTGCCAGTAGATTTCTAAAAGTGATTAAATTCGCCCATCCAAGGGTAATTAACTTACAAATACATTTTAGTACATGTGTCAAGTAGGTCCAACAACACAAAAATTGTATTAAATTTTTGATGGGTAATAAATATAGATATAAATAAACACAAGCAATGGTAACCATATCAAATTTATGGACCGTAATGAAATTATGATAATTTTAAAATTTGAATATTTAGCCTACAGAAAGAAATAATGTCAAATATAAAAATATGATTAGATCTTTCAAATATTTTTTTTTAAAACTTCCTTGCATTCCTCTTTCTGGAGTTTTTTGTCAATATTATTTTATATAAGATAATTGGTGTGCTTATCAGATTTTATAGTATTTTTACATTAGTAAGCCCACCAGAAGAAACAGTCAAGTATTTTGATTTAGTTACTTAGTTTTATAATTTTGGCGAGAAAATTAAAAATATTTTTTGTTTGAAAATGTGGTAGATATCTGTTACCACACAGCAGAGCGGTACATGGGGTCGGCTCTGGTTTCCTCCCACTGTTAAAGACCCCTACATGAAAGCAAATTAATGAAATAAAATTGAACCATATGTTAGTCCTGAAATGACCTAGTTTGAAGGATTATATGTTAAACTCTCTCTCTCTCAATCTCTCTCTCTCTACATGTGCACACAAACAAATTATTGAAAGAAAATGTGCCAAATGTTCTTTTATTTGATGTTAAACTCTAATAGCCTTGAAAAGGCACAAACTAGATCATTCACATAATCTTGATATGTAAAAGATTTTTACTTTTAATGTAAAGACTGTTGGTATTATGTAGTTAAGCACATAGAAGTATGGACAATATTCATGATGATTGGGGTGGCTTGTACAACCAGCGGCTGCCAGGCAGGATACGCCCACATTTTCGAGAGATGGATAGAGAACAAGCTAAGAAGAAAGTGATTTTTCCTACAATCAAGGGCCATAATTCAGGAAATTACAATTCGATATGTGCAAATATCGAAAGGAACCGAGATCTTTGTGTTATAAACTTACATTTCAAGTTTCAACAAAATCGGATAAAAATTGTGACTTCTATAGGGTCCACAACTTTGATATACCCTATTTTTACGCTATTTGAGAACGAAGGGCGGCCATTTTATCTGTCAGTTTTGGGCTGATTTTCACGAAATTCGAACTCAGTCGTCCTTAGGGTTTAACGGTGATATAATAATACGTTTTTTTAAATCGGATAAAAATTATGACCTCTATAGGGTCCACAAGCTAAAAACGCGATTTTTCATACAATCAGGGGCCATAATTCAGGAAGTTACAGTCCGATAGGCGCGAATATCAAAAGGAACCAAGATCTTTGGGTTATAAACTTACATTTCAAGTTTCAACAAAATCGGATTAAAATTGTGACCTCCATAGGGTCCACAACCTTGATATACCATATTTTTACGCTATTTGAGAACGAAGGGCGACCATTTTGTCTGTCATTTCAAGTTTCAACAAAATCGGATAAAAATTGTGACCTCTACAGGGTCCACAACCTTGAAATACCATATTTGAGAACGAACGGCGGCCATTTTGTCTGTCAATTTTGGGCCAATTTTCACGAAATAATAATACGGTTTTTTAAATCGGATAAAAATTATGACCTAGCTCTATAGGGTCCACAAGCTAAAAACGCAATTTTTCGTACAATCAGGGGCCATAATTCAGGAAGTTACGGTCTGATATGCGCAAATATCGAAAGGAACCGAGATCTTTGGGTTATAAACTTACATTTCAAAGTTCAACAAAATCGGATAAAAATTGTGACCTCTATAGGGTCCACAACCTTGATATACCATATTTTTATGCTATTTGAGAACGAACGGCGGCCATTTTGTCTGTCAATTTTGGGCCGATTTTCACGAAATTCGAACTCAGCCATCCTTTGGGTGTAACGGTGATATAATAATACGTTTTTTTTAAATCGGATAAAAATTATGACCTCTATAGGGTCCACAAGCTAAAAATCAGGGGCCATAATTCAGAAAGTTACGGTCAGATATGCGCAAATATCGAATAGAACCGAGATCTTTAGGTTATAAACTTACATTTCAAGTTTCAAATAAATCGGATAAAAATTGTGACCTCTATAGGGTCCACAAGCTATAAACGTGATTTTTCGTACAATCGGGCCATAATCCATGAAGTTTCGATCCGATACATGCCAATATCGAAAGCAGCCGAGATCTTTTGGGAATAAACCTATATTTCAAGTTTCGTCAAAATCGGATAAGAATTGTGACCTGTAGAGAGTCCACAAACAATTGTGGACGTCCGGACGGACAGGGGCGACGGCATAATACGTCCACATGAAAATGTGGGCGTATAAAAAGGTTACTATTTTTAATTAATTAAGTAAATAAAAAAGATGGCATGTGAAATCAGTAGAAACCATTGTAAACTTTAAAGATCCATAACTTAGAATAGATCAATCTGATTAAATTTTGATAAAATTGCTTTTTATTGTTAATGGTCTTTATTTAACCTTTATTCTTGCATGCTGGGATTTTAAGGTGAGAGAGAGAGAAATGGGGTTTAATGTCCACTCGACACAAGCTAGGTCTTTTCGGGACTAACATATGGTTCAATTTACTTCAATAATTTACTTGCCCGTATGGGTCTTTAGCTGTTGGAGGAAACTGGGAACCCGGAGAAAACCCATGAGGTTGGAGGACTTTAAGACCGCCTGACCATACATAGTAGTATAAGTGAGCTTACCTGAAAAATATTGAAATGTTGGGAATCAGATACATGTATATATTAGACCATTCAGAATATGACATTCTACATAACAGATTACCAAAAATTAGTTTTGTTGAAGTCTGGTTTGGTTATATTAAAGGGAATGGGAGCTTGATTACCATATCTCCTACCAGAACTTCTTTTGGACTAATTCTGGCCTGTTCGTTTCAAACTGGATTAAGAACCCTGGAGTTTACAGTAATGTTTTATTTCCCGTAGATCAAGTGTATGTGTGTGGTGGTTTTGATGGCTATGCTAGACACACCAGTATGGAGAAATATAACCCAGTCATAGATCAGTGGACATTATTGAGTGGCATGGCTGTAAGTCGGGAAGGCGCCGGTTTAGTTGTTGCAGGAGATTTAATATACTGTATTGGAGGTTATGATGGGATCAATCTTTTAGATTCTGCAGAGAGATATGAGCCAGAAACAGAGCAGTGGTCAACTATAGCAACAATGTCAACTCAAAGATCAGGTAATAATAACAATAATAGTTGATTTATGCTGTCCAATATAAATGCATGATCAATACGGTAAACTGGCATAATACATAGTCTGGAGGTTAACACATTTAAATACTGTAAAATGAATGCAAAATAACTAAATAAGAACAGTCATGTGGAAAGGGGACCTACCGTTTTAATAAGATCATCATATTGCAAAAGAAAATCAGTATTTCGATATAGTGTAGAAATTTTACTACACTATATTAGAAGTTGTTACTTATCACATGTATAATGTATCAATGGGTATTATTTGAACAAACATTATTAAAAGCCATATTTTTGTCAGTTTCTTGTAAATTAGCTTTGAAATTCGACACACAGAGGAAGATAGCTAAAATCACTTTTTTTTTCAAATGCTAACCATTGGAGCCTTCCATGAAAATATATGAAACACTGTTATCTCCCTTGAATGAATGAGGTAGGGGATTACAGTAAAACAGTTAAAATACAGGTTATAGAAGCTATGCATAGTCATGAGCTTGTGTATTAATATTGCTAGAATTTTTGCTCTTATAATTATATCTCTGGCAAGTTAGTGGATTCACATATTTGTACTGAAATCAGGTTTGTGAATAAGTGACAGGTTGGCACATAAAGAGAGTTACAGAACCAAAACATAGCTGGTTGTATGTGTCAATAAAATACCACGAGATTACACGTGCTTGGAAATTTGCTAATTTCATCATTTGGCTAAAGTAACCAATCATATCAGAAATTGCACAGGTTCAAGGCCATGAATAGGCTTTTATGTGCGTGATGTCCATATGTTCTATAAAAGAAATCATGGCAAACTTTTAAGGCAGACTTTCGTTAGATTCCGGAGAGATTACCATCTGAGTTCCTAGACAACAGACAGATTCTGGAAGGGAAAAGATGTAGCTGTTTCTATCAGCAGACTCGCCCAGCGAGTCTGGCTAGTGTTTGAGAATGACTTTATTCTATTATGCATTGTACCATATGTATGCAGCTATATGATATATAAAATGTAAAAGCGAATTGTTGCATTGCTATAACTACTGAGAAGACAAACGTCTTAAGGAAACAGACCAACAAAGATATGGCTTTTAATAATATTTGTTCAAACAATACTCATCCATACGTTATACATGTGATAAGTAACAACTTCTAATATAGTGTAGTAAAATTTCTACATTGTTTCGAAATATAATTTCTTCTTGCACAAGTATCAATTTTTGGCACTAAAAGGCACTCTTGTTAAGCTTGTTAAAAAAAAGTGGGCCTAAGCTTATAAAGAAAAAAGAGATAGAAAAATGAAATAAGAAAAAGAAAGGAGAGGGGAGGAAAGACAAGAAAGAAGAAAGGCGATGACGATAGGACAGGACACAGAACAGGAGAAAGAAAAGATAGGAAGCTTTGGTCTGAAATGCTTGGAAAATGGGTTTGCGGTTGTCAATTTTTAAAATTTTCCTGAGGGGAGGGGGTCCCAGACCCTCCACGGATGTTAATGCGCCCTCGGCGTGCTAGTGACACGCCTTCATTGCGTACATGCGTCGACCGTGGTCAATGACCTGACAGGTGGGCCTTTGGCCTACCAGTCCGGCACTGCATACACAGTTGAGAGTACTTGTTCTGCAAAATTTGATAGTGAATTCTTAATCTATATAATATTCTCTTACAAACCCTATAATTTTTAGAATATTGTCTATCTAGAAGATATATAATCAGTACATCAAAATCGAGTCATAAAATAGTAGTTTCAAAACTTGTGAAAGGGTACCTCTATTCAAAAGACCACATCTCAGTCTATATTAATGCTAGAGTCATATAACTTTGCAGGTTTACATAAATTTGTATGTACTATAACATATATATTATTTTTTTCACAATATTCTGAGGGGACCACTTTACAAGCACTGGTCCACATGACATGGAATGACCCTTCTATATACATGTACTAGTTTACTACTGTAAATAAATGAAATGAAATGGGGTTTAACTGTAAGTAAATGATGTTACCCTGTGCTGATGTACTATTTTTAGGTGCTGGTGTGGCAGTAGTAAATGATGTTATCTATGTTTGTGGAGGCTATGATGGAAATGAACATTTATCAACAGTAGAATGTTATAACACGACCACTGGTCACTGGACGTCATTATCACATATGATTGTAGCTCGTTGTTATGTGGGAGCGTGTGTTTTACAAGGAAAACTAATGGTGGTGGCAGGGTATGTCTAGTTTTTTATGTCAAATGTTGAAATATAGTTTGTACCTAATACCTAACCAGTTTATGGATTATGTCATGAACATCAAGAAATGTCAGGGCCTAGACAATCATTTTACTTTTTTTGAACATGTCAAATACATATTACATAAGGAAGTGTCAAATAAAATGACCTTGAAATAACTCTTGTATCAATCAAAATAATCTTAATTATAATTAGATCTTTATTGGAGTTTCACATGACATCTGTGTACTGATAGCTATTCTTCATGTTTCTATATCTTATGATTACTTGTCGGTTCGTGGCTTAGAGCTTTTGTCCATTTTCAAACTTCTACTTCTTGGTCGAAAGTAAGAAATGAGTCTAAGCCCCTGTTACTGACGCCTACTTAATTTTCAAACACTCTTAAAAGTCTCAACTCAAGTTTTGTGATTTTATTTTGAAACATGATGGGATTGTTTGTCTAATCATAAGGAAGAAACCTATCAAATTTCAGATCCTCCTATCAATTTTAAGCATACCTAATTGAAAATTGAAAGCAACCCTTCAAAAAGCTGCATGATTTCAGGGTGAATAGTTGAACCTATGCACTTTAGATCATTAGGTCTGTCATTGAGTCAAGTGGTGTGACTTAAATTCCCTGCTTGTACATAACAAGGAATTGGTCTGTCCAACCACATGTTTTTTGGGGCGTATTCTGGTTTCCTCTCACTGCTACTGACCCCTACACGCAAGCAAATTATTGAAAAAAGTTGACCATATTGCAGGTCTTTCTTAAGGTCTGAAATGTTATGTAAATTATTAATTAGACTTTTATTAACATGACAAGACCATAATCAACTCTCGGTGTCATCGGATATCTCAGATATTAAGTAGATTAGAACAGTTCAGCCATATTTTGATTTAATCTAAAAATGGTGAAGCGAGGCTAAGCTTTGAACAACCAGTGCGGTGGTTGCAATTAATGCACACATCATGTCAAACCTTCAAAAGCTATCATTTTCACTCGCAATGGAGCAATTTGAATGAAATTTTCAATAAATTCATTTTGCATAGTGATATATTTTACTTTCAGGTATGATGGCAATACCTTACTAAATACAGTGGAGATTTATGATCCATTAACAGAATCATGGGAAATATTAGATGATAGTATGGGAATTCCACGATGTGATGCAGGAGTTTGTGTTGCGCGAATGCCTTGAAATCATAACAAGGATCTCACTTTAATCTCACCAAGAGTGTGGTTTACTATAAGGCGGATTTCCATATAAATGTTGGGTTGGGCTGTTGTTGTTCATAGGGTTCCACCGCAGGTGGTAATATCACAGAAAATGCTTGAAGTGCGACACTCTAGACTACTACATGTAGGTCATCCCCCCCCCCCACGTTATAGGGAACTTGTGAATTATATAAACGGATGACTGTCAGCTATTTATATGGATTTCCATATAAATGTTGGGTTGGGCTGTTCATAGGGTTCCACCGCAGGTGGTAATATCACAGAAAATGCTTGAAGTGCGACACTCTAAACTACTATATGTAGGTCATCCCCCCCCCCACGTTATAGGGAACTTGTGAATTATATAAACAGATGACTGTCGGCTATGAACCCATGTTTCTATAGTGCATCCCTACAGTATGTGAGCAGTTCAAATCTCTGACATGAAGGTTTACGTATTATGTCTATTAATAGAAGTACTATTTCTTTATTGTTTATGTGAGGGGGGTTGGATGGCTGAATGGTTAGTACGTGCGTTCTGTACCATAGGGTCGCCTGTCCAACCTCGTGGGTTTTCTTCAGCTCCTCTGGTTTCCTCCCACTGCTAAAGACCCCTATGCGCAAGCGAATTATTGAAATGAAATTGACCTTGTGTTAGTCCTGAAATGACCTAGTTTGTGTCGAGTGGACATTAAAAGCCATTTCTCTCTCTGTTTATTGTTTATGTAAGATCCAGTTGTCACTTACACTGATGAATCAAAGTTTATTCAGTTCACGAAAAAGTTACACATGCTAATCAATCAAGTTCTAGTATATATTGTTTGATGACATGTAAATTTGGTAAGATACACAAAATGTGTTGAGAAAGACAAGATATTGACACAAGAATAGAGCTGAACATATATTAATCTCATCAAAATGAAATAAGTTTACTGTTTCCATAATAAACTTGGCATAAGTTAACTTAAAAGGGTCCGTATTCAATGGTTTTCCTCAAGTTCAGTAAAAAATACTTAAACATACATTATGCAAGAGCTAAATCTACCTATTGCAGGTCTTTCTTGAGGCCTGAAATGTTATATAAACTATTAATTAGACATTTATTAACAAAACAAGACCATAATCAACTCTTGATGGCATCGGATACTCAAGATTTTAACTAGATTAAAAAGGTTTGCTATTTAAAAATTTAATTTACCAATTGGGAAAGCGAGGCTAAGTCTTGAATAAACCAGTGCCCTGATTACCACTATGCACACATCTTGTCAAAACTACAAACAATTATAACTTGGCTCAGAATGAAGTAATTTCAATGAAATTTTCAATTTTTATACTCCCACATTCTTATGTGGACGTATATTGTCATCGCCCCCGCCGTCCGTTTGTCCACAATTTTTTGTGGACACTCTACAGGTCACAATTTTTATCCGATTTTGACGATACTTGAAATATAGGTTTATCCCCCAAAGATCTCGGTTCCTTTTGATATTCGCACACATCGGACAGTAACTTCTTGAATTATGGCCCCCGATTAAAAAAAAAACGTATGAATATATCACAATAATGATGGTTAAGTTCGAATTTCGTGAAAATCAGACAAAAACTGATGGACATAATGGCTGCCCAGTGCCCCTTATACGTGTAAAAATATGGTATATCAAGGTTGTGGACCCTCTTAAGAGGCCACAGTTTTTATCCGATTGGGATGAAATTTTAGATATATATGTTTTTATCATAAAGATCTTGGTTCCTTTTGATAAGCACACAAGTCACAACTTCCTGGATTATGACCCCTGATTGGTGAAAAATCGCATTTTTAGCTTGTGGATTCTCTATGGGTCACAATTTTTTTTTCCGATTTTAAAAAACGTTTAGATATATCACCATTCCACCATAATAAAGGTTAAACTGAAATTTCGGGAAAATTGAAACGAAACTGCCGGACAAAATGGCCGCTATTTGTACGCAAATTGTGTATAAGTATGTAATACAAAGGTTATGGACCCCCTAGAGGTCACAATTTTTATCTGATTTTGATCAAACTTAAAACATATCTTTATATTCCAAAACTCTCACTCCCTCTTGATACTTGTACATTTCAGACCATAACTTTTTGGATTATGGCCGCTGATTGTACAAAAAACGTTTTTGTTTTTAGCTTGCTTATGGAATAAGCTCCACTGCCAAAAATCACGAATTTCTAAAGTCACACGTAAGCTAGTTATGTCCCCTTAAGAGAAAATTTTGTTGAAATATTATATTGTAACCATGAAAATAGAATGACTATAATTTATGATAAATTATGAACAGTTGTTTTCGTAGATATTTTTAAAAAATTCTATTAAATCATTCAGCGTTGTTTATCAATCTATCATTTGAGAAATTCATAGAAATTGCGTCAGTGCCTATATACACTTTAGAATCCAAAAAATCCTACGTTGACGTACAGCGCGTGTGTACGAAAGATGCACGTGGCATTATTTACAACCCGAATAAATACTACCGATTAAAAGGCAATAGGCAGCCATCATCATATATTTGTAAATTTATATACCTTGTAAATGAAGACAAGAACATGTTGCAATCAATACTACTGCCCATCCGCAGCTATAGCTTCAGATGGGAATGGATTCTAAAAAATAAAGCATGCCTTGCTTCTAGCGGCAGTATAAATATTTGCTGAAAGCTACAAACGCAAGAAACATAATTATGCGAGACGAACATGATAAATAATCTCTGTGGTAGTAGTAACCTCATACACTATTATGGCACTATATAAAAAGGTTTGTGACCAGCTACGATCGGCGACATTGTCTTTGTTTCAAGCTGAATCCCCTAACTTTTAAAATCGCCATTACAGGCCCGACACGTACACTACACTGTATACTGCGGTTAAAAAGAAGTCAGTGTTAAGAGAACTTTTCTCATTTAGGCTTTCCTTTACTTTGAATAATGCTAAACTATAAACAATTAAAAGTTAAAGATACATTAGTTAAGAGTTTAATAAAGAAAATATTGAAAATAAAGAAATATACATCAACTGTGTCCGCACCGTCTACGAGAATTGTCGATCGTTGGATTGACAGACGATAACTCCACTACATATTCTCGATTATCAAGTAACATTCTCAACGGCTATGGTACCCTAGCTTGGCAGGCCTTTCATTGGAGTCTCCGGTAGTGACGTCAGTGACTAATTGTAAACAAGGCAGCTTAATTTTAAGGAAACATTTAATACTTAAAGCAGTTAAATCGCTAATATTTGGGACTTAGCAATTGACACAAATGGGTCTCAACGCATAAAATATGAATGTAATATTAATGTATATATAAACTGATTTACATTCAATCGTTTCCGTTTTTACTCTAATTTCAAATCAGTTATGTTCGGCGATATACGCGAGAAGTCTCAACTGAATGACAATCTCTAGCGTCTGGTTATTCCAGTTTACACAAGTAAAATTTATTGCGCATGCTCCCCAGATAAGAATATGGCGTCACCGTTTGACATGACTGGTGGAATATGTCTATCATCGTTCTTCGAGTCCCTTGTTACAAATTGCGCTGAAACGAATTCTGGTAAAATGTTTATTTGTCTTAAATATTGGATATCAGAAACCCATCTTTTCCCGGTAAGACCACAACATCGATGTTGATTTAAATTGACAAATAATTCGTGTTTTCAATGTGGAAGACTGGAGGATATTGAATTAGAGACTTATAGCTTATTTAACATTGACTTTGAATCATCGGAAGATATTTAAGTGAAATCTTGTAGTTAACTGACTTTCTTAGATTTAGATGTCCTATGAATACGGACCCTTGTTTTAAAAGAAATTGTGACTTTTTTGTTTGCTTGTTAATGAATATATCTGTGATATTTTAAGGAACCTTCTTTAAATTTATTATATTGCTTGTGTGTATGAATGTATTGTATGTATAGTACCAATATGTGCTTTCAGCTAATATTTTTTTGAAATTTCACCATGAATCCTATCCTCTACTTTAACAGGAGTTCTATTTTATAAATAAGAAAACACGGCTTGCATCTATATGTATAGTGTGATGAAAACGAATTATTTTACTTTAATGCATTGAATTCAGACCCTTACAAGAAAAATACTTATTTGATTTATGTAAAGACAAATAATTGAATTATGCCCATTCTATCAGTAAGAGGCTAATTGCTTGTTTTTCAAGTTTTCATTTTGGCAGATAAAGCAGAAGCTGGTCTGGATACTTATATTCGGTTTGTTTTTATTTAAATGGTCGACAGCTGAACTCAAAATCAGTTGTATCTCAACCGTTGATTTTTCTGTAGACCATAGTCTTAGTAGATTCCCACTTAAGGATGGGTGGTCTATTGTTGAACCTACACTTATTTATTCTATAAATTTGCCATTTAATGAATTATTGAATTAATTATTGTTCTGATTTTCTTTTAAAACTGCCAATATTTTTTCCACAAGTCAGTAGTTCAAAGACTCTTAGAAGCATTTATGTGCATCTGTCTTTGATAATTGTTCAAGTAATGGAAACGATATGTTTTATTCTTAATATGGGTTTAACATTAAACACGTTTCTAAAGTGACTGCAACTGCGGTAGAATCTGGATAAACTGTCTTTAAGGTGGCAATAATGTCGTTTAATTTAAGCTTACACTCTAGCTTTCTTTCACGGCCAGCTTAGATGATTAACAATCAACCAGGCTTTCAAGGACTCTTCTGATTTAGACCAGGGAAATAACTCCATGTTCTCCAGGTTTAATCCGTTACCAGAGGGTCTGCCCTGTTTTTTTGTTCCCTTCTTGGTGCGCATTGGAAAAGGGACCTGGGTTACTTTCACCTTGCTACCTTTAAACAGCGATTCCTCGTATACGCTATGGAGATAATATTTTTAGTTATAATTTTTAAGTCAGGTAAATACGGGCGTCTGACTTTTGAGGTATTCGATTGATTCCAAGCTACTTAATGAATCATTGAGGATAACGAAATTTGACCGACCTTGCTCTAGCATGAATAATAAGGAAGGTACAGACATTTTATTGATACGGCGGCCATCTAGTACACCAATCTGGATTTTCGCTTAATAAATCTGATAGTACCCCAAACTGTTGAATAAACTTTTTTGAAGGGTTAATACTGTCAACTATATTCGTGTTCATTTAAACTAATGACAGTTATTTTGGTGTTTTGTCATGTCTTTCAAACAAGTTGAAGGTTAACAAACGCTGACGCACATAAACTTCCATTCAAATAAAATGAATTGTTATCCCAAAACCGATTAAGTAGGGTGACCCACCATGAATAAATATCTCCAAATATCTCGACAGTTACACCACAATATTTATATACTAAGCAACAAAAGAAACGCCATGTTGGTATGTTACTCTGAATAGACGCATTGCATAAAACTTGCCAAATGTTTTTATTGTATATTTGTGACCACATCTCCAAATTTACCTGAGCAATAAGCCTCCTTCCCAAACACAGAACTGAACCCACAGAACGCAACCTGACTTCCGAGATGGTAATGTGTTCTCCGTGACTTTCATGTAACTCATGCTGCACGTGCTGTTCACCGGGACCAGCCCTATAAAATACACCCCATATTGGTTTAGTCATTCACACTGCATTGTCAGCAGCATGCCACGACTCACCACAGCTCAGAGGAACCAGGCACTTGGAAAACTCGACGCTAGCCACACTGCCCAAGCCGTTGCCAATCACTTCAAGGTCAATGTTCGGACCATCTACAGGCTTCAGCAACGCTTTCGGGCCACCAACAACACGGATGATCGCCCCCGAACTGGTAGACCAAGGGTTACCCCAATGCGACAAGACCGCCATGTTCTGCGATAGCACGTGCTGAATCCCTTCACACAGGCATCTGAGACAGCATGTCAGACAGGGGAACTCACGGGAGACCCATCAGTACCGATACAGTGCGCCGACGTCTCACCAGAGAGAACATCCATTGATTGCCGTAGACCTTACCGTGGACCGATCCTCACCCCTCGCCATCGACGAGAACGTCTACAGTTTGCCAACAACTCCAGAACTGGCGACACAGGAAATTGAGAACTGTCCTGTTCACAGATGAGAGTCGGTGTTACGTATCAACTGCAGATGGCAGGACCAGAATATGGCGTCGACGTGGCCAGCGTTATTTTGACCAATGTGTCATGGAACGAGACTCGTGGGGTTTGGGGTGGAATCGGCCTGAACAAGAGAGTGGGTCCTGTGGTGTTCCAAAATCTGGGGGGAGAGGAGGCGACCTGACAGCAGTGCGCTACATCGATCAAGCTCTCAGACCCCACGTCATACCACATTTCGCACGTCATCGAAACAACTTTTTCCAGCATGACAACGCCCGTGCCCACAACGTCAGATTTACTCGGGACTTTCTACAGCAGAACGATGTCAACGTTATGCACTGGCCAGCCCTTAGTCCGGACATCTTTGGGATGAAATTCAGAGGACACTTAATAACGTCGTACCGAGATCAAACACGGCCGATGGATTGCGCCAGGCTTTTTTGAGAGTGTGGTTCCAGGTGCCAATGGCGTTCATCAATCGTCTGGTCCACTCCATGTACAGACGCTGCGCTTCTGTTATTGACACTCTCGGTGGACATACCAGATACTGATGTATAGACTGTGTACATACTCTAAACATTCTCGTAATGTCTTGGAATTGTGATGGATTAATCACTAATGTGTCAGCATGCTGTTCACAAAAACTTGCTTTGATCCATTTAGTAAGTAGTTTTCTAGAATGATTTGATTAAAGTGCCTCTCTGATTTTGAAATCATACTGACGGTTGTTTGTTTTTTGCTGTTTAGTATATATACACCAAGCCTTAAATCAGTTTCGCACATTTATAGTCACTAAATAAACAGTCATGTTGTACTTAATAAGCTATGGCCATTTAATCATCCATAAATAATACACCGAAAGATGGTTACGAGTGTCGGCCATAACACCCGGCCTTTGTGAGTAAAAAATAGGTTACGTGCCTTTGTTGTGAAATTAGTCTCGCTTAACCAGTCTACCGACCATTCTACGTCTGATTGACAGGCCTGGATAATCAAGACTAGATTTTTCGCGAAGGGATCTTTAGCAGTGGGAGGAAACAGGAGGACTCGGAGAAAACCACGAGGTTGGACAGCCGACCCTACTCCTTGTCATGTACAACCGGTGAATCGAAACCACACCAGATGACTCAATGACAGACCTTATGATACAGCGCACACGCGCTAACAATTCGACAGCTCCTGTTTGAACTCTGGATCACATGCCCTCGTTAAAAATATTGCATGTTAATAAATTATGTAACAAGTCATATATTCATTAAATTTTCTTTTATTGCTTTGAAATATGTCAATGTTAATCATATTTTATTAAAATTTATGAAGACAGTTGATGGATTTGATGGAGTGGGTTGGGGATGTTGGGGGCGGAATGGTTAGCGCGCACGTTGTATCATACGGTCTGTCCTTGAGGCAACTGGCGTGGTTTCGATTCCCTGGTTGTACAAGACAAGCAATCCCAACATGGTCTCCTCCCACTACTAAAGACCCCTTACGCTCAAACGAATGATTGAAATAAAATTGAACCGCGTACAGTTAGTCCCGAAATGACCTAATTTGTGTTAAGTGGACGTTAAACCACATTTATATCTCTCTTTTTGATGGATTGAAATTACATACCGGAATTTCACGTCTTCCTGCACGAACCCGGCATACGCCAGTGTGGCCTTAAGAAATAGATCTAACCCAGCCTACTTATATTTTGATTTTCACTTGTGAGTGGGCCTTTCACCCTTTAAGGCCCAAGTGGTTAAGTTTTAAAATAATTTCTTGTTTTATGATATTTTATAATTGATTTGGGTTTGGTTAGAGTATCCACAAAACTATTTTTAAGTTTTGCACATTCTGCTGAAGGGGATGGTAAAGGGGTTATTTATTTTTAGTATAGATGTGAGTTCATAGATGCTCTAAGCTCTGACCTTATGTTCGGTAGTGAAAGGAAGGACTGTCAGCCGGGGCCCTAGGGCCCGCCGCCTGTCCGACCTAGGTTCAAGGATGCAGCCAAGCATTGTCGTGCCGTAGGCCTTACCACCAAAAGAAAAACGGCCCCCACAGGGCACCCGACGTCCCTTCGCGTAGGATCGTCCGACTAGCAGTAGCCCTCGGGATGATCACTTATGGTCCCGTCCGTTGGGTCTTGGGGTGGGTCCCCTTATCTTCACAGAGTAGAACACTCCTTTCGTCCCTGCGGAGTCACATCATCATATCTAGGATACCAATCTCACACACGAATTCGTAGATAAACTCATAGATCTCGTGTTTGCTTACTTAGCCCCCCAAAAAATCGAATTAGCCCCCCCCCCCCCCAAATATTTCGCCAACAATAATGATTTCTTAGGAGCGTTCTTAGCTGTAGCCCCACCAAATCTTTTGAGCTGGATACTGTAGCACCACAGGTCTTTTGTCTGACGTGAAGAGCGGATAAGGGGAACCGGTCGCCACATCCTACGTACGACCCATGCATCTTTTCTTACTACATATTTCTGTAGCCTTGTGATCGTCTAGAATTTGTCTCTAGCTGTCTTTACTTCTGCTTCACGTTGTGTATTTACTTCTTACAGTTTCTTAAGACGTTTGTCTTACCAGGAATAACAATGCAACAGTTCGTTTCTACATTTTATATAGCATAGCCGAATACATATGGATACAAGCATAATAGATAACAATACTAGCTAAAACCATTTCTCAACCCTATCCAGGCTCGCGGCTGTCTAGGAACTCAGATGAAACCTCTCTGGAATCTAATGGAAGTCTGACTTGAAAGGTTCAAATAGATATCTTATATAGCACTCACGTATATCACGCATAAATAAGCGTGTTCATGGCCCTGAACTGGTGTAATTAACGATATGATTGGTTACTTTAAACCCAATGACGCAATCGTACTTTTCCTTGCACATGTACTCTCTGTGGTATTTTATAGACACATGTTATGGCTAAATAACTCTTTTTTATATAACAATATGTCATTTATACGATAAGTTGATTTAGTACACACTACAAATGTGAATATGTTTGAAATTACTAACTTGCCAAAGATATTAATTAATGAAATATAAAGTCATCTTATTTCTCTATATATTTAAAAACAATGTCGCAACGACGATAGTGCTACACTACGGGCCCAATCTGGTTGCCCTTTGCCAGAGACTTTTCGTACGCTAGGTAGATCTGGGTCAGCAGTTCGGGACGGGCGTCCGATCTCTGATTTCTTATGGATTCCAGACTACTTAGGGAGTCGCTGAGGACAACATAGTTTGATTTCCTTTGGCTGGATATCCACACTACGGCTTCTGTGATCGCATACATTTCTGATGTGTACACAGAGCACATGTTTGGCAGTCTATTTGCTGCCTGTATCTCTTTCCCCGGGATATATATCCCGATGCCCGTCGTACCGGGTTGTGCGATCCGTCCGTGTATATGTGAGTCCATTTTGACCAATTGTCCTCGATATGAGCTAAGGAGAGATGCTTGGCCGCCAATTGGGTATTCCCTTTGTCGACCCTCAGAACGAGGGTGGTATCTACCGGGGATACTGGAAGAGTCCAGGGGGCCCTGGTCGTATCTTCTATAATATTAATGGTGAGTTTATCGAGACCGTAGTCTATAACCATTTCGCCGACTGCCTGGCAGTATGTCTTCTTGGTGTTGTCCCTGACTCTTGTGAACCTCGAGATTTCGCTAAAGGCAGGACACCTTTGACCAGGCTGCCCTGGTCGTATCTTCTATAATATTAATGGTGAGTTTATCGAGACCGTAGTCTATAACCATTTCGCCGACTGCCTGGCAGTATGTCTTCTTGGTGTTGTCCCTGACTCTTGTGAACCTCGAGATTTCGCTAAAGGCAGGACACCAATGCCCCAGGGTCAGTTTTTTTCAGGATGCGTTGAGTGCATGTTACTACATATACTATTCAAAAAAAGTAGGGGATATTTGATTTTTAAGTGTTATTAAAGTCACCTAATGAAACTGACGAAGAAACAAATGACAAAATGAAATGAAGTTCACATTCATCGATTTATTCCAAATGATCGTTAGACTAAGTAAGGCACAGACTGACCATTATAAGGGTAAAATGATACCCGGGGTCAAACAGCAAAGTTACCACAGCATCACAACCAAGTCAGTAACGGGTAAATCCTCCTCTGTTTGCCAAACAAGCATTGATCCGACGTGGCATACTCCTAATGAGACGTCTAAGGTCATTTTGGTCCAGATTGTCCCATTCCTGTTGCAACGCAGCAGCAAGTTCTTGGACATTGGTAGGACGTTGTTGACGTTGACGTAACCTCTGTCCAAGCATGTCCCAGACATGCTCGATGGGGGAGAGGTCGGGACTCAGTGCTGACCAAGGTAATGTGGTGATGTTCTGTTGTTGGAGGTAACCTGTAACGATCCTGGCCCTGTGACATCTTGCGTTGTCATCCTGGAAGATGAAACGGCGGCCATGACGTCGTGCGAACGACACAACATGGACTGCCAAGATGTTGTCCCGGTAGTACTGGCATGTAACACCATAACAGAACCACCCCCAAATCGATCATGTCTGATGACGTTAACGTCTTGGAAGCGCTCGTTTCGACGACGCCACACCCTCCTACATCTGTCCAAAAAATCAACAGTGAACCTTGAATCATCTGAAAACATCACATTGCTCCAGCGTCGATTATCCCAGTGTTGACGATCCCTACACCAACGACGTCTTGCCTGAATGTGATGATCTCTCAAACAAGGGATCACGCGAGGACGTCGGGCGCGAAGGTGACCCCTATGCAGTCGATTCCGAATCGTCTGGCCACTCACTCTCACACCAGTGTCTGTTTGAAGACGAGCGCTGATCTGATTTGCTGTGATGACACGATTTCTCAAGGCCAAGGTACGGATAAATCGATCCTGGGCTTGAGTTGTCGCCCTTGGTCGACCTGAGCGTGGTCTGTCCTGTACAGATTGTGTATCACGGTATCTGGACCATAGCCTGCTTATGACAGACTGAGAAACATTCATCGTCCGCGCCACAACCGCCTGTGTTGTGCCGATCTGTAGCATGCCAAGGGCACGTAACCTTTCATTTTGGGTAAGCCGACGCATATCAAAATTTGTTTTCTGGTCACTAAAACAATTAAACTGATGTTTCCACCCTGGAATTCAATGCCACAATGACTGTAACATTCAAAGTCAGAGTCGTGCAAATCTTGGGTTGGACCCCCATGATGATCCCAAGCATCACCTGCATTCCATGCGGTAGCTATTGGTGCGTTTGGGCGTCACATGTAACTGGAAATGTTTCTTCTGTTAGGTTCTATAGTGACTTTTTTCGTAGTCATTTGCATATTTTAATATTATGCCCCCAAAATCAAATATCCCCTACTTTTTTAGAATAGTATATTTGATATGCGGTCTCCATTTGACTTTCCTATCAAAGATTACACCAAGGAACTTGGTTTCATCTTTGAATTCTATGTACTGACCACTGAGCTGCAGGGACATCCGCAAAACCTCGGGGTCCTTGCATACAAGCATACCTACAGTTTTGGGTGGACTTACTGTCAGTAGACTCCTGCTTATATAGCGCACGTATTTCCTTTGAAGAAATCATCTTGTCATGGTATGATGCACTGTTATACACAGATCATGTGTATCTTGTAAAGGTCATATTGAATTGATTACATGTTTAATTAGATTATAGCCAGCTCGTGCCTTAACAGAAGTTTATACAGAGTTGAAACGTCAATATCATATATTATCAAAAACCAGCAGAGGTCATAAAGTTCTATGCACCTAAATGATCGTTCAATTTGATGAAAGGTATAGATCACTTTGTCACATAAGCGCAAATCGGAAATAAATTATGACCTCTGGATGGTCCACAACAGGGCGACCTTCCGTTGCACGGATTTCCGAACTCTAGTCGAACTATCTTCATGCGAACGACATTTAGTTCAACCTCTGGCCGTGACCAGTCGTACCATGTGATAGAGCACGGTCGGGATAGTTCAAGGGTGTCTAAAAAGGCTGGTACGCGTGTAGATTTGTCTGAAAAATATAAAATTGCCGATTGCCAATGTGTTATTTACACAATGGACCGTATTGCCGGGTCCTTGGTAACACCCGGAAGTTAGAGAATGGGGGTTAGGGTACAGATATTAACAACTTTGATTTTTATTCGATTTTTCTTGATGAATATGACAGATTAAGATCTTCTTATTCGAATATATATATACGCCCACGACAAAAGACTTTGTGGAATGATCCAAGTTACCAGTTAACCCGGATGGAGTCAGCGTTGTAAGAAAATGTTTTAAAAGCATTTCTTCATCCCCATCGTCAAAAATGTAGTTTTAGAAATGACAAATAGCAGAAAATATAGCAGGCGAAACAATTGACATGGGCGCCGCCATATTGAATAGCCAATTGTCCGGTTCATTTGCGTTCGGGTGCTGGTTCAGACTGTAGTCGCGACCACAGTTTACATCCGAAGGTCGTCCTGGGTATTATATGCTTTTACATTATTTGCGTAAAAGGGGGCACAAGCTAAAAATGTGAGTTTTTGTACAATCAGTGGCCATAAACCAAGAAGTTATGGTTATAAACATACATTGTACGTTTCATCAAAATCGGATAACAATTGTGACCTCTAGAGTGTTCACAACCTTGGTAATATTATGTATATATTTGTCCAGTTCAGCATCACAGGAAATCACCATCGATTGCAGTGCTTTCGTGGTTAAGGGATTAAAAAAACATAAAAACCTCATTGCTGAGTAATTTTACCAGAAAGAAATCGCTTAGAAAGCGTCTCAGATGATCTAGACCCTCGGGAGCTTCCCTGGATCCTAGCCTAAAGTCCTAGGACGGTAGTTCCCCCACCCCCACCCCCCACACACACATATCAAGAATTGCTTCCGCCGGCCCTGTGACCATAATGCACATATACATTGCAACATTTTATCCCCTATATGAAGGCAAATAATGAGAGTCCAATCGGGCCTGAAAGGGTTAAGGTACTGCCAATGATCGGCGCAGAATTTTATTCGGTTTAATGGGTGGACACTCTAGGCGAATCCTTCGCCCGATTCACCAGACGATTGCGCCATCTTTCACGTCACATGTCTTCAAACAATCACTTAACTTCTCGATATAATTAGATGATGAGTGATGATTGGCTAATTAATTCAACAATCGGGCGAATGCTTCCGCCAGGCGAATTTCTACGCCGATTGATTCGGGCGAATCATTCGGCTAGCGTGTCCATCGCCTAAGAAACAATAAATACCAAAATTTTAATGTATATTTTTTTTTTTTTTTTTAAATATGTTACTTTTAAAATAACATGAAATTACAAGTTAGAGGGGTTTACATTTGAATATTCTTGACTAATATGGAAATTTCAAACGCATAACATTGGCTGTGGCTACTTAAAATGTTCATTTATATGCTTACATGGGTAATGCGAGAAATGGATTTTATGGCTGAGAGAGAGAGAGAGAGAGAGAGAGAGAGAGGGGGGGGGGCAACGTTCACTCGACACAAACTAACATATGGTTTGATTTTTTGAGGAATCCCACGAAGTCAATTTACATTCTGTATTCTATTCTGTTATTTATATGTGAGTTTATTCAGATTTTAGTTTGTGTCAAAAAGTACAGAAGTTGGAATCATGTATTTGTGAAACCTTGCAGCATAATTTCTATATAATTAAAGATATCAAAGAATGCTATATAAGATAAAGTATCTACAGTGATATGATGTTAATAAATTAATTGTACTGTAAAATTCGTCATGTATAGAGTATTTCAGTTTGTAAAGAGGAATAAGTACAGTTGGAGCGAGCACAGATTGGATCACTGGAAAATAGATCTTCAATCTGAAGACTTTTTCTGCAATTTTCACATTTTGGCGGGAGGATTGGTTGGTAAAACTTCACATTATAGGTTTTCCAAACCTTGACAATACTTTCAACAAAGTAATCCATCATTTCCTTAGAGTGATGAGGTGTTGGAGCTATACGTAAGCGTTCTTCACCACGAGCAACAGTAGGGTAGTTAATGGCCTGTACATAAATTCCAAACTCACTGATTAACTCATTTGATAATCTGGTTGATAACTCAGCATCCCCAACCTGAAATACAACAGCTACTTAAAGATGCATTATGTAACAAGATCAAGAACTGATCGTTCTCGCAGAACTGGTCGTTCTTGCTATAATAGTTTAAAACAGATAATGAAAAATATATTGGGTTTAAACGCTTATATGGCGCGGATGTTCTAATCTATTCAATATCGCAGCAATGGTCTAGAGAGTTTATTATGACCTTGTCATGTGAATAAATGTTAAAATAATAATTTATAGAACATTTGAATCCAGAAAAAGACCCGCAATAGGAGATCTAGTTTTTACATAACGCACCTTTAAATTGCTTGCTTAACTAACATAATTTGTTAGCTATGCGTAAATATATATGAAGTGTTCTATAACGAGTAAACGTGCTCTTCAGAGCTAATTCGTCAACCAATAAGCAAACAAACTTACTCCAATTCCCTTCCATTCTTACTTTTTAATAATTCTATTTTATAAATATTGAGTAAATGGAATAACAGTCAATTACACAATAGAGTCATTTTACAAAACTTGCCTTACTAAAGACCACACACAGGTTATCCACCTTCAATGAAGACAAGTACTCACGTGTATAGGAATAATGTGACTCGGTGAATGGATGGCAGGAATACCACAAGATACTAATTTTTCACGTAGATATTTTACATTTTCTTGGTGTTTTGCTCGAAGTTCTCTTCCTTCTTCACTGGCTAACACCTATCAACATTACAAGGAACATTTCATTGATTGTTTAATTTTATTGTCAATTAAAATACAATTTAAATGAAAGGAAATAAAATGGTGCTACAACTTGCTCTTGTTTTGAATTTCAGCTTTCTTCGCCAACACGGGAGCGAACCCCAGACCTCCTGGTAAGTGAACCAGCGTCTTACTCACTGAGCCACCGAGATTCCCGTAAATAATTTACACGTAAAACTAATATTCCTGATTTTCAAGCAAGTATCCCTTTCTCATCAGCGCAAGTGAGCCGCGGTGGCCAGGCAAAAGTTCCCTCATAGCAGAGTGCATAGCGTACGCCCGTCTTCACTAGCCCAGCCTATGCAGAATATTAGGACGCCCATTTCATTTCTCAACAGTGCAAGGCGAGGGTCTTATACGAAAACCTGGGGTCTTATATACACGTCGGCGTGTTCGTAAAAATGTTTTGACAGCTGGAATTCAACGAAGAGTCGGCGGAAACGTCGCTGTGTGGAAAAAAATCCCCCCCCCTCCGTATATATAATACATGGCTCATCTTCATTATCCCGGTTGGTGCGGAACAGTAAAATTAAACCCAATTTCATTTTTTTTTTCACTTCATTGCAAATGCCACCCCCATTACAGTATTGTTTAGATTTGGCCATATACCTATTTTAGTGACAAAATTAATTTACAGATACGTTGTTTCAGTTTAAACATTTCGTAGAAATTTATCCTCAAATTTTAGAGCGTCATATAATGTAATTAAAAAAATACCAACCTTAATGGAAGCAAGGCAACCACTGAGTACTGTTGGCGGTAGACTTGTAGTAAAAATAAAACCAGCTCCATAACTTCTAATCATATCAATAGTATTACTAGAACCAACTAGATATCCTCCCATATTACCAAATGCTTTACCTGTAAACAAAATCACAATTCATTCCATGATGAAGTTTATTCAATTATAATATTTAGTATTCATATATAACAATAGATTTTTAATCCATTTCTAAGAAAGTAAAACTTTGTAAAATATCTTCGTAGCTTGTTTTTTAAAATTAATGTCTGAGAAAATTTTTTAATGTTTGTACCAAGAGTTCCTGTGATCAGATCCATTTCTTTAAGACAACCGTCTCTTTCACCAATGCCAGCACCACTATCGCCATACAGACCAACAGCATGTACTTCATCAACAAATGTTAAAGCACCATATTTATGAGCTACATCACATAGTTCTGTAAGTGGACATATCGACCCTGCAAATATTGAAATATAAATAATTTTTCTGACAAATCGGTTCATTGTTTTACTGACATGTAAAGAAACAAAAAATGTATTAATAAACTATGGAAGCTTGTAACTACCATCCGTAATTTCTACTTTTCGCCCCTTCATGACGCGAAAGTCGAAAAGTCGAAAAGTAGAACTAGTTACGACAAAATGTAAGGCGAGAGCACGCACACCAAGCAAAAATCGACTCGGAAATAGGAAAGTAAAAAATAAAGACACCCATAAACGTGATACATAATATGCAAATGTTCTGGACTCGCCATCTATAGAATGAAACAAAACATCTATACGAACACGAAAACAAATTTAAATATTCTATACTCACCATTCATGGAATGAACAGTTTCAAAGGCTACAATTTTAGGCACATCCGTTGCCACTTGTTTGAGAAGATGTTCCAAGTGGTCGGGATCATTATGACGGAAAATATGTTTTGGAGCACCACTGTTCCGCAATCCCTGAATCATAGAGGCATGGTTTCCAGAATCGGAGAAAAAATGGACACCTAGACAATAAAGGATAGATGCACATTTATTTACAAAGAGATTAAAAGGAAATACCAAACATAACTGCTGAATTTGGATCAAAGTTTATTTTAAATATCTGTCTCCAGTCTCAAACCACCGAATTCCTGACTGATATTTATTTAAATAAGTTAAAAGTAATAATTTACAAACCTGGTATTATTTTTCCCAATGTATAAAGAGTTGTGTCATTAGCGACATAACATGAAGTAAATATCAATCCAGCCTCTTTTTGATGAATTTTGGCTAATTCTTCTTCTAATTCCTCATGAAGTGGTGAATTACCAGATATATTTCTAGTACCCCCGGCTCCTGCTCCATGTTTTTCTAACGAATCCCTGTACAATACATTTTAACACAGCGATAAAGAGAATGAATTGATAAACAAAAGAATATTATATCAAAGTAAGATCAACATTTTAGATTATTTCTAATTCGCGTAAGTCAATGAGAGAGAGAGAGAGAGAGAGAGAGAGAGAGAGAGACGGGGTTTAACGTCCACTCGACAAACTAGGTAATTTCGGGACTTACATATGGTTTAATTTTATTTCAATAATTCGCTTGCGCGTCGGGGTCTTTAGCAGTGGGAGGAAACCGGAGAAAACCCACGAGGTTGGACAGGCGACCCTACTCCGGGGATTCGAAACCACGCCAGTTGACTCAATGACAGGCCTTATGATACAGCACGCGCGTGCTAACCATACGGCCATCCAACCCCCTGTAAGTCAATGATGTAAAGCCCGTTTTCCATGTACATATTTTTCGACGGCGAATGTAACGGGAGAGTTTCCATGTAAATGGCGAGAGCGCGCGCAGAAACGCGTACATGAAAAACGGGCCCCAACACTAAATTTGACTTATTTTAGTAGTGTTCTTTACATTGGTACCTATGCCTAACCAGATTTACCTTTAAACTAACGCATGTTATCAAATCACAAAGATATCAGTTCATCCCTGTTTTAAAGTAATAAAATATTGAGTCGTCTAAAGATTTATAAAATATACATTATTTATTTTCAACTTACTTGACAGCATATTTAACTTTAGGATGCCAGCTCATTCCAAGATAATCATTACTACACCAGACTGATATATCCCTCTTATCACCACTATAATCCTTAGCATATGGAAACTGAGTTGCATCTCTCATTACTTTCTTAAATACACGGTAAGTATGGTCATTCTTTTTACTTTCCAACTGTCTATCAAAAAACCCCTCATAATTGAAAAAGGATGTCTTTTCTGAAATAAAGTAAAGCACGCTTGCATAAGCTAGGTGTGTAAACTGAACTGTTGACTACAGTCTATAGTCAATAGATAATTTCAGTTAAGCGCGAATTAACAAATTAGTTATACAATCGAATGGACTTGACTTCAGCAACTAAAACCTAATCTAGAATACCACACACTCAGTAATAAAAGAATATAATAATATAGAATTCAATATTTGGTTTCTTACTTTTTAAATCGAATTTTATTTGATACCAGTAATATATTTAATATCTGATGGAATAATTTCTAATAATTATAAAAAAAAATAAAATATAGATATTAATAGTATACCGTGGACAATGTCGTTAAACATCAAAGAGAAGAATAATGATCAACTTGATGATTGTTCTATTAGAAAAAGGCTAATTTATTATTTTGTGAAACACCTCTCACGGTGTTGGTTATTTCGTATTTGCCGTATTTCAAACACTATCCTTTTGCCAAAAGCGCTCATATGTTTGAGAGATCCCCAAAGTCAGCACATTTTTTTCTGGTATGGAGACACCTATAGTGAAATTGGTCACGGATCCCAACTATTTTCCTCAAATAATAACGATATCACTAGCAGCAGTCACACGGATCTCAACATCTAAATCCAGTAATACGAGAATAATATGGACAATAAATTACATTATCGATTTTGTTATAGAATTGATTTCCTGGAATGATACATTATCTACGGAAAGAAACATGGGGCATTTTGAAGCCCAAAAGACATACAGTGTCATGTGTACGAGTAAACTGACAATACTCATTTCAAAGCAATTATGTTGACAATAATCATTCAAGACATTGCCTGCCTCATATTCAAATTCTTAACAGAATAATAACAATCAAAAAATCAGAAAACGTACACGACGGATTATGGTTTCCTGTTATTTTACGTATTCGGATTTCACTACATTTTCACTAACAAAAGGTGCTAATGAATTGATTCCCTTTTAACCCTTCTTTAAAAAAACTTATGATATATTTACCAGGGTTTATTTCTAAAGCAGTAGAATACTTCTTTTGTTGAGCAATAATGTGGCACTTGTCGGCATATTGACATATTTTGTTCAGGAAAGGACTGGTTAAAACCTTCATCTGAAATATAGTGTTAAACTCTTATTTCATCCGAAGAAAAAAGACAAATATACGTGATTACAAAGCTAAATAATCAAAACTGTGTAAACAATCCAAAGAATATGTCTTCAATTAATATAACCTGTCAACAAATTAAATCTTCAAAACGAATATCACTAAAGACCCATATACAACAAAATCAAATAAATTTGAAAACAAAAATGAGACATTTTATCCAAAACCACCAATCACAATAAAAATAACAAGAAACTCACTTTCAAGCAAACCAATTTCTGCAACGACAACCACTCTAGTTACGTCCAATAAAGAAATGTTCAGAAACTTCAGCAATTAAACTTATAAAGAACAACAATAAAAACTGGATATCAGTTACGCAAAAGCAGACTTATGTAATATCCACAGAACCTTGACCTCACCTGTTTAATGGACGTATAGACCTTAAAATAGACGAAAATGGGCCACTAAATCATATTAATGTAATATGTAAAGTGATTACATTCAATTTTTCAAAAACATAATATCAAATGCATTCAAAACATTCAATCACAATAAAATAAAATAGCAAGAAACTCACTTTCAAGCAAACCCATTTCTGCAACGACAAACACTCTAGTTACTTCAAAAAAGAGAAATGTTCAGAAACCTCAGCAATTAAAAATATAAAGAAAAACAAAAACAAAGTTATGATGGATATCTGTTACGCAAAAGCAGATTTATGTAATATCAATAGAACATTGGCCCGAAATGTTTTAAAGTGCGTATAGACCTGTCTTATGAGATATGCTTTTCTTTGTTCATTACAAGTTGCGCTCGAAACCATTATATTCCTAGAGTACAAAACACCATGTACTGGTTATAAAATGTTCATTTTGTCTTAAATATTGTATATTAGGATCCCATATTTTCACCGTAAACTAGTAACATCAATATCAATTGAAATAAACCAATATTGAATTCCAATTCGTGATTTTATTTTCGAATTTTATGGATAATAGAGAGTTAGTAGTTTAGCGTCTTTAATTGCATAACATTTGTTTTACTATATGTCAAGTTCCTTATATAAATATATATATATTTCTGTATCCTCATATATACTCTTCAAAAAAAACGTAGGGGATATTGAAATGCAAATACCTATGCAGGTTGCGATATGATAAATAGTCATGGACATTTGACATGCTTTGAGAGTATGTTCACAGATGAAAAACATGTCGCCCCAACAGAACCACTGCGCCGCACATGCGACACGCAATAGCGCCATACACGTGGGAGGGGTTCATTGTCAAATTTGACACTTCAAGGAAGTGTTGATGAAAACTGCCGCGTGCTGGTTTATCTATCCATGTTTGCTTTCCTATCGGTTCTTGCATAAGATTTATCTTTGCTTTAGTGTGTTACGTTTACTTTGATCGGGAGACGTGTTCGTCGACGTCAACGTCAACCGACAACGCTGCAAGAATTGGCCGTGGCACTGCAAGAGGAGTGGGTCAGATTGCCCCAAATCGTGATTGGACGGTTGATTAGGAGCATGCCACGACGAATTGCTCAATGTCTGCGGATTGGTGGAGCAATTACCCATTATTAAGATAAAAATCAAAAACGTCCATTTTCACTTTTGATGGTGTATCTCTTTGCGAGTGAAATGGGACTGTCAGATAAGCCGCCCATATGAACTGTTTATGTTCATGTGTAGGCAATTGGCCTGGTATTAACATACACTGGTTACCTCTAATAAAAACAGCAGTGCATTTCAGCAGTTTTGTATTGTTTCTGTCCCCTACCCTTTTTGAAGAGTTTATATAATAGATTACCTTGACAATAGATAATAAAAAATATCATTTTGACAAAAATTAAATATCAATGTATAGACGTATTATGCAATCTTTATTGAGATTAATGGACAAATTCAACTCTTTTAAACGTGCTCTTAAAACCTATCTTTAAAGAAAATACTTACTGCGATGAAATTTTGAATAGTGTATCTGCATCTCTATTGAGATTAACCGTCAATTTTAACCCTTTAAAATGTGCTCTTGAAACCTATTTTTTGAGAAAATTGTTTAATGTGAAGTTTTAGTTATTACTTTCCTGTTACATTTTTAAATAATATTAAAGGTAAAGTTTAAGATTGTAATGTGTTTATAGAGGTTTTAGTTCATTTATCATTTCTAATAATTTTAAAAGTATATTTTTAAATTTCAATTTTGTATATGTATACAACGGCTTTAGTCTGTTATAGGTACTTTTACTATTTTTAATCACCTTAAAGTAAATTTGTAAAATTTAAAAGTTAAATTGGTTATATGTTTGTAAGGCAGTTTGAATTTTGTTGTATTGTGAACCGTTTTATTAAAAATAAATCTGGCAGTACACGTAACAATAACAAAACATGTCATTACCGTAATTATATAATCAATCTGGTTAAAATACAGATCCTATTTCGTTTCGTTTTTATAGTTCAAAATTTCATTTTACTTGTCTTTACTACACTAGGATCTGGAAGAGTTGTTATTTAACTCGTGTTCTGAATGGTGTCGGGGATAAGCCAATGAAACGATCTCTTACAGCGAGCTTTAGACGTGTTTTGCACGGAACTGTGGGTAATCTATTAGTAACACCAATGCTGATTGGTTAATCATATGTCTGACGTCATAAGGTCAAAAGTCGGTCAAAAGAGGTTTTAGTTCATTTATAATTTCTAATAATTTTAAAAGTATATTTTTAAATTTCAATTTTGTATATGTATACAACGGCTTTAGTCTGTTATAGGTACTTTTACTATTTTTAATAACCTTAAAGTAAATTTGTAAAATTTAAAAGTAAAATTGGTTATATGTTTGTAAAGCGGTTTGAATTTTGTTGTATTGTGAACCGTTTTATTAAAAATAAATCTGGCAGTACACGTAACAATAACAAAACATGTCATTACCGTAATTATATAATCAATCTGGTTAAAATACAGATCCTATTTCGTTTCGTTTTTATAGTTCAAAATTTCATTTTACTTGTCTTTACTACACTAGGATCTGGAAGAGTTGTTATTTAACTCGTGTTCTGAATGGTGTCGGGGATAAGCCAATGAAACGGTCTCTTACGGCGAGCTTCAGGCGTGTTTTGCACGGAACTGTGGGTAATCTATTAGTAACACCAATGCTGATTGGTTAATCATATGTCTGACGTCATAAGGTCAAAAGTCGGTCTTTTGACCCCTGACGTGACCTATTGCTTCATGTAGTGTAGGCCATCGAAAGATAAAAAAAACGAAACGAAATATAGATCTGTATTTTAATCAGATTGTTATATAATTAACAGATACTTATAAATAGAGAGCTTAAAAAGTGTGTATAAAGTCGTATATTTACAAGAATAACAGGTGGGGGTTTATAAAATAAATTAAATATTTCAATCTGGTGACAATTGGTCAATGAAATTCGATTCCATGTGTCTCCGTTTAATCGTATCGCCAACTTTCACTTATAAAACTGAAAATACTAAATTTAATACCTAAATAACAAACGTTTTTATAATGTTTAAAAGCTTTTAAAACAGCGCGTATTGTTGCGCTTAGTTAGTAACCAGATCTCCTATATAATAACTTTTGCACGGCTACATACAAGAACATAAACTAAATTTTTAGTGCTACAGTTCTTGTTGCTGCCGGTTGAGAAGTGCTTTTTACGACCCTCAAGGTTTTGGGGTATAGGTTCAACGCGGCGAGAATTCACAGCCACTTTGACTCACTCCGTTCGTTTGACACGTTCCTCTCTGGTTAGATAAGCTAGTGATTTGATTACAGGTGGTATCTATTTATCTCGACGATCGGTGCCTGAAATACTGAAAGGCTGTATTTCCGACAGACTATTTATCAGAAATTTCGTTGGAGATTCGCCTTCGGCGCCCACGATGATTCTTCGCCCCTGAATTACTGCCAGGCTGCATTTCCGACAGTCTATTTTCAAAACAATATCCTGGGGGAGGCTCTCTGGACGGATAAGCTAGTGTTTGGATGACAGGCGGTCTGGTCAGCTCCATTTATCTCGGCCCGCAGTATCTGAAATACTCCCAGACTGCATTTTCGAAAGTCTATTTTCCAAAATTTTCGGAGTGTGTGTGTGTGTGTGTGTGTGGAGGGGGGGGGACCCCCGTTGAGCTTCGCGCTTTCGACCCTGGCAAGGAGAGGACCACTCAAACCCGTTCGTTTGACACTTCCCTCTCTAGTGATCAATTTTTCAAAATTTTCGCGTGGAGGTCGCCCACCCCCTTCCCCCGCAGGGGCTGGCGCCTGAAGATGGACAGCTTTGCCCTTCCTTCCACCGGCGACTGGCGCCTCCACTAGTTACTGCTCATTTTAAATGTAAAATTAATATTAAAAAGGGTCCTGTGACATTTCTAAGTAGAAAAAGTAAACTGACAGTTTGAAATTTATCTCTAGTGAGTAATTTGTTAACGCCAGATGGTTGACGTTTACTATCGATAAATTCTTAGCTATGAAAGGAAAAATTTTTTAGTATGATAAATATGTTCAAAAAATTATGTGTTGAAATGAAATTAAATCATAGCTATGGCGTAAGCGTTTGTATAAAATGACCATTATGTGGAAAAGTACATCTATCAATACATAAAAACACATACTTATGGGAAAAAAAACAGCTACTTATTTATGATGGACTTATTAAATAACTTAAATATTGTGTTTTTCATCACCCCTACTCATTCTTCAGTACTGTGGAAAATACGACCTTTGGTATTGTTATTTTTATTTTTCATTTTCCAAAGTATGATTATCAATATTATCTGTTATATCAACTCCATCATTTTAAGATTTATTACAACAAT